GTCTACGAGCAAGATAAGACGAAACTAGCGACAATCTATAAAAGCGAGCTACGCGAGCGACTAGTCCGTACGATTATTGCGAATTTCATTCGGCATCGTAACAAAATCCTAGAGGGCGACGATACAAAATTGATCGGCTTACTAACTAAAGTCTCGCCAATAATTGAAGGCGTAATATAAGATCCCGACGAAGACGAAGACGAAGACGAGGACGAGGATAAGGAAGACAGAAGAGTATTACGTAAAAAGGGTCGAAGATTTAACAAAACGAAGTTGTATATTATATATAGAAAAGACGTAGAGCAAGGGGTAATAGCGGAGGAGGCAAGCGTATAACTATTTATATCGTTACGTTTTCGAGATCTAATAGACAACGATATACGGCAAAAGGTAAAGGGCAAGGACCTACAAGTGTTAGGGATGTTATATTTACAAAGTAAGCGGCGTGTAACTCTACTAAGCCGCGGATACTTTATAGGGAAATGTAATAAGTTCGTAGAACGGGTTCCGATAAGTTCGTAGAACGGGTTCCGATAAGTTCGTAGAACGGGTTCCGATAAGTTCGTAGAACGGGTTCCGATAAGTTCGTAGAACGGGTTCCGATAAGTTCGTAGGATAGGAAACTAGGGAAAGTAAAACCGGAGTACGTACCTATATAGGGGTTATAGCTCGACGACTTTTACGTATATTATAAGTAACGGATATAAAGGCAAGTACTATTCCTATACCTAGGCCCTAATTAATACTAAAGATGTCTTCTATACTAGATTTAAGAAGGATCCTTTTAGCTATAAAGTCGGGGCTAAATAGAGGAAAACTATCCTAGAACCTAGTACGACGAAGGATTATAATAAGATTCTTAAAGAGTTTCTACGAAGACCTCTAACGACTACGCCTATAAGTATATCGCGTTACTAATATCTCTAGCTAAATTGCCTTCCTATAAGCCTACTAATAATAGCTCTAGCGAGACTAGTAGTAAGACTACGACTAGAGATATCGAAGATATCCTTAATCTTACTATAGATTCCTTCGCCTCGCTCGCGTTTATTACTTCGGCTTTAGGAATAGGATCGCGATTAAGATCTATCGCGATCGCTACGACCTCGAGACTTAGAGCGGCGACTAATATACGACTCGCGATCTCCTATACGAACCTTTCTCGTTATAACCCTTATACGGGCTATCCTTCTTATATTCCGATACTCTTACTATAAAATTCTATATATAATCGCCGAGCGTACTAATAGTCTTATTTAACGTCTACGCTATAGACTATATAAATGTCGAGACTTTACGTACTCGCTAATAGGTCGTAGGCTAGAATTCTAGAGGCTTAGCGATAGGCTTAGTTTTTTACGAGAAGTTCTTAACGCCCTTAGTTATTATATTACCGAGGAACGAAGAGCTTATAATAATTAAGCGGGAGGCTATAACCGCGTTCTATATAATAGAGCTATCCTTATAGGTAGGATAGCGTACTATACGTAGATTTTCTTCCGAGATAGATCGGACTTCGATAAGCTTACTAAGTTACTATCCTAGCTTAGTTACTATACCTTAACTAGCTCTCTAGAGCCCGGTTATAGCTTAGAATCCTCGATAACCTAGGCGTCGCCTATAACCTCGCCGACTACCGAGCTATTATCCTCGTCGATTAGGACAATCTCGCTATACTTCCTATCCGACTTCTTATTAATAGCGTATTTGCCGCCGGGAGTATAGTCGGATAGATTATATACTCTACTACCCTTCTTATTCGGTAGTAGCGGCTTTGCTCGCTCTAGAAAAGCAGTATACTACGTAAGGATAGTCTCGAAGGTGTCTATATTATTTTACGTAACGCCGTAGCTAATCTTTAGGAACTCGATACTCGTAAAGGTACCCGCTCTAGGGCCTATATCCTATCTTAGAATTAAGTAACTCGTTAGTAGTTAATAGTATACTTACGTAGTAGCTAGAAGAGGGAGATCGAGCTCTAGTAGAAGATTAAGGTAGAGGTAGAAGTCCTAGTCTACTTCGGTCTAGCCTACTATCGTACTTAATTCTATAAACGGAGAATTATATAGCACTATTAGAAGCGAGAGTGTTTAAGGCTAGATAGACAGAGGTCTTGTTCTTAGCTATTATAGATATAGTATGCCTTAATACCTTTAATTACAGAGAGTAGTTTAGGGTCGTAGTAGCTAGCTATTATACTATATTACCTCTTTCGACGTATAGCTATATAGTTTAAGCTTCGGCGCTTAGGAGAGATTAGCGGGAATAAATGAGTTAGTAGGTATCGTATCGCTAAAGTGCTATAGGTATATTAATTAAGAAGCTGCCTAGGACTAGGTAGATCTTAAATAACAAAAAGATAGAGGGGCTTATATAAGCTATAGATACGTTACTATATTAAGGCTAAGTTGTCCTCAGCGGGCGAGAAGCGCGGCTATCGAGCTGTAGAGGCCTATCTCTACTTAGACTAGTAATAAAGGGTATTCGTATATATAATATAGAATTACGTATTCCGTAGTAGACTTTTCTAAACCCGTAAGTAAACTTTCTAATCCCTCTACTAATTAAATAAACTCCTATATAGACTATATAATACCCTTTGTTACTAGTCTAATCCGTTTCTAGTATCGGGTTTTAGTACGCGTATATAGATAATCGTAGTAGTAAGTAAATGCTATTAGCTATAATACTATTATATATCGAAAATCGTAAAATCCGCTACGGTTAAGCCCTACGTAGTTGCGGAAACTATCTACCCCTAAAATCTAAAGAACTTAGGTCTACTACTCGCTAGGGAAAATCTATATATACCCGAAAATCGAATATCGCTTACTATATTGAAGCTAGACGCGTCTACCCTACTACGACCGTAGAGCGATAAACTAACTCTATAACAATCGAAATAATATCCGCGGCGAGTAAATATAATACCGCGAAGAAGCTTACGTAACTCTTATCTACCCCCGATACTATCCCGTCTAGCGCTCGTAGTCTTCCCGCCTAATATTATCGGCTAGGTATTATAGCTCCGAGTTAGTAAGAGATGCGTTTAGAATACCGTAACACTCGAGCTAGTTTTAACGCCGTAGTTAGGGCAGGCTCTACGCGTTACGGGTTAGAGAAGGGCCGCGACTAGAAGGTAATTTATAAGAGCGAAATCGGGAAAACTAGCTCGGAGAATCTATAATAGTTTCTAGCTAGGTAAGCTCTAGAAGTCCGCTACGCTATAGAGCATTCCCGTAGAGGTTACTACTAGGGTCGTATATACCGATCTACGGGAGATTATTCGATTTATAGTTAATCGAATCTATAACTATATTCTTAAATCTATTCGCGCGATAGTTTATACCGTCGACTATACCGATTTAGTCGACCTCTAATTCGATATTATCGAAGCTAGAATAAGGTAGATATTTAATCGATTATATAAACTATCTAAATAGCGGCCTAAGAAAAAGCCGTATCGGATCTAAGTTACTATACTATAGGCCTTAATTTACTAGCGATAGAATGTCCTATTTGTCGTAAAGACTAGTTTAGGTAAGAGCCTAATCTTCTAGGCTTTTACTATACTTACTAGATAGACTGCTATCTAGGTAGTACCTCTTACTCGGCTTAGGGCGGAGTAAGAAGCAGACTTAAAAAAGATCGTAGGGGAATACGTTAATCCCGTACTAGTTACGAGTAACTTAAAGGCTAAGCGGCGGGATCTAGATTTGTTTACTAAAATTAGGACGGGCTAGTATAATTATATTATTCTAGGCCCGGAGTAGGCCGTATCCGATAGCTTTAAGGATACCCTAAAGGATCCGAATCTTTCCTTACGTATCGGGCTAGTTGTATTCGATAAAATTTATCTCCTCTTAAAATAGAGTAGCTTCCGCGAGGAATTCCTTATAGTCGCGTAGCTTAGGTAGCGTCTCCGCTAGGACTATATATAGTTTAGCTATACTAGAACCCTATATGCTATAACCTAAGCCTATATATTAAATTATAGCGAGTTTAGACCGGTCGGGTAAGAGCTATATTATTCTATAGTACTACGGACTAGTATCGATCGCGTTAACTATACGTATATCTTTAAAGAATTAGATAAAAATACGAAGTCGGTCTATAGCTAGTTATATTTTATAATCGAAAAGGCTATAAGCCCCGCGGGCTCGCCTCTACTAGCTATAGGCTCGAATTTGTCTACTACTACTACGCTAGCTAATACGGGCAAAGCCTAGTCCGTAGCGGAGTAACGGGCTACGCTAGGCTCTAGCGGAGATACTACTAAAGACTATTATCTTTATCGATAGTCGCCCGGACGTAATCGCGCTTATAAATCGCGTTCGAGCCTAGCTAGTACTTCGGACTAAGGACCTATATCGAGAAAACTAGTATTATTAGGGAAATAGGCTTAATCCTATACTAAACGTTCTTAGAATTGTCTAATTCTATATATTAGCTATACCTATATACGATTAGGACCTACGGTTTCGTAAGTTTAGCGTAGCGGATAGTACTATCTGTATTATAATTACTACTACCGCCCTTAGCGTAGGCATTAATATCCGTATAGTACAAATCGTTATCTAGTAGGGTCTTATATTAGAGTATAACTACCTAAATCTTCGCTAGCGTCTCGGGCGTACCGGTCGGAATATAGTTCCTAGTAATCTTCGTAGCGAGGTATTCGTATTCTAGCTAGCGTAGATAAGGAATTTAGTATTCGTATTCTAGCTAGCGTAGATAAGGAATTAAAAAAACGGCTTAGGGATTAGCCGGTAGAGGGTAGTAAGGTCCGTAGCGGACCTCGCGTTGCCTATAAGAGCAAGTTCTAGGCGAAGCGGGAAGGATTATACTTAATACTTAACGTCGATCTAACTATAGATTTCGTAAGGAGTAGTACTTTAGTATACTTTAGAGGTATTAATCTATACCCTAAAACTTTCGTACTATAGGATCCTAATACCTCTAGTATCGACTCCTATATAGCACTTTATAGGCACGTAGATCTAAGATTTCGGTCTTCTAAATAGCGTAACGGCAAATGCTACCGGGTATATCCTAATGTCTACGAGGCTGCTATCTAAGAACTTAAGTAAGAAGATATTCGGCTCTTCGCCGGCGAGCATATTATTATATCGGCTACTATAAGCAGCATATTAAAAACTTGCTCTATAGATTAGACCTAGCCTCTTCTCTTTATTTATAAGCTTTTAAAGCTTCGTATAGTTAGCTTCCTAGATATATCTATATACCTCGATAAGGTAAACGCCTTACTCTTTCCCTATCCTAAACAGATTATCTAGCTCTACTATAGCCGAAGTAGCTAGCTTCTCGAGAATAATATGCTTCTTAGCTTGTAATACTTACTTCGCCTACTCGTAATAGAAGTTGTTTAGTAAGGCGATATAGATAGCTTGTAGATCGTTATCTAAGAAGAGCTTATCGAGCGAAGTATAAAGCTTAGTCGCTCCGTATTTAGATACAAACTTCTTAGCCTAGTTATATAGCTACTACTTGCTAGTTTTCTTTATAGCTAGGATCTAGGAATCTGTAATCTAATTCGTACTAATTATCCCGTACTTAATAGCTATAGTGCTATAGATTGTCGTAGAAAGAAATATTACTAGGCTCTATAGTACGGCTTTACTATAACTCCCCGTCTGCTCCTCCGCTAACCCTACTACTATTCTTTACTAACGACTTTTAGTGCCTTAAGACCGACGAGAAGAGTGTCCCTCTAAATATTATTATTAAGATTAGCAAAGCCGATAGCAAGTACGCGATTAAGCTTAGCGACGACAAGAGCAAGAATATAGGCAACGACGAGCTAATACGGTATATTAAGGAGCAAGTCGGATACGAGGAGAAGAGGTAGTCTAGTAGCGACGAAGCTTATAAATAGGATACGAAAAAGGTAGATAGTATACTTAAAGAGTGCAATAGACGACTTATAGAGTTATAATATAACAGAGGAGCAAAGTATAGTATAGATATAATACCTAGAAGAGCCTTAATATAGCGATAGCGCAGCTATTAAGCAAGACCTTAGGTTAACGTAAACCGAGGAACTAGTAGACTTACGAGAGCTAAACATTAGTTTTCTATATAGTCTTAAACTAGATATAATAAAATGTTAGCGTCTAAGAAAGCCTAAGAACTTTTAGTTGTCTTAATCTTAGTATATATAACATACGCGGCGGCGGGTCCGCTATCGCGCTAGTATTAACCTTAATCGGTATTGCCTTGAACTTAATTTTATAAGGCCGCCTTCTATAAGGCTATAAGCTCGCGAACGTCGTCTTTTGTTTATTTACAACTTTAAACTTAAGACATTACTTAGAGAGTTGTGTTTTATACTATATAACTAAATAATAACTAGTCGCGCTATATGCGGCTTATATCGCTATATTCTTACTTCCTCCAAAATAACGCTTATACTACGCCTTTAAAAACTACGAACAACTCCTTAGTAGAGCCGCGTGCCCGCAACCTTAGTAATAGCCGGTATATATCGATTGTACGCGGATATAGCAGATTCGGAAGATACACGGCGGAAGAGACGCTATTTCCTTTCTAGTACTACTAGCGCGTCTACTAGTAGTAGAGCCGTTACTAACTTAATAGGTTTACTAGAGCTATATAAGGATATTGCTCGAGCCCTAGTCGTAAGTAGCTCTACTTAGAAGTTTAATAGTAACGAGGCTCTCGCCCGCAAGTTATAGGCTTAGTTTAATACTAAGAATATACGGCCGCTCTAGGCTCTATCTTTAATATCTAATATACCGGTCGACTAGACTAGCTCGGCAAATTAAGTAGAACTAGAGGACGATATAGCACTTGCTCGCAAGCTATAAGCTAAGTATAATAACGAAAACGAGGGATATATCTATTAGGCGTAAGTCGCAACTTCTACTCTCTCTCCTAACGTTCGAGATTAGGTATTACGAGTAGGTTTACTATCTCTAGAGCCTACGGTATAGAGCGCGAAGCCTCCGTTAAATTCATTTACGTAAGCTACTTTAGAACCCTAGCTTCGGCCCGAGGAAGTCTGGAATAGTATTCGTAGCCTAGTCTAGCCTATTATTAGGCTAAAGTGTAATAAGTGTAAAAAGCACTTCTAGAAAAGTTAGTTTAATGTTAGTGCTCTTAGTTAATATATCTAGGGTATTACGTCCTAAATTGCAACTAGGAGTATAGTCCCTTATCTATTATATAGGGCGTCGCAATATTATAAACAAGCTCGTCTACTCTTAATATAGACGTTACTCGGCGACTTCGATAAGAAATTAAAGTATAATAAGCTAGATAAGAAGAGGTCTAGAAAGGTAAAGTCTAGAGGTAAGGGCATTAGTTATAGCGGCAACTCGAAGTATTCTAACTACGATTCGTCCTCTAAGGACTTCTATAGCCTCGAGGACGAAGACTTTCTAGGTCGAATAAAGAGGATAATATAGGAGATCGCTAGACTCGAAGCGGGCCTTCTAGACGGCATATTCGTTCGTTACGCTAAATCTTAACTATATATAATATAAGTTATTTAGAGGTCTATTAACACAGACCTTAATTACTAACTGCTTATTACTAGGAAAGCTCTTATCGTTAGCCTAAAAGAGACACTATATAAGAACGGCTTGTTCGAGTTCGACATTCTTTACGAAGCCTTTTTTTCTAATATTCTACTAAAGGTTGAGTTCCTAACGACCGGCGGCGGTAGGGTAGGTTTTAATCCTAACCTGTACCCCGACGGTAAGGTCTGCCTTTTACTCTTAGGCATACAGTCTAGCGAGCCGGAAGGATCTAAAGCAGAGTACGCTATTATAGGTTCTTATAAGTATCTAAGCGAGTAAGTGCTGCTTCTAGCCTATAATAGCAAGTATATATAATATTAACTTAAGCCTTTTAGTAATCTTCTGTGACAATCTATAGTAGAATAAACCCGGCCGAGAAAAAATCCCTAATTTAGATAAGTCTAATAAGATATATAACTAAATACTATACCCTTATACCGTACAAAATGCAATATTAGACTAGCTTAAGCGGCGAAAATACTTATCCGTACTAGGCAAACCTATACAATCTGCTACTAAGGATTCTATTATCGACGCCGACCTAAGTATCTAGGATAAGATCGTTAAGCGGCATTTCGACGATAATACGGAAGACATTATCGCTACCGTTAGCAAGTAGGTAAATAATATCGGCCTACCGCCGACTTTAAGACGCCGCCTACTTAGAGGATTTAATATACCTACTATAGGCCTTTATCCTCTAAGGAGCAGCTTATTTCTCCCTAGAGGCCCGTTATATAACCCTTTTCTATAGAGTGCTATAATATACCTATTCGTAGGCGAAGGGTATCCGCTCGGAGGGAAATATAGCTTTGTACCGGTTAGTAAAGCTATTGCTTACGGTATAATATCGCCGCTTAATAGCAATAATTCAAGCGTATAGAAACCTTCGGTACCGCTCTTATCGAGCTCTGATATAGCGTTTAGAAAAGGCCCTTTTGTTTATCCGAAACTACTAGTACCTCTATTACCGAGCCCTAGTATAGCGATTAGAAATAGCTCTATTATTCCTCCGCAACTACTAGTATACGGCACTATAGCGCATACCCCTTAGCCGCCGGCCCCGCTAGTTAATAGCAATGCTTTAAGCGTATAGCAACCTCTAGTACCGCTACTACCGAGCCCTCCTATTCCTCTGTATCTACTAGTATATAGTATTATACCGCATCCTCCCTAGCGGCTTCTATCGCTATTAACTAAGGAGATTAGTGCGACGATACTATCCGGTATTAGACCGGAAGAAGAATAGACCTTAGAATAGTAGGCTAAGACTAACGGAACTTCTAGTACTAGGTTGCTAGGTAACAACTTAGTTAAGAAGTTGCGTAGTGCGATTCGGAAGCTAAGGCTTAATTCTACTAGTGCTCTGTTCTACTAGATATAAGAGAGTAATATATTTGAATTACTACGTCTTTTAAAAACGCGTTCGTTGTCTAGATTTATAAAGCATTATATATATATATATATATATATATATATATATATATATATACATAGATAGCATTATTTAATTATTTAGCGTAGAAAACTTTTCTCTTAAGAATAAGGAAGGTACTATTATCGTATTAATTACTATTATGTTTATAATACTATATATTAGTAAGTAGTATCTTCTAAAAGCTATAGTAACCTAGCTAGCTAGCTATTCTCCTATAACTATATATTAAACTTAATATAAGTCTAAAATTCCTCGGAATCTTCCCTATCTCTATTACTACTTTCTTCTTTCCTACTATTACCCCCCTTACTATTTCTTAGAACCTCCTCCTCCTCCTCCTCCTCCTCCTCCTCCTCCTCCTCCTCCTTCTCCTCCTCCTCCTCCTCCTCCTCCTTCCCTTTAGCTTTTATAGGAACTAGAACCGGAACCGGAGCAACTAGGGGTTTCCCGAATTTCGCCTACCGTAATACTATTCCTTCGAAAACGTTCTTCTTCGGTTTTATTTTCGTCCTTATAGAGTATTCTAACCTTATAATTAACCTCTCTATCGCACTTTTAACTTCTATTCGACGTAAGTACGTCGTACCGGCATTACGGATTCTAGACGCGATATAGTTTAATTCTAAGACAATAGCGTCGATTTAGGTATTATAGAGTTTTATAGCAGATATTGCTATAGTAGTAGTAGTAGTAGTAGTAGTAGTAGTAGTAGTAGTAGTAGTAGTAGTAGTAGTAGTAGTAGTAGTAGTAGAGAAAGGTAAGGGTTATCGTATATGTAGAGAGGAGTCTAAGGTTAGGGGATAGAGGTCGGACTATAGAGTAAAGCTAGAGGAGATTATAATATCGAGGATATCGATTATTATAAGAAGGAGATTAAAATCTATCTATTTAGATATTAAGAATTCGGGGGCGGAGTAGAGGGTTATAAGGATTAAGTAGAGCTAGTCTTAGGTTTCTATAGTTTTTCGGGAGGGGATAGTAGAGAAGTATTCTAGGGTAAGATAGCGGCGTAGGTAGCAGGAACGGTTAGCACTAGCAGGAAGTAAGGCGACAATTCGATATCGTATTAGAGTGTTAAGATAGTTAGGTAAGAAAAGGGTGCTAAGAGCTTCGGTAACAAGTATTTTAAATACTTATTTAAATAGGTCGGCGAGTATCTTTTTAATATAGAATACGACTTCGTAAGCAAGGCTAACAGTTTGCTTAATATGCTTATCGATATCAATTATAGCGAGGTCTAAGAAGGCTACGGTCGTTATTAAGGGCGCTGCGTCCGGTATAATACTATCCGATATAGGTACGGAAACTTAAACAACGCGTATTATATATCTTAGTCTAGCAGTTGTGCGCGAACACTATTACAGGAAGTCTAAGATCAGTATATATATAGACAGTCTAATGGGTTTGCATCGATTACACTTACGGTCATAGCTCTCTGGAGTGTAGACTTCTTTCAGGCTTTCGAGATACTCCAGAATAATCTCAAGTGGCAATTGTGTTGTCCCGAGTTTTATGACTTCCATTGGCTGGCCGTGATGTGTGGTCCCAGGATAGCAAGTCTGTACGCCGGCTCCAAAGAAGTATTCGATGCCACCGAACACCAAGGCTGTGTGGTACACTGCGTCGATCTGGACACCAAGGAATTGGCGGGACATGGCTCTTGCCATGCCTCGTGTGAGGTCATATACGTAGAGTTCGATCTCCATGTTGGATGGCCCACGAAATGTGCTAAGCACACGAGATCGAGACAAAAGAGTGGTGCCGGTGTTGTTTTCTCCGAAGCAGTAGATGGGGTTTACATACGGAAGGCGTGCAGGCTGCGCTGAATGACGAGGCTTTCGCTTTCGGGATCGCGAATTTGACCCTTGCCGTTTGCCCCTTTCCAGCTCACTTTCCGTATCGTCAACCTCATCTGCTAATCGCCATTGCCATCACCTTCGTCTCCCTCAGATTCTGGCTCCTTCTCGACATCGATCACATGAAAATATATACACCATTCCACTCTGTTTCCCGATCCCGCCTTGGAGCACTCAAAAATATTGATCTGGTCAATGGTCTTTACGCCTAATCAAACAGGAGATGTCAGCCGAAGATCATAATATGAAGATGTTGCGTTCTCACCAAGTTCTTTCTTGTGCGAACAAAGCATCCACCAAACACCTTTTGCATTTGCAACGGACAGCACAGCTCTAGCTTGCCGTGTCGAAATGTCGAACTGGTATCCCGGCCACTGCTACTGTTAGCACTGCTCCTTGGAGACCATTCCTGCGAACGCTGCACTTACTCTATTAGTCTCGCGATCAAGGCTATCCGATTCGATCACCGATTTCAGAACTGCAAGAACGCCGTCATCGATGACATTGTGCTGGAAGACATGGTTAATGTTGAAAGCTTGATTGCCCAACTTCTTAATGGTCTCCGTGAATCCATTGAATACGAGGTCGGACCACTGCTTCAATTGAACCATCTTCTCGCGCGGGAAGTCCAAATCTTGGTATTTGTAGCTCCATTCTGGACCGAAGTTCACTTCCGCAAGGACAGTCGCCTGCGAGGAGCTGAAGCGATTCTCGTAGCTGGCTGCGAACAGTCAGCGAGATTCGCATCTCGGGAGAGGAGACACATACCATGTGTTGCCGGAATCTCAGGCGTTTTGCCATGTTCTTGATACAAAGAAATCCAAAGTTCCTTGTCGGTCTTGATGTCCAGTGCCGCAAAGGCATCATTAAGACCCATTCCTGCAGGACTCTTGTTGGGGGTGTACTCTGTGATCCACCCGTACTTCGACTCCATCTCCTTGATGGTCAGCACGAATTGTGATTGCTCAGCCTTGCTATCTTCGAGCGACTTCTTCAGCATGCAAAGCACCTTGTCCCCGTAGCGAACTCTTTCAGCGCACTTGCTCGTCCCACTTAAATCGAGGTTGGCCCAATCGCACTCCTCATAACGCCGTGTGAGATCAGTCGCATGGTGCAGGTATCTTTCTTGGCCCATGGACTGGCTGCCGGTGACCCATTTTGACAGAGCATGGTAATCGCCATAGCTACGAGCGATTTGCAATGCGACAAGCACGATAACAAGTATCAATGCGCACAGCGCTTGAAGTAGCACCGAGCGCCGTGTGCGAGGCATGTTGGCAGTGTACGTTGTTGTCCGAACCTATTGAGTCAAAGGTCTGATGAAGCGTTGTTGACTCGATTCTCAACGATATGCAAGATGTGTTGGTGGACGAGCAGTGGATTATATCACATTCAACACAATACATAAATCAGGAGCTCACATGCATCTTTGCTTGTGATTGCGTCGAAGTGAAGCTAAGTGAGCAATGTGAGAAGAAGACCACATGAACCTGAACGGCACCCGATCGCCGCAGTCCATTGAAGAGACTTATGTCCGAATCATGTTTGATGATACATTCTACTACGCCCCTATAGACCATGACGGGGCTTCTTGGGCGCCAAATCAACTCCAACTTTCAGATTGCTAGAAATCACAGGTTCTTGTAACCATGACCAGATCCAGTATGTGCTCCATATCATGTGCCTCCGCAGATCTGCTTCGTGGCTGTGCCTCATGCCGGGAGCTGTTGAATTTTGAAGGGTCTTCATGTGCGACTTCAGTATGCTTAGTAAGAGATCCAAGAGTGTTGACGTTCTTAAGGTCGAGGAGCTGCGATAGAGGCGGTAATCGATGGACAGCAAGCGACACCAGTGCAGCGGGTACTTTCAGCACCACGAGATGCTGGAACAGCGTAGACAGTAGGCCGGGCATCTTTTTCATTAATGCTTGGTTCCTTAGACCAGCTGTCTTTGACTAAGGTAGTGTTAGGTATTCGATCCGGCGAATGTATGCTTGATCTGTTAAAGTAGTAAGGAGTAGAAGTCCACTAGATCAAGTTCTTGTTGTGTGTTTGATTCGGTGGATCGAGGCAGCGAAGTCAGATTGCGAGCTTGGACCCTTGAACTGGTGAGCCTGAGTGTGTAATAGCATGTAATACATCTTCAAAGTGAAGCACATGCTGAGCGGAGCTCTGCCAGACTTTTGAGCCGAACATATGTGATAGCGAAGCAATTGAGTCCATCCGCTGGTTCTGGTAGCGTCCTACACTTCGAGGGTCATCCGCGGTGGCATTAAAATGGCACAAACCTTGGAGAAGTGTTGCAGTAATGACACGAGAGGCGTCAGCCTGACAGATTCCTTGATTGAGAAAATTGCTTGCCTCAGTTCTTTTAACAACCACTCATATCATGCTCGTTACGCGTATGAAACTTATGCATCTCCAATTTCAATGTAGATACAGTACTGGTCGAATGTACCGCTGCTCGCCGTTACTGCAGGACAGTTGAAGATAGTGATTGCCTTGATGGTCTTGATGCCAAGATCTTCCTTGTGTGTAGCCAAAAGCCATCCAAAGCCCCTGACATTTGAGGCTCCAAGCAGAGCGTAGAACTTGTTGGGATCAGGATAGTTTGGAGTAAATTTATGACCAGGCCACTATAGTCAAGCGTCAGAGAGAGAAGAATTTGATGTTAGTAAACCATGACAAGTAACTCACCGGCCGGAGATCACTGGCTTCATCCACCTCCAAAACCATCGCAATGGCATCCTCCATGTCCTGTCCGCTGATAGCGTAGCTGAATCCATGCTTGATCTCTCGGAGCTTTTCTGGCTGCTCTTCTTCAACAGTTGCGTAGTCCTGCAAGCATAGCCCATGTACGTCGGACCATTGGCGAAGCTTTGGTAGCTTGGAGATTGGCATAGGAGCTGGTTTGCGATTTTTGTTCATCCAATTTGGACCAAAATTCCACACACCGACTATAGCCCCATCGGCCAAGTTGACAAAGTTTCTGTACTTGGCGTTGGTACGTACGATCGTTGCAGTTGAATCAGTACTACCAGCGGGTACATTTTCTGAATGGGTCTGCTCAAGGTTCACCCACTGATCGTAATTCGAGGAGATGCGGAGCTTTTGGAAGGCAGTCTCCAGACCTGTGGTCTCGGTTCTGAATTCTTCCGCGCTGGCCAGCTTGTCGTGAGTCTCCGTCCAACCATTCTCATGCAGAGCGTCGAAATCCTGGTATTCAGATTGTTTGACGCCATTGCGGGCGTTCATCATGCAGTATATAGCTTTGCCGTTTCGTACATAAGTCTGACATTGGGTAGGGTTTGGAGTGTCGGACCCAGCAGTGCTCCAGTCGCATCTCGCGGCGCGGCGGAAGAGATGAGAAGCATCTGCATTTCCTGGGAAAGACTGCAAGGCTTGGCCTGAGCGGCTGTGTAAACGCGGTGATGAGGCCCTTATCGCGGCAATAATCAATATCGCCGCCACGACTGCAATGGAGACCCATCTGAGCCATGAGAAAGCGATGCGGCGCATCTCGACGGCTGCCTGATGTTCTGCAAGCAAGACTTTGATTGTGTGACTGCTGTCGTGGGATCTCGCGTCTGCCTATGATCAGTGGTGTGTTGTGGTATGAAGATTCTTTATCGTTTGGCCCTAAATGAGTGCGCATGTGAGGCATGCAAAATCAGTAGTCAGCTGGCTTACGGCTTCCAGTCGCATGTGACGGAGGCTGAAATTTGACCAGCTTGTGACAAGTCATCGTGTCCTGTCCGAAGCAGGCCGAAGGTGTGACAGAATTTGCGCTGACTGTAGACAGTTGAAGCTCTTCAGTAGGCCACTGAGATATCGTATAGACGAGGACTTGATGATACTGAGGTCAAGAATTGGCAAACGGGCCATAGCTATGTGTCTATCGGCCGATTCTTCGATTTTCATGTGATATCTTCTTCAGCGTCGCTGTGCAGTGATAGCAGGGGCGACAAGAGAGTAATTCTGCTTCGCAATCACACCTAGCAGGCTCCAGATGATAGTCGCTAGTCATGTTGATTATGGAAGAAGAGCACAGCAAGAGACGCGAGGTGATGTTGGAGGGATCATGGGCTTGGCAGATGAGATGAGTCAGCATCGCTTTCACAGGCGTGCGCGGTACAGCTATGCCCGCACTTTCCACACATTTTTGACCATGTCTATCTACGACACTGCAGCGAGTAGCGACTCATACCATCGCTCGTGGCGATGGTCAACAAAGCGCACGCGCCTCGGGGCGCCAACAAGCCGGGCAAAAAGCCAGCGGCAACGACGTTGAACGGCGAGGACAGCAGTTTTATAGTGTTTGGGAACGACAACGACAAGCCGAAGAAGAGCAAGAAACCTACAGATGGTAGTCATGCCGCAGCCACTACTGGCGCCAGCAAAGGCAAAGCAGCAGCAGGAACGAGTGGCGCTTCTCCTGCTGCTGAGCCGGAACAGAAGAAGCCAGATACCAGAACGCTGATCGGAGGTGCATCATGGACGGGCAAGCTGCCGCAGACCATGTTCAATGAGCACTGCCAGAAGCAGAAGTGGGAGAAGCCGGAGTACACCATGCGTGGAAACACCAAGACTGGCTTTACTGGGGGCGTGATTATCAAGCAGAAGAATCCCAAAACCCACGAAATCACCACTCTACCTCCCATCGTTCCGCCTAGCGACTATCTCAAAGAGCGAGGCACTCAAGAGACCGCCGTCGAGGCTAGGCACTTCGCTGCCGCATACGCCCTCTTTCGTGTCAGCAATATGAAGAATATCCACATGATGCTCCCGCCAACATATCGAGACCTGTGGAAGGGCGACTTTCAAGACTTGAAAAGCACTGCGGTAGCTCAAGGCCAAGGCTACTTGTATGAAGCAGACCCCTTTTCGGCCAAGAAACAGCACGACGAGGCGATTGTCGCCCGAGAAAAGGCAAGAGCAGACAAAGCTAAGCAACAAGTGGAGGACAGGAAGCTTGAAATTGTCAGTCTCGACGGGCAGGTGCAGAGCAAGCACGTACTGAAAGGCTGGATGCGCGTCCCCAAGGTCGAGATGGGCGTCAAGACGCGACGTGAGGTCGAAAGACAGATCCGTCGAGGAGGTGCATGGAATTTGCATGCTGTTCAAATGGCGATGCACGAGCGTAAGATGGTTATAGATGATTTGTCCAATATAGGCTTCCGGAGAAGCCACGTCGAAGAGGCGGCAGAGCTTTGCAAGGACCGAGAGGAATGCTTGGAGTGGCTCCTCATCCACGTGCCCGAGGACGACCTGCCAAAGTGGTGTCTGCCTGAGAATTACCTTGCTGGTGTGAGCATGGCGAGCGGCGACCTGAAGCGAGAAGGTCAGATCAAACGCTTAGCGGCGACTGGTTACTCACCAGAACTGTGCGCGGACATGCTTGAGTTGCACAAAGGGGACGAAGGTCGCGCGGCAGAAGCACTGCAAGCGCGCCTATTAGGCCAAGAATTCATGTCGACATCAGACGCGACACCTGATAACGAAATTTGGGACGAGGAACTAGCCACTTCAGAAGCAATATTCGGCGACAGATTCACTAATCATGAGAGGACATGCAGTATCATGCTCGAGCTACAGACTCCCTCAAAGCAGCCCATTATTATTCGAGCACGACCACCTAGCAAAGGCTATCCGAATGCCCTGCCCGTGCTCGCAATTGAAGCAGCTTTGCCCGCATACGTTCGCCTAGCGATCTTGAAGCAAGTCCTTACAGCAGCGTCTAGCGACTTCTTGGGAGTGCAGATGCTTTTCAGTGTTGTGGATTGGCTCGAGCAGAACATACCAGCCATCATCGATCAGCCTGGAAAGCTTAGTGAGGTGGCTAGTGCAACTGCAACTTCCACGATAGAGGCCTCGAAGCCAGCTTCCAAGAGACTTCATCGACAGCCGAAGCCGATATCGTGGACACCAGAATCGCCATTGAGCCAGAAGACACTCGAAGAATGGACCGCCAGACAATCGTCGGCTGAGCAGCAGAAGATGCTGAAGGCAAGGAAGAATCTGCCGGCCTGGTTTCTGCAAGACGAAATCGTGCAGTCTGTTACGAAGAACCAGGTCACTATCATATCTGGCGAGACAGGTTCCGGAAAGTCGACTCAATCCGTTCAATTTATCCTCGACGATCTAATCAAGCGTTGCTTCGGAGCTCAGGCCAACATCATTTGTACACAGCCTCGGCGGATTTCCGCACTTGGACTTGCCGATCGGGTCGCGGACGAGCGCTGCGTCAAAGTTGGCGATGAGATTGGCTATGCAATTCGTGGCGAATCGAGACAGAAACAAGGCGTGACGAAAATCACTTTCGTGACAACCGGTGTCCTTCTCCGTCGGCTGCAGACTTCCGGGGGCAGCACTGACGACGTTGTGCGCAGTCTGGCCGATGTGAGCCATGTCATCATCGACGAAGTGCATGAGCGGAGCCTCGACACTGATTTCCTTCTCGTCTTGCTTAGAGACGTGCTCAAGAAGCGCAAAGATCTTAGATTAGTGCTTATGTCCGCCACGCTTGACGCACAGACTTTCGAGACCTACTTCAACTCGTGTTCAAGCGTTGGCAAAGTCGATATCGAAGGGCGAACACATCCAGTCACAGACATCTATCTGGACGAGATTGTACGATTGACGGGGTTTCATGCGGTGCCCGCAGATGAGGACTCAATGGCTGAGCTTTCTTTGGATGATCGAACGCCGGGTGACTCGGGCTACAACACACCTCGATCACACACACCCAGCATAGGCAATGCCTTGCGAGCCGTTGGCACGAGGATTAACTATGATCTCATTGCACGAACTGTGGAGTTCATCGATCGAAAGCTTGGCCATGCTGATGGTGGTATACTCATTTTCCTGCCCGGTGTGGCCGAGATTGACCAGACTTTGCGTGCCCTGAAAGGTGTACCAAACCTGCACACTCTGCCACTACATGCATCATTACAAAGCGTGGAGCAGCGCCGCGTATTCCCCCGGGCGCCACAAGGTCTTCGCAAAGTAATAGCTGCAACTAATGTCGCCGAGACTTCTATTACCATTGAAGACATCGTCGCCGTCATTGACACTGGTCGTGTCAAAGAAACCAGCTTTGACCCTGTCAACAACATGGTGAAGCTTGCTGAGGTATGGGCATCTCGTGCGGCTTGTAAGCAACGCCGTGGCCGAGCTGGACGAGTCAGAGCTGGCGAATGCTATAAGCTGTACACTCGCTCAGCCGAAGCGAAGATGGCCGAAAGGCCGGATCCCGAAATCCGCAGAGTGCCGCTTGAGCAGCTGTGCTTATCTGTTAGAGCCATGGGCGTCTCTGATGTCCATGCGTTCTTAGCATCCGCTCTGACGCCGCCCGAGAGCCTTGCTGTCGAAGGTGCACTCCAATCACTGTGTCGGATGGGTTGTACGATAGCATGGATCTTACCGCTCTTGGTCGACACTTGTCAATGATTCCGGCTGATCTTCGTTGTGGAAAGCTGATGGTCTACGGAGCGGCATTCGGCTGTCTAGACGCTACCATCACAATTGCTGCCATCTTGACAGTCAAGAGCCCGTTCGTCAGCCCGAAGGATAAGCGAGACGAATCCAAAGCGGCCCGGAGCAGTTTCGGGAAAGGTCAGGGCGATTTGCTGTGTGACCGGTCGGCGTACGAAGAATGGTCCTCGCGTCGTGCAGCCGGCGAGCCGACATCATCTTTGCGCCGTTGGTGTGACGACAACTTCCTCAACCATCAGACACTCATGGATATTTCCACGAATCGAGTTCAATACCTCGCATCTCTCCAAGAGATAGGGTTCCTGCCATCGGAATATCGACACGGTAGCCGAGTATCCCAGGTGTACAACCAGCACAACGGCTCCGAAGCATTGCTTCGAGCGCTGATAGCCGGAGCATTCCAACCTCAGGTCGCGCGTATTGATTTTCCAGACAAGAAGTACGCTGCCTCCTCTTCTGGCGCAGTCGCAGTCGACCCAGAAGCTCGTATGATCAAGTATTTCAACGAAGAGAATGGCCGCGTGTTTGTGCATCCGTCGTCGACACTCTTCGATGCGCAGAGCTTTCCAGGCAACAGTGTGTATATGTCATATTTCACGAAGATGGCCACCAGCAAGGTGTTCATCAGAGACCTGACGCCGTTCAACGTTTATGCATTGCTGATGTTTGGCGGCAAGATTGAGATCGACCCGCAAGGACGCGGACTTCTTGTCGACAGCTGGGTCCGGCTCAGAGGTTGGGCTCGAATCGGCGTGCTTGTTAGTCGCATGAGAATGATGCTTGACGAGCTCCTTGAGAAGAAATTGGATGACCCTGCTCTGGAGATGGGCGAACACGATGTGGTTAAGGCAGTCAGAAAGATGGTCGAGTTGGATGGGCTGGATCGATGAGCCAACTCCCCGGCGTGATTGCCCCGAAAGCCCGACATTCCTGGTTGATGAGCTTCCAGGGATTCTGCTAAGCGTTCTCCGCTCCAGAGGCGCATAGAGCCAGTGCATCGTGCGCTCCCATGAATCGAGATCACTCGCCCAGCCGCATATGGCGCAGTATCACCGAGTTCTCTACGACTCGATGCTGGATTGTCAAGTGCTCAGTACCAGAATGCTCGCTGGCATGCTGTGCTGTGCTGTGCTGTACACCCCACTGGCAGCGGGATGCCTGCTATGGCAAGTTTATCGCAGCCCAGCCGAACCTCAACCCCACAAGCGGGGCGTGCTTTCCGAGGTCTTCACATACAATCAGGCGAGCATGCTGGTGAGCGATGTTAACATTTCACCTCTTCTCTTCTCCTATTGTGTCGCTGTAATTCGCGCATACCGCATTCCAAGATGACCGCCGCCATCACCATGGAAGGCGGCCAACGCATCTATCATCATCCATCGCAGCGGCACGTTGACATCCCATCGATGGATTTGCTGACCCTGCTTTTCGGTGCGAATCCATACATGTGAGCTCAGGCTTTGCACTAAATCCCTTCTTTAGAATCTGAGCACAGCCTTGCACAAGACGATACCATTCTTCACGTCGAGGCGGATGACCCAGAGAACAAGCTCTCCAAGGCTGAGCTTTGTAAACTCCTCCAGAACATCGCACACGGATTGCGGCACCGATTCGGCATCGGACGTAGCGGCCCCAATAAGGACACAATTACCGTCATCTCATATGGCCAGATATTGGCTCCAGCCCTCCTATTTGGCATCATTGCCGCAGGAGGTGTGTACTCTGCTGCAAGCCCAAGTTCCACTGTGGCAGAGCTGGCCCGTCAAGTCAAGATCGGCAAGTCCAACCACATTATATGCGGAGCTGAGCACAAGGATGTCGCAACGGCAGCTGCCAAAGAATGTGGAATCTCGCTGAGAAACGTTCTGGTCCTGAACTCGGGCAAAGGAGCATGGAAGCTGGAATCCCTGGAGGGACAAGTCAGCGCCATCTCCAAGTCTAAGCTGAAATGGCGGCAGATCTATGACCCAGCCGTGCTGAAGGAAAGCCTCGTTGTTATCCTATGGTCCTCGGGCACAACAGGTCTGCCCAAGGGCGTCATGCTTAGCCACACCAACTTGGTGGCCGAAACATATCTGATAGCACTGTCAGGCCGGCAATGGGCGGTTCGTGAGACTGAAGCGGGCAGACCACCGGAACCGAAGGAGTATCGCACGCTTGCGCACCTCCCCATATCTCACATTGCAGGTCTTCATGGATATTTGATTGGCCCAATTTACTCCGGCTGCGAAGTAGTATGGATGGGGAAGTACCGGTGGGACGACTTGTTGAGGAATTTGAAGCGATACACGATCACAGTGCTCTATACCGTTCCATCAATTTGGCTGCGGATCAGCAAAAGCCCAGAAATTGGGCCCGAGCATTTGGGTAGTCTAGAAGGTGCGAACACGGGTTCCGCCCCAATGGACGCGGAGCTGCAAAAGGCCAGTAACGCTCGGATTGGTGATGGCAAGTCGATATTTGTTGGGCAGACATGGGGTCTTTCGGAAACGACAGGAGCAGTCACAGTTCAACCTAAGGGCGAAGTTGACGACACAGGCTGCATTGGATCCATTGTCCCAACCGTCGAACTGCGCATGGTTGATGACGATTTCCGGGACGTCGAACCGGGTCAGGAAGGCGAACTTCTCGTTCGAAGTCCACTGGTGACTCGCGGATACTTTGATAACCCAAAGGCCACTGCCGAAGCCTTTCATGAGGGATGGTTCTGCACAGGCGATATCGCTGTGTTCCGGAATGGAAAGTTCTACGTGGTAGACCGAAAGAAGGAATTGCTGAAGTATAAGGGCTTGCAAGTTGCGCCTGCCGAGATTGAGAATCTCTTGTTCACGCACCCGAAAATTCGAGAAGCGGCTGTCGTTGGCGTTCCGGCTCCCAATGATCCGGGAACGGATTGGCCAAGGGCATATGTGACGCTCGTGGAAGGTGAGAAGGCAAGTGAGGACGAAGTGAAGGAATTCGTGAAGCAGAGGCTGGCGCCATACAAGCAATTGAGAGGGGGAGTCGTGTTTGTAGATGAGATTCCCAAGAATGCTGTTGGTAAGTTCTTGCGGAGAGAGCTGAGGGAACGAGCAAAGCGGGAGATCAAGAGCCAAGGGGCGAAATTGTAAGGTGAGTGAGCGCCTTGAAAGTGTGTCGCAGTCATGTTGAGACGTATACTGATTATGATGTTAGACACAGCGTCCGTGCGATAGATCTGATAGCCAAATCACTGCCTCAGAGCTCACTTTCATCTCTTCATTGAGTCTACAGACAAGGAAAGTGCGACTGAACTTGCTAAATGCTTTGCAGACCAACACAATATCATACGCGCATTAAGTGACCGGCTATTCCTCGCAGACGTCGGCCGAAGCAAACCGACAGCACCAAGAGCAGAAGCAATCTTCCAGCACACAGCACATGCCAGAATTGCGAAAGAAGGATCAATGACCATGGACCACAAACTGCTTCATGCGAGCACTGCCTGTGGTGCAATGTTGCTATCCCTGATTTTCCTCACATCTTCTAGCATCTTTCCTCACGTCCTATATCAAGGCACACATGCGCGACACCATACTCCCGCCAGGCGAAACATTGCCAAGCGCTGGCAGCCGTGCGACTGGAAGGCGGCCGCAGAAGCTATCAAAGTCAAGCCTTTTGATCAGTTGGACAAGACCTGCGAGCTACCTCTCAATACCGGCACAAATCTTAATTGCATGCTCACCGGCGCCGATGCAGAACAATGGGCATCAAAGTGGACAGATGAAGACAAGATCAAAGACAACGGCTGGGATGATCCTTCCGACGAACCTGAATACGAGCCATACGACGTAACGGACATGGGCCTCGACAAGTTCTTCGCAGACCTGGATATCTCAACAGAACCAGAGGATTGGGTGAATCTATTCCAATACCACTCCTCAGATAGCCGCGATCCGAACACTGGGGAAGTCTATCCCAAGACTCTCGCACGATATTCCAATCACTTCAACATCAAGCAAGGCGTCCTCCTGGCGGCTTTCAACATTAGCCCCAAGGGTATCAACAGCGAGAGAGCGAACAAGGATCCACCCCTACCGCCCATCCTTCCCCTTCCACCACTGCAGCAATGGTCGGATGTGGTCTTCCTCGATATAAAGAAGTATGCCAAGTCCATTGGGAAGTTGGAGGAGTTGAAGAATCTTCGACATGTCGTTCAGCATACGGTTGTCAATCAGGAGACGATTGAAATCTTGAAGAACATTATCGGGAAGGAGAGCACCGAGACCACTGATGTTGTAGGTATCTATCTATCTCACTCGTTTCCTGCCGTCATGCTGACACGTTTCTCCATCACTTCAGTTCCCAGGCTTCGAGTTCACGATCGATCAGCCCGAGACCAAAGCGGCTTTGGGAAGTCCGAATGGCAAAGGTGTTGCTTGGCTTCTCGGGCAGCATAAGCTTCAATTTGGAAATAAGTATATCGATTATGTAAGTTCCGGGATCGGGTTATCGAAGAAGTCATCGCTAACGCTTTTGTAGATGTCTGTGTTCAATTGTCCTGGGTACTTGGACGATCCTTACTGGTGTATATACTTTCACTTACAAGATGGCACGGGTCTTGGTGCTTGATTTTGAGGAAGGAATAAGGGCTGAACATGGGTTAGTCGCTGGCTTCACTTTCTGGCGTTCACATGATATTGGCCCTCACATGCCATTAGCGTTCACATGCTATTAGCGTTCACATGCTATTGGCGTTCACTTGCTTTGTTTGTGTTCAAATGCTACCTTCAATTATACTCAACAGTCTCGCCGTCTTATTACTCTTCCAGTGTCTGCCAATACACATATCTTGGATCTGGTACTACACAATACCCACATCTTGGATCATGAATGCCACGCGATACCATCGGCGCATGGGCGTCGCCCTTCTTATTTCGATCTTGCTGGCCGCCACACTGAGTGGATTGCGCCTGTTCCCAGACGACAGCACAACCAGCAAGGTCGACCTCAACCTTCCGACTCGACGCAATGAGAGTCTACATCACCACCCTGCGCCCCTCCTCGGACGACAAGTCGATCACTGCGATTGGGAAAACATCGTCAAGAACAGTCAGGTCGAGCCCGACAAGCTCGGATACTGCGAGAGACTATATGTCAAAGGCAGTCAGCTGATGTGCATGCTAAGCGATGCGTCCCAGAGTCGAAATGAAGCCACCGGTGAGATGGAATACCACTGGGCCACTTCATGGACAAACCCAGGCTCACTCGCAGACTGGGGCTGGGAATTCAGCACCGCTGATGACGGATTCGAACTCACCGACATGAACGAAATCCTCGAAGACATAAACATCAACCAACGGAAAATGTTCAACATCGTCCTCGACCATGAAACGGAAACCGAACACGATGGCGTCGTCTATCCGGAGACAAGCGCCAAGTACGACAACTGGATTAGCGACGACTTCAGCGTCATTCTGGCCGATGTCAACTCGTCACCAGAGTACGGCAATAGATGGAGACTCCCCGAGGAGCACATTCCTCAAAACCAGATCACGAAGCTGAGAAACTGGTCCGATGGATTCGGTCTTGGATTGGCGTTGTACGCACAGCACAAAGGTCTGCGTCCCGACTTCATGAGTAATCTCCAACACGTCTTTCGCCATGAGATCATCAATGAAGAAACGAGGAGAATCATGCGAATGGTCTTCGAAATCCGTGATCTGGCGGATCTTCCAACCGTAAGAATTTCTTTCTCTAGAATTTGGACCCAACTGTGACTCTCTGCTGACTTTTTCTTTTTTTTTGTTTCACAGTGGCCCGGATGGACTGTTCACATGGAAGATCCCAAAATGGCTGTTTTGTTGACATCTCCGAATGCACGTGGCGTTGCGTGGTTGCTCGGACAGCATAAAGCGACGATGGGAGTTAAAGTGATTACGAGTATTACGGGTTTCAGATGCGGACGTGGACAGCCACAGGTATGCATGTATCTCAAGATCGGCAATACTCCTCCTAGCGGTCAATAAAAAATTGGCCATCTTGTGTGCTTTCGCGTTAGGGTGGTGGGCTTGAGGCAGCAGACGCAGGCGAATCTGATATGTATGCAGAGCGCGGTGATCATTTCAGCAATTTCTTATTATTTCTTTCTAGTTCCCGCGAGAAACCTCAGATCTCTTTCCAAGATCCATTTCCAGTCATCAAGGATTCAACCGCAGGGTTAAAGGTCCGACCCATCAGTAGAACCATATCCCGTTTCACCTCCATTCCATCTTCAACCATTTTGAACCGCGGCACACCTTGCCCTTGCTCTATAGATATTTATCATAAGTAAAGACTGCCAAGAATTCCTCCCGTAGACCGTTTCGGAAGAGGAAATGTCCTCGACATCCTTCTACATCCTGTTAGCATGAACATGTTCGTCCTCCAATAGCATGCTGAAAAGCTTTCGAAACGAAGTCCTGCATCTCTTTCCACCGTCCCGCATGCCAGAATTTCTGCAGTGTCTAGACCAGACTCCTCTCAATCCAACCAGATGCATGAAATCCTCTGAATCGGCAGCCGTCTCGCGGGCATCATCACAGATCAACTCAAAAGAAGCGGCTAGCTTTCTTTCTCGGGGTTATATTTTTTCGTAGAGCAGAATCAAGATCGAATTCATCGAAATGGCACAAGACCTTCACAGATGTCAACGCGAAAGATGATGTTATGCTTTTGTCTATGTAATGTCTGGGCTTTCATATCGTCAGCAATATCGAGATGTTGGCCTGAGAACATTGCTAGTCTTCGCGTCGCGCACCAGAACGCATACTGTTTGGATATTGAACAAAGCGTCGACGGATGGGATCTTTCCGCTTGAGATAGAAACACATCATATTCCCGACTGGGATGAGAAAAACTTCGAAGAAGAAGAAGAAGCATGCTCAGAGGTGCGACGTGACGACCAGAGATACAAATTCGTCAACGGGATGTGATGATATCCATCGGAGGCTCCATGTCCAAATGTACCCTTCCATGGACCAAAGGAGAAGTAGATAGGAGAGCAATTGCCAGCTCTTAAATTGCCTACTTGCCCGCCTGCACTTCTTCTCGCATCTCACCAAGCACTCCCTCGTATCGTGCTCTCAGATCCCGGTCCTCATTGAAAATTTTGACTCGCTCCACCGGTTGGGTTCTCTTTACATTGACAGCTTGTGTGATTTCTTGAGTAAACCATTTGCCTTCACGATGAGTGAATAGAGTCCACGCAGCACCCGGTCTTCCAGCTCTAGCCGTGCGTCCGACACGATGAATGTACGCTATGAGCGAGCGAGGAATGTCGTATTGGATGACGTGGGTGATTGGCCTTCCCTTTACTGAATCGAGACCACGCGAGGCACGGTCTGTTGAGACCACTATTGCCGGCTCGTGCGGTTTGGAGAGCAAATTTGGTCTGCTTGACTTGACGAGTGTCGTAACGTACTTCGACCAAGCAGGCTTCAATGCCTTGAACAGGTGGGCCAAACGGTGGGCAGATTCATTGCTAGAGGTGAAGATGAGCACAGTCGGTGCGGTGAACCTCTCAGTGGGCTTAGGCCTCTGGACGGTCTGAGAAGGCTTCTGTGTGACTGACTTGAGGGGTTTGCTAGCTAAATCAGGATCTCTGCCGTCACTGGTGTCGCTGTCGCTGTCGCTGTCATCACTGGATGAATCGCTGCTCATCGAAGATATGCTGGAATCATCTTCACCGTCGTCACTTTCAGAGTCGGAGTCGGTATTGTCGTTTGGCGTGTGTGCAGAGATCTCGACTTCGTTCAAAACTCTTGATCGCAGTAGCTCTATGACGATAAGCGGTTTCTCAGAGCCATCGCCGACGGGAACAGAATACTCGACAAGTGTAGTCGGAAGCTCAAAGCCATCAGCGTGCTGCCTTACGCTGCCAGCCTCTCCTCCTGCGTCGTCTCTGGCGTCAGAAGCTATCATTTCTTCCTCAGCTTCGGTACCACGCACAACCACAAGCCTGGGTCTTCTCAAGCGTAGCGAGCTGAGTTTCGAAATATCCCTAGTCATTGTCGCCGAGAGAACTACCTTTCGAAGGCGCCTCTCCCGTCTCTCATCCCAAAGATCATTTGCTCGAAGGTAGCGCTCTCGTGCATCTTGCTCGTCATCAAATCTTGGGCGCGTCAATTCCGTGTTAAGCTCGCTTAGCACCTTCTCCTGTTGGTTGTCAAGAAGCTTGTCTGCCTCGTCGATCACCAACCATTGCACGTGAGTGAGGGCGAAGCCGCTAGTGCTGTTGATGTGCTCCATAAGCCTTCCTGGTGTTGCGACCAGGAGATCGACTGCAGACTCATACGTGGGAATGTGGTTGACGAAGCCGGCGATGGTATCGGCAACAGTATCGTCTATTCGCGTGTCGTCTCTTGCGTCTCCTGAGCCCTGATCAAGCCCGTCAATGCGCAGTTTAGCAATGCCAAGCCTCTTTTGGCACTCCTGTGGGTTGTATTTTCGGCCACGATTTATAAGCTTTTGCTGCTCCTCCTTGAGCGTACGATTTCCAGGTATATGCTCCGTCTTGATCTCGCTCCCCGAGCTCAGCGCCTTCGCCACTGCATCTACTTGAAGAGCCAATTCTCGAGTGGGTACAACAATGAGAGCTCTGAGCCTACCTCGACCTGGGCTCTTTCGAAGAGCTTGAATTATTGGTAGGAGATACGAGATGGTTTTGCCGCTTCCTGTGGGCGCACTTACTGCAATGTCAGGCAATCGCTCTTCACATCCTGGCAAGAACGAAGATCCTGCTTCTCCCGGAGGCAGTAACAGTGGTATGAGAGCTTGTTGTACAGGCAGAGCATCTTGAAAGCCGAGTCCGGCCATGAGCTTCACCGTTGAAGGCTCTAAGTCGAGTTCGCTGAATGTAGCTTTACTTTCTGAAGAGACGACAGTCGGTTTCGACAGCCAAGATGGTAGGATTGAAGCCTCGGATTGCGCGACATGCGCGTGGTCAATGTCTGGTTCTGGAAGCGAAAGCTGGGAAACCACTGTCGGCACAGGACCTGACGTATCGTTCGCATCTGGTTCCTTATCGTCGTCCTCCTGTGCGCGCCTGACAGATTTCTGGAACTTGCCCAGAATGCCGCTATGCTTCCTCACGCTCGTTTCATCGTTGTCACTGGATGTGTTGTCATGCTCGCCAGCACCTGGCTCAGCTTGTGCGTCCACTAGGACGCTTTCAAGCTTGTGTCGCCTCTTCTTAAGCTGTGCTTGTTGACATGAACCATCCTCATTTGGAACATGTTCATTCGTTGATGATGTGACAGCCTCTGGACGAGGTTCTGACGCGATGGTTTGCGGCACTTCAGCTTCAGCTTCCTCGCTCACGCCCCCTCCAGTTCCCAGCTCCTTCTCTGCGGCCTTGCGTGCCTTCCGCGCCTCCTTTTCAAGCTTGTGACGCTTCTTGGCGTTCTTTATGTGAGAGAAGTCGCCCGTTGCAGTTGCAGGCGCTGAAGCGGTCACAGTGGTCAGAGGAGCGATCGGTTCCTCTCTGACTACCGCTTCAATTGGCTCAGCAGGCTGTGGTGTCGTCAAATTGGGCGCAGGGGCACGGTCAATTCCTTTCTTCCTGAGCTTCTTCGCCTTGCGCTCTTCGATTTCATCGTGCGATCTCTCCCGCTCTCGCTTGCGCTTTTTCTCTGGCTCTGGTGTCTCGGGCTGCTTTGGCGTCGATTGCTTGATCGGAGCTTTCTGAGGGGCGAGGGCCTGCTGAGGCGGTATATATCGCTTGTAGAGGGTTGACATTGCGCGCGATGCCAAAGTGCCCTGCTTGTCGCAGAAAGAATTCATGTGGGAGCTCGCACTACGGACGGCGGTATCGCTGGAATTGCAAGATCTGCTGCGCCGATGCCAAGCCCGGGAAGGAGAGGTACAATTCTTGTTGTCTCTCTTCCTCTCGTCAACATATGGAACATTGTACCCTCTGCCAGCAATGCAGCGACTGCAGGACTATCAGCTGTGGCCCAAGCAATACCAATAGCATACACTCGGTATATTCCGCGTCCCCGAGACGTGCAACGTCGACAAGATGCCGTACAATATCGCGTAAGTGCTCTCCCCAAGTCCAGCTGTACAGTACCGTGGCTGATCGTCCTAGCATGGTATCGGATTTCTTCTATCCTCAGCCCGGCGGCGTTGAGAGCCACATCTATCAGCTCTCCAGCGTATGTGACAAAAGCATGCCCTACCAAGTTGGCATGTGAATTGACCGTAATCGTAGAAGCTGATCGATCGAGGCCACAAAGTCATTGTAATCACACATGCTTATGGCGCACCATACCCCAGCCGCTCTGGTATCAGATACTTGACCAATCGATTGAAGGTCTATCATTTACCACACTGGGTTGTCTTCCGTCAAACCACATTCCCGACAGTCTTCTCGTCGTTTCCGCTCTTGCGTCAAATCTTCATTCGAGAGCAGATTCAGATCGTCCATGGACATGGTTCACTGAGCAATCTATGCCACGAAGGAATGCTCCATGCGAGAACCATGAGTCTGCACACGGTTTTCACGGATCACAGTTTGTTCGGCTTCAGTGATGCTGCCAGTATCATGGCCAACAAGCTTCTCAAATTCAGCCTGAGCGATGTTGGTCATTCAATCTGTGTCAGTCACACATGGTATGTTACCCTGTTGCAGAAAAGCGTTCACATTCCTAATGCATCTGCAGCAAGGAGAACACGACCCTCAGAGCTTCACTCAACCCGCTCGCTGTGTCAGTCATCCCGAATGCCGTGGTCCCCCGCGACTTCAAGCCCTACTCGCCAGATGAGGAAAATCTGCATAGCGACAAAAATGCCATCCTACCACCTCCTCCAGATCCGAGGAAGCCTGTTGGTCCCGATGACCCGATCACGATTGTCGTAATATCTAGACTATTTTACAACAAAGGCACAGACTTGCTCATCTCCGCGCTGCCGCTACTGCTGCGACAGCACCAAAATCTACGCTTCATCATCGCCGGAAGTGGTCCGAAAGCCATCGATTTGGAACAAACCTTGGACTCTCTTCCTCAGCAATTAGTGTATACGCCATCCGGTGAAAGCAGGGTAATATTGCTAGGTAGCATTCGACATGAGGAAGTCCGAGATGTGATGATACGAGGTCATCTGCTGCTCTCAACATCGCTCACTGAAGCTTTCGGCACCGTCCTTGTCGAAGCGGCTAGCTGCGGTCTCATGGTGGTCGCCACGAGGGTTGGAGGTGTACCAGAAGTCTTACCGGGCAACATGACCGTCTTAGTTCTCCCAGAAGTGGAAGACGTTGTGCGAGGCGTCACTGAAGCTGTTGGAATCCTGACAAATCGAACCGTCCGCCGAGACAAGTTTCATGATCTCGTAAAGCAGATGTACTCTTGGTCAGACGTTGCTCGACGGACAGAACGTGTCTACGACATCGTTACCGGCACGCCTTCTGCACCTGATAACTCGCAGTATGAGGACGTAGACATGCATTATGGTCAGCCGCCGCAGGGCTCGTCAGCTTTGATGGACAGACTGAAGCGGTATTATGGTTGCGGTGTATGGGCAGGAAAACTCTTCGTGATTGTCGTAGTAGTGGACTACTTGATCTATTGCCTCTTGGAGATTATGTATCCAAGAGACGGCATTGATCTTTGCAAGCTATGGCCAGCACGCAAGGTCAAGGTCAAGGATGATTTCGAAGCGGATTCGTTGAACGAGGATGTCTTGCCAGCAATGGCTCGGTGAAGCAGAAAAACTGGCGAAAGCGGGAGGGCAGGGAAGAGTGAATTTTGGCTGGGAAAATTACGGCGCTTGGGCGTATATGCATATTCGAGATACCCTCATGTATATAATATTTTCACTTTCTTGCTTATTGGATATACAGACCCTGCCTCACATTCTATTTGTATAACAAGTCTATATAACAAGTGCCTCGCGAGCACCTATTTCCTACGCCTACGACTACTACTAATCTTCTCTAATTTCTTACCTATTAACTACCTCGGACGTCCTTAATACGTCTATTACTAAGGTAATACGATCTCGATTATTAGTAAGGACAAATATCGTAAAGTAGCTATTCTAGCGTTATATATCTATAGAATAGGTTAAATAGTATAATAATAACTCTATATTTTTACTTAAAGTTATATTAGAACTATACCTAGGTAGTATTAGTTTAATAGAGATCTTTACTTATATAGTAAATTATATATTTCTAAAGATATAGAAATAAAAAATTATAAAATACTATACTATAAGAAACGCTATAGTACGAATAGCGTCCGGATTGTCTCTATTATAATACTAAATAATACCGTTTATATTAAACGAAACCTACGTACTCTCTTAGAATTAGCCGCTCTCTAACCTCTAAGTATTTGCTAGATATAAATATATCGCGTTATTAAAGGAGAGGGTAGGCTAGCTAGCTCTAGGCGTAATCTACTAGCGACTTGTTCTCGCTCGGATATCTTCTATTCTACCTGTTCTACCTCTTTAAATTTCTTTCCAAAAGCCGGATATACTCTACAGTATCCTCCTGTATTGTCTTGTATTCGAATTTATAGCATTAAATAGCGCTAGTTGCTTATAGTATAAATCTATAAGTATAATTCCACAGATTTTGTATATTTGTCCTTGGACACTTGCTAGCGCAAGGAGGTTAGTATAGTTAGGTGTGTAGCTCTGTAGCTGTGTGGGTCCAGTCGCGTAGTAGTCCGATATAGAATGGTTATAAGGTAGAAGGTAGAAGGTAGAAGGTGGTAGTTAGAAAGAGCCCACCACCTGCCACCCTGAAAACCTCCTTGCGCCCAAACAGTAAGTGGCTGAAACGGAGATAGACTACCCTATACATAACCCCTAACGACTGCTCGTAATGGCAGAAGACCAAGCTACATTTAATCGACGGACAAAGGAGCGCCAGAGGGCAAAGGCCGACCGCCTAAAGCAACAAGTAGACCACATCGAGGAACAGTTGTTTAGCCTCAACGTTCCAATTCCAGAGCGCAACCAGCGCGAGGTTGCAAACCACAGATATGACTGGAACAAGGCCGGTCGGTTTGAGGAGTGTGCAGAGCCTGGCTTCGGCAAGGCTCTGTGACTGCACTGGCTTGGGACTGCCTCCTTATTTGGCCCATAACCGTACTCTTCACTGGAAAGTTATGGTTTGGAAAGGAATATCCTCTCTTTCGAGCCTATGCTGCGTGGCTTTGCGAAAAAAAGTTAACTTGCCCTACTGCTGCTCTCGCCATAGCAACCCATTGCGCTATTCCTGTTGACTCAAGAAAGAAGTAGTCCACTAGAAGTTGCTGAGATGCCGCTCATAGTCCTACACGCACTAATCCTCCACGGAGACATACCACGGCTTCTTTCCAGCTCGCACAGCTTTCGTTTCAAGAAGTCTGATGCCGACCATCCTGGTGTCCTCATCCAAGCTCTGTGACCAGCTCCGAACCATTCCTACCGCTTGCCTTCGTATCTCACTCGAAGTTGGAACACTCGCGTTTTGGAGAATCTGCTTGCCAAGATCGATCCGCAAGTCGTTGAGAATGTTCCAATTCTGTACAGTGGCGAGATCTGACGCGTCCAGAGTGCCAAAACGTATCGCCATCGTAACCATATCATCGGAATTGAACCCAATGCCTCTCAAAAACTTGAAGAATTGGTTATATCGATCACCGTATACCCGTTGAGAGGAACAGAGCTCTTGGAGAAGCGTCATGAGGCCGCTATGCAGCTGCGTAAGGTCACCTTCGTGATGGCCTGTATCTGGAGGCAATGTCAACGGAAGACGCATAAACAATGTGCCCGGGAGCATGCGCGGAGAACGATCCCGGTTACACTGCCATTGCTGTGTACGGAGAGCCTCGACTTGAGTGACAAGTTCTTGCAATACAGGTCTGACGTTCTTGTACCAAATGGCGAAGGCACTCGAGGGCCATATTGGGGCATGTAGACTCCTGACGAATTCCGTCCAATCACCGAAAGACGAGTCTGAGCTGCGCAGTATAGTTTCTGCTTGGCGCATTAAGACGTTTTGTAGCTGCTGAATACTTGGTCCATCGTGTCTTGCTGTCCATTCATACTTCAAAAGTGGTACCAGCGTTTTCGAGTAGATCAATCGGGATGCGTTTGGTCCGAACATCGAAAGCCAATGCTTTCCTGCATTTGACTCGCGAAGTTTGCTATCTTCTTGTACGCGCTTTGTGACCTCAAGCATTCTGGGTGCGGGACTGTAGATTTGGTTCCAGGCCTGCAACCAGACTTCGACCTCCCTAAGTGCAAGAACTTCAGGATGATCAAGTAGTCGCAAAAGCATTTGTGCTTTGCAAGGCAGGCCGGGAAGTTCATCAAGGTCCACACCGAGGTACCTAGAGAAGGCTGTCATCCAGATTTTATTACTTTGGATGGAACCATGTAGTGTGGGAATCACCAGGCGCGAAAATATCTCATCTCGGAGGTCAACGATTTTCAGCGCAGAGAACACTGTAGCAAGCATTGGTGGCATCGCCGTAGCATCGTTCTCCATGTAGACATCTGATAGCTCGGAAAGATCAGTCTCCGCACGTTTCCAATCGTAGGCGTTCATCGGCTTTCGCTCGTTGATGCTGGACATCGCGGGAACGACGTGTTCTTCGAGAGCGTCAATGACTTCAGCCCTTAATTTAGAGCTCTGAGCTGATGCAAGAATGTCACTCAGGCTGTCTATTACTGAGACACGGACATCGAGATGACTCGCTCGGCGCAGTAGGGAGATGAGAATGCGCACTGCTGACTCCTCGTCGATGAATTCGGCTCCAGAGAAAAGCTGGGAAAGCATCTTGATGGTGGTCACCTTGATCAGCGGGGTTTGTGAAGAGCTTGCTTCTTGTTTACGAGTGGATTGGTCCCTCATCTTCTGCTGCATTCCTTCAGCAAGATCGCACAAGAATGCTTCGGCGACGTCTCTAGGCAGCGCATTGAGCAATCCGTTTGTTACGAGAGATCGTTGCCAAGAACTGTCCATCGGGCGCTCCAGGACGATTTCTTTGATCAGCTCCAGACCTATCTGAGGTCTGTCGCCTTTCACAAGAACCATCATCAGTTTGAATGCATCCACGGGAGTACGCTCTTCTTGGAGATCGGCTGCAGCGATGATGCCTCTGATCAACTCCAGTAGGAGTTTGTAGGGCACGTCACTTGACAATCGCTCAAGAATGCGCCAGATTGATTTGGTATGGAGCTCATTGAGGTCCAAGAACTCTCCATCAAGGTAAACGGCTGGAAATCTTGGAGCGGAGTCGGAAGGATATGGTCTAGGTAGTAGGCTCGCAGACGGCTTGTGTTGACCAGCAATATAGAGCATCACCGCGACAATTAACGTCTCCTTCATCGTCACTGGCATGGCTTTGCCCTCGAAGCGGTTCCAGATCAAAGTCGGCTTGTAGGCCGGGATGTATGCATCATAATGACATGGACCACACTTAATGTCATCAATGTAGTGCGAGGTCTTCTGAAGCATGTCGTCCAACCTTGTACGCTCCAGCTTGCGCGACTTAACTTCATGTTCTAGATATTTAGGATCGGGATTCCACTCAGTCTGCAGCGCGTCAGGCTCAATTGTGAACAAGGCTGATATAGGTGGTTGACTCAGCCGCTCTTTCCAAGGCCCATACAATTCTAGAGCTAAGAGGGAGGTCCGGAAGATCGGAGACCAGAACAGGAAAGCTTCAACAGGATTTAATCTTGGAGCTGAAAGCGGTCCCACTGCGTACTTCCAAGCAGCCATTGCTGCCGATGAGTGGTCGGAGCTGCTGGCAACGAACACCTGAAGAGCCTTCTTCCAATCTTCTTGGAAGGGCCCGATGGCTTGTTCCGTCTCGTCCGAGTCCAGCTGTACAGAAAGGACATCTTCGGGCCTGACGAAGACAATTTGCTCTGCCCGAGCTCGCAGGTACGGGACAGCAGTATCCGAGTAGCCCAGCCCATCTTTGCCAATCTCAGCAGGAATCAGATAGCCAATCGACAGACCTTTCGGATACAAAGCCGGCAAGGCTGATGCAGCAGGATATTGAGTCGGCCGATAGTCGGCCCAGAGTTGGTCGCGCTGTCTGGCAATGATATCTATAAAGCGTAGGGTAGCCGGTCGTGGTTTCACTAGCACGTGCCGCGTATGGGAACTGAATTCGGGAATGCTCAATATTGGACCTCCCGCCGTGTTAAAGCCCAGGTTGGCGTGCTTCTCATCTAAACCTAGGCGTTCCATCCTAAGGCAGACTGCGACTGTGTCTTGCCAGATAATTTCGAAAACCTGCTCATCAGAGAGAACCAGCGAATCCTGTAGGTCATTGACTCGCTCCAGTCTCCTTTGGACCACCAGATCCATGACTTGTGTTACAGCAGTCCAGTGGTACGGTTGGAAGCTTGGTTCAGTCAGAGCCTCACAAGCTGTTTGAAGTAGCTCTTCACAGATTCGATTCGCTTTACGCACGGACTCGGATACTTCCTGTGGCGTATTTGCAGCAGCTTCGGCCTTCTCTGCGAAGCCGCAAAGCAGGTTGAGGCTGCGTTCTCGATGAATTGAGCTTTCGGAGTAAATATCAGTGACAGTGATTGGGTTTCTGGTGTAGGTCTTAGCCCAAAGTAGCGTCTCGCGATATAAGTCAAGAGAGCATGAGGCCGTTGCACAATGCAGAGCATAGGATGCCCATCGAGCTCGCTCTTCCTGCTGTCGAGCTTTGCTGGCCTCTTTCTTGCTTTCCTCTACGACCTCGGAGGCAGAGGAGAGCAGATCTGGTTGATCCTTCGACAGCCAGAGCAGAACCAACGTTGAATCATGGCTAAATCGCTTGTCGTAATTCGCAAAGCCAGCTTGGAACACGTCCCCGGCTTTTACCTTGATGAGGCGTTGCAACAGATGTCGGGTCTCGAGCCCTGGTAGAGCAAGAAGCAAATCAGATGACCATGCAAAATCAAGGCTCTTTAGATCGTCTTCAGATTCAATGTCGACCTTGAAGCAAGCTGCGACGGACATGACAATTCGGAACAGCCTGTATTTCATCGACGAATGTACAAGAGCAACAAGTGCTTGAATTTGCCGAGGGTTGATCTTCTGTTGAGGCGATGCCAAGCCAAGAAGCTCTACGAGGTGGTCCTCAAATGTTTCAGGATGGCGAGACCATCGACGTATGATTGTTGTCGCGACGCTATTGTTATCGAGTTCCAAGTGCCGCGCTGAAGGCTTGAGATGCGTTGTAAAGTATTTCACGTAGCATTCGGCGGCTGCGATAAGAATGCCCGGCTTGCATCGACAACGCCAAAGTCTTTGGAAGAGCGGCCTAGCCAAGAACGAGAGAATGCTCTCGGCCTCACTGACTTTGGTGAATGTGCGGTCGGAAAGGACGCGCAAAACTTCCAAGGAGAAGACAGTATTTTCAGACAATCTCTCGCCTCGGTACAAGAGGGATTCGTCCGACTTTATCATCAAGAGGGCCTGCAGTGCCGTCTTGTCAATCTCGATTCCCTCATTTCTTAGAGCAGAAAGTGTCCTACGACGGATGGAACTGATATGCGTTCCAGGAAGCTTGCCAAGGCCATCACTGACGGGTTTCGACGAAGCGCTCAAGGTTGAGAGAACTGTTTCTTCCGAGCATGCTGGCAGTAAACTCCGATGATGTGCGGCCAATGGCCTTTCCAGAGTCTTGAGGACAGCATTTGGGAATTGTCGGTTCTTTAATTCTTTGTACAGCTCATCAACCAATGACTGCCTTGTCTCGCGAGCGGCCTTCGAAGTCGCCGTCCTTCCAATCTCGCGGCAAAAGTGTTTGACGTTCGCAACGGACGTTGATGCGAGGTAGTCAACGACGCCAGAAGTGCCACCCAGCACGTTCCATACCTCTTCCACACGTTGGCTGCGAAAGAGCTTTCCAAGCCTGGCAATAGCGCCATGCGTTACGGATTTGGAGACTTGCTGCCGCAGTCCCGCCCTGACGGCCTGACAGTCTCCGCCGGCAGTGAGCCAGAGCGTGAAGACTCTGGGAGGGATGGATTCCTCTTCAATTCCGGTCAAGATTAGCCTGGTGACTTCATCGGCGCCGTGTTGGGAGGCAGTGTTGCGAAGATACTGCGCAAGCGTGGCCGCTTCATTGTTCAGAAGGGTAGAGAGATCCATGGTGCGAAGTTGAGAGCTCGGTCAAGGTGGTTAGGCCTATCTCTTGTGCAGTGAATCTTCTATGATATAGCCTCTGGGATTCGATGGCGGCCAGCAGTAGGCTCCGATGGCGTGGACGAAAGCGCCATAGCTGAGGTCGACGTGCTGATCCTTCCAGCTGGGGACTCCACAATCACGGTGACACATCGTGGAGGGGCAAAGAGTGATTGGTGGTTGTCGAGTGGCCATCTCAGAACGAAGCAGGCAGACGGTGACCACTTCAGGCAGCAGTACGGAGAATCTTTGGGACACAACGTGATGGGATGAAAGGTAGTGACTCAGTGACATCCTCGCACCGGACCTGCCTCGGATCCGGACATCGCAAGAAGCGTGCGTAACAACAGATTACTCTAGTCATACTGGAAGTTAAGACAAGACTGGCTGGCGATTCGCAAGCTGTGGACGAACCGCTAATCATGCTTCATCTGCAACAATGCTATCGCCGCCCGCAGCCGTTCATTCTCCTCTTTCAACGCCGTCTCAGCGGGTATCAACTTCTCGAACAGCATTCTTGCCATGGACAGCTCGGTCTCGAGCATGCTATTTCGATCTTTCAGTGCTGCCAGCTCGCCGTGCAGCTTTCCATTGGCATGCCCCAGGACCTCAGCATAGTCTTGTGCCGCTGTATACGGGACTTTCGTGAGGCGAGAAATTTGTTGCTGCTGCTGCCAGATTATGGTTTCGTGATCGCTTGCTTCTTGGTCGAGGTGTCGGATTGTCTCTTCTTGCTCTTCGAACGCTTGTTTGGCTGTGGCGAGCTCACGCATCAGGGCTGGATCGGTGCTAGAACGATTGTGAAAGGCCGTGCCTGCGCTGGTTTTAGCAATCTTAGAGTCTGGCTGTGATCTTGGGATGTCTGGGGCGGCGCGTCTAGCAGGCATCGCAATCGGTGCGAACAGATCTACGATGAAGCTCTGTCCGCTCGCGAGATGCCTTTGCTGTCCGACAATCGGCGGAAGGAGAGGCTGAGATCTCGTACAAATCGGGATGGAGCAAGTTTGAATGCTGCAAGGTAGCTCTGCGTGGAAGTAACGTTCACCTACGAGGCCTTGTACCTACAGGTCGTTGTGTTTGCTGTCCGGGAACATGCGTGTCTGATACATACCAGCGAGTTCCACCATCATCGGCTGCGATTCTGCAAGTCTGAGCTGTAGTTGAAACATGTCTCTTCGCTTGTGTGAATGCAGATTCACCGCGATGAGACGCAATGCGCTCCATCGTGTTATAACACACCGCATATTGTGCAGACTTTGCGTCCTGGCCGTACATGCTCCGTATAGCGTCGCTCCAGGTTGTATTCTATCCAGCTCTTGCCATTGCCAGCCATAGATCCACCGCCAGGACCTGACACACTCGACGGCCTCCGCTCTTATCCGTATCACATCCGTGTATAGAGACATATTCGATGGAATGCCGAGTAAATACAATTGCCTGAAGCAGAGTGGCCACGGTCTTGCGGCGGATATACTCCTGTCGAGGTCTGCGAGCAAGAGGAGCGCGAAGACTCCCTTTGCCAAGCCCTTGCGTCCCGACCCGACCTCAGCTCTTCTTGAATTCTTTATTCTTTCACATCTGCTACAACTTCCGCCTTCACACATTTTGGCCTCCACTGCACGGCTTGTCGCCATGCGCGTGATGGCCTATACAAAGAATATCAGTACATCCACGCCGCCGTCGCAGGTGGGCGCGGTGTCGCTGGGGCCATACTGCTCTGTTCTCGCGGTACGAGCATGAGTGCCAACAGGACAACGTACACAGTATCGCGCCGGCACCGATCTCCAAGAACATACCAGCAGCAGTACCCCAGCACTCGACTCAAGCGATCAAACCAGTGCGCAGACAAGAGGGAGCGGCAATTCGCTACCGCGCGCGACGACGCCACACTCACCTCTGCCTTACCACCGGCGATCAACCGTGAGCGAAACGTGCCTGGTGTAGGACTCCGCGTGACTGGCATGGCGGATCTCAGCGCTGAAGTCGAGCACGTCGGTGGATGCAAGAGCAGACGAACTGTCCTGGCGGTCATCCAACACGGTGCGCACAAGCCCGGCGACTGATGTCGGTGTCAGGTTGGTTCAACGCTCACGGTGGGCTAACACCGCCACCCACCACCTTCACTGGACGCACGAGGGTACGATCCAACCTCCAAGATGTGTCCATATTCAATGGTGCCGACGATGCTGTCCGCAGCCCGCTTCTGTTGTCGGCATTCCGAAAGTGCCATCCAAGGGGCAAAGTTGAAGAAATAGATGACGGAGCGGCAAGGAGTTGAAGGTAGATCGCAAAGTGTTCGAGTCTTCCACATCACCTGCTAGAAGTCTAGTCCTGAAGTAGTAAGGCCAGCCTTTGCCGAACTTTCTGATGTGGGCTCTGCTGCTGCGTGTACGAATAGACAGACGCGATTGACGTACCTAGCCTGAAGCGGAAGCAAGTGAATGCTCGCACGGACGCCTTCGAGAAAGGTCGCGCTAGCATCTTGCGCTGCACTTCAAGAAGGGACATTCGCAATCTTCCTCTTGCTCTCCCTTCTGAATCGAACACCCCAGGATCCACCATCGCCCGTCACACGACTCGAACCCAAAACAGCCACCCCAAATCAACCTCGACGACCCCACAGCGGTGGACAGTAGCATCTTTTTCAGACTCTGCATCATCCCATTGACCGCAGCAACCAGCGTATCTCATTCGACGACACAACTGGCAATCGACCACCCTAGAGGCGCTCTGCAATCTCACACACTTCTCACCACTCGACTCGACCGTTCCGAACCACGGAAATCTCCTCTATCTTCCACAACAGCACAGCTTTGAACATCAGAAATGTCTTCATTCACCCAAGGCGAGACTGATGTCGTCACACGCGCCCTTCGCGACATCATGAACCGGTTGTCAAGCGAAAAGAAGACCAAATCTCGCCTCGGCAAGCTTGAGGAGCTTCTGGACGGCGAAGACTGGAAGTCGATCGCGCTCAAGCTGTCAGGCCGTTCTGCGATGGACGTCATCCTCCACTACCACGGCACTAGAGCCAGGACGACTTCATGGCTCTGGAAGCTACTCGAGATCTCTGCACCAAGCCATATAGCCGCGAAGCGTCCTCGCGAAGAGTCGAGTGACGACAGCGAAGGTCCACCATCCAAGCGCCAGGACAACAAGAAGCCTTCGCCCAAGCGGCGTGTGTCCAATCAGTCCACTGCGTCGTCATCGGCTGGTAGTTCCTCACTGGGCAACCGAGAGTCGTCTTCGCGTGAACAGACAGCATCCCGTTCCGCTTCACCTGCCACTGATGCTAGCTCATCAGCACCGCAAGGAGCCGAACCGTCGGCCGTCCAGGCACAGGTTCCTACAGCTAGGTCGATGTACGACCTTCCTGTTGCTGTGAGCCGGGAGATTGCCAAAAAGGACGCAAAGATCCAGAGTTTGACGGAAGAGAACAACAAGCTGAAGAGGCGGCTAGCAGAGAAGGAGAAAGAGAGCTTGCAATCCAAGCTTTTGAGTTTGCAAGAGGAGCACAAGTATCTTGAACTGAACAACATTCCTCTCGAGCAGCACAACGAGAAGATCAAGGCTGTGAAGGCAGACTCCGAAAAGAAACTTAAAGATGCCAAGGACCTTGCCGACCATCAGCAGGCCTTTCTACAGCGACAGCTCAATGAGAGTGAAGAGAAGTATCGGGAAGCGCAGAAGAATCTTCGCAACACCAAGGAAGGCGGCTATAATACGATCGACCGCTTGAGGAACGAGCGCAACCGATTACGCGAGGCACTTGGCACGGAGGATTGGACTCCCGATGAGATCAATCTCGTCAAGAAGTCTTTTCGGCCAACTCGCGATGCCACATATGGCGGTGATCTCAAGAGTGGATATCGATTCGATCAAGCTGCCGTCAACAATGCCTGCGAGAAATATGGCATGAGCATGATCAGCCACGAGCACAGCTCTGATCCCGAGAAGCGCAAGAAGTTCTTGCGAAACGCTACAGATGTCTATCGACACCATGGCAACCCGCTTCCCGCTGCTCTTCGAGACGACACACCCACTGCTCCGAAACAGTAGATTTTGTGGGCACACATACATCTGTCTTCACACCATGATGACATTGCACCACATCGCCTCGTACACATCACTACAAACCAAGCCTAGACTCTCACATAACCATTAAGCAGCGCAAGGCCCTATGCCTAGAGCATCACTTCCTGCTCTTTGCGATCGAGTCGGCATATCCCACAACATTCCACCCTCACAACTCGCGCGCGAAACGCGACATACCTAGCTTGGAGACTCTCTCATATACCCTGCCATCAAGCTGTTCAGAGCACTGCTTAGAACCGTATGCGATCGAGTCGAAAATCTCACATCTTGCAAAACAATACAAGATAGAAGGACACGAAGAAAGGGGGGGGGGGAGAAAAGGCTGGCCAACTTCCTTCCACCTTTCCGGACCAGAATCATTACATCGACTGAGGAGCTCAGACATGTCCTTTTGAGCGGATGGCTATTGATTTAGCTCAGAAGCTCTTTGGAATGATTGACGAATTGTTCGAGATTGTGAATTTTTGGGGGAATGTCGGAAAAAGAGGGTGGAAGTTGGGCTTTCGCTTTGCAGATTTTCTTTTCTTTTCCTCTGGAGACGGTGAAAAAAGAGAGGAAAGATACTATGAGATTGATGAGGGGTTGATAGGAACAAGTGACGGACTCCTGAGAGAGTTTGGTTTGAAACAGCAGATAGCTTTACGCATAGAGGCTCATTCAAGATACAACGGCTTCACGTTTAGACAGTGCGCGTTATCAACGCCCTTCACGCATAATGTTTGCAAAAGCATGGAATTTTTTATAACGAACAGACGTTGTTCATTGTTCATTTCAACTGTCGTGCTTTCAGCTCTGTACAGTTCGCAAAGCTGGCATATACAACACTGAAGCAGATCTCCTCCAACGCCTCGCTCCCTTGCGGCATGATGCTGCCTGCATGGTACAGAATTCAACAGCAAGACAAGGACATCGCCCACCTAAGCTTCACAAGCCTGGTCCTCATCCAACCATTTTCCCAGCGGCAGCAGCAGCAGTAGCTTGCTGTGCAGCCATGCGCAACCTATCGCTCTCCATTCTCTCTGCTACGGCGTTGACAGCTGAATTCATCATGGCCATCCCATCATTCTCTCGTTCCTGGGACTTACCGGCGTCAACGCGCCGTAAAAAGTCCCGAACTCGGCCGACCTCTGTCTGGCCCAAGTTTCCACGCTCGCTCTCTACAGCAGCTACTAGAGCAGGGAGAGATTCTTCGACTTTGTCTTCGGGTACGCCTGTGCACAGAGCAACGACTTTGCGGTATTGACTTTCCAGTTGTGTCGAATTGGCTCGGAGCTCTTCAGCCTTGGACTGGAGCTTGGTATTGGATTGACTGTAAGCGTTGACACGAGCCTTGAGGGTGTGTGCCGCAGGCAAAGAGCTCGTGACGAGTTGTCGCTGGTGCGCATCCATCTGCGGGCTGATCCCATCCTTCAAGTCCATGAGCCAGTCTGGTTCCAGATCGATTTGCGAAGTGGGCGACTGCGGCTTCCGACCCTTCTGCGGTCGTTTGGAGACAGCCTTTCTCTTTTCGATCTCTCTACGCAGATTGGCAACTTTGGCTTGCCTCTCCGCGCGACGCTGAACCCTCTCTTTCATTTCCTGCAATTTCTCGAGATCGGACTTCTGCAGGGCGCTGAGCTCTCGGATTTGTTCGTTGAGGTGGTCGATGGCCTCAGTCTTGTTGGCCAAGAGTTCTTTGTGCGAGACAAGATTTTGCGTAAGCAGCGATGTCATAGCTGTAATCTGTGTCAGTGAGTCCGTGATCAGTAACACGCAGAGAGGTACAATAACTGACATTCAATGATCTCTTTGCCAAGGCCCTCCGCCTGACTTGCCGACAGTGCTCCAGCATCGCCATCTGCATTGGTCGCTGACATATGGAAGCTGGATGTCGGTCCTTGTTGTGAGCTTCCCAACCCGCCGTTTGGTTGGAAGCGATGATTCTCGCCTGGTTCGAGGCCAACGCCAAAGTCTTTAGCACTGAGGCCTTTGTTGTTAGGTAGATCCGGATCGGCATGGATCTCGAGCAGTTGTTGAATGATACTTCGGTTTCCTATCCGAGCGACCAGGTTTAAGGCCGTGTTGCCAGCCTTGTCACGGGCATTGACAATTTGGGACAAGAAGCGTACCAGACTAATGGGTCCGCGAGGTAGACTAATGCCGCGCTCGGAGTCCTGACTGGAAATGTCGCCATTGGTCTGCGCTGACGCCTGTGCTACAGCTGCAGCAGCAACACTGGAAGCACCGTGCGATGCACTTGCAGTCTCTGGCTTGGTTCCTATCCTGACCAAGAACTCCAAAAGCGCTTCCAGGTAGTACTTGCTGCTCGCTGCACGGCCTTTGATTCCTGACGAGACGGCAATGTGATGCAGGATCGTTCGACCTTGAACGTCACGCACATCGATGAGTGGGCCGAGAGCTTCTAGGGTTTCCGGAAAGCATGATTGTTCCCAGCAGTTGTTTACAAGCACCGCACTGATCAGTGGTGATTGTCCAGCAGCATTACCACGCCATATGCTTGCACCTTTCTGGATGAGGAGTTTCAAGAGAGGGACTTTCGCCAAAGTCGCTGCCCAATGTAATGCGTTGTTGGCAGAAGCGTCGAGTGGCATATTGAGATCCTCATTCGAAAGCTCCGTCAGCGCTCTGTGAGTTGCATAGTCCGTTCGGCCTTGATCAGCGAACAGATCTAGGATGAGGTTCATCTTCTCCTGCTGTTCCTCGGTCGTCGGGCTCGGCAAAGGTGGCAGAGCGATCGGGTCACCGTGAGCATTTACAGAGTCCTGCATCAGCGCGTTGTCGTACAAGAAGCTTTCATTCGGCTCTGTGGGGGTTGCAGAGCGCATTGAAGCATCCAAAGGTATGCTGAGTGGCTCCATGCCACTACCGCTATCAGGTCGCATGCGCTTTCTCGGAGGCTCGCCATTAGTCTGTGTGTTGTAACCAGAGTCGGGTTTGTGATCGCTTTCAGAGATTCTGCTCTGCTGGCTGCCGCTTGGCATATCTTGGGTCGAAGGTCTCCTCATGTTCGAGGGCCGAGGTATGCCGATCGTTCGTGGAGCCGGCGAGTTGAGTCGAGCAGCCTTGTTCATAGCAGCGAGCGCAACACTGGTACTCGGCGAGATATTGGAGAAGAAGGTGCCATTCGATCCTGGGAGGCCGTTGGGGGCTCGCTGTTCCAAGCTTGAGTTGGTGTAGAACTTCTTCCTCTGCGCCGCCATTGCTTGCTCCTTGGTCGGAGTCTCTTGGTGACCATGACCTTGCGAACCGTCGGCGCTAACGTCGTAGTCGAGCAGTGGGCTGAGAACATCTTCGACACCATACTGGCGACAGAATTCGCGACCTCGGCGGTAGCTGATCCAGGTACCTTGGTACTTGCCGTAGCCACCTTGTACCTTTTCGTGTTCGCCCGTCAAGATCTCCTTCTCGAGGACTTTGGTGCGCTTGCCCTTGTCGACGCCGGCGACTTTGAGGATCTGGGTCGCATTGAGCCAGCCATCACTTCGTCGGCGCATCACAGCGACACCGCCGATCTCCATTTCGTAGACCGATACGCCCGAGTACACGGCCTGGCGCAAGCATTAGCGAGATATCGGGGCATTCCCATATCCCATTACTCACGGTGTATATCTGCGGCTTCTCATCGTAGCCTCGCATGTGGTTGTTCATGGCGCCCTCGCCAAAGCTTCTTGCATAGCCGGGATTGCTCACGGGTCCATTGGGAAAACTCTGGGCGTAGGTGGGCTGCGGCTGCGGCTGCGGCTGGGGGTGGTGTTGGTGCTGGCTGGCGTCGAAGCTCATGTTGTATGCATGGCCGCCATACGAAGGGAGTGCGCCGGGCTGGCTGTTCGATTGCGCAGGAGATGGAGCCATGTGCTGATACGCCTGCTGCGGGGTGGCCGGCATGCTTCGAGGTAGACGTCGCTGTGTCGGCGACCATGCACTGCGCGAGCCTGCACGCGAGTGCCGACGGCGTGGTATGTAAAGGGCAGGGGAGCGAGCTGCTGCTGTTCACTGAGCATCGGCCCAATGCGCACTACTACTGAGATGCGTCGAAGCCCGAGAACTATCGCAATGGAACGTGTGCGTCTCGCGTCTCCAGCGACGCGGACGCCGGACGCGAGATCCTGACTGCCAAGGCGCTAGCGTCGGCTGTTCTCGCAGCCTAACCGGCGGTGGACATGCGCGCGAGCCTATGCTTTTCATGCTTCATGCTACGCTCTGCGCATGCTCGCACGCCATTGCTGCGGTGCTATGGAGTCTCATCGGCTCCGAGGACTACGAGCCGGACGAAGTCATCTACACACAAGCCATCCAGTGTAATCGTGAGGCACAAGGATCGCCTTCACATAGCTTATGGACGGCACTCAGACCTAGCAGCTGGAATTCGCAGCATCCTGCGACAAACCCTACGAGAATGCACTTATCTTCCTGATCCAAACGCCCGATCATACATGTCACACTTTGTAGCGTCGCGCTTTCGAAGAGTCTCCTTCAAGATCTGGCAAAACCGGGATCAACCAGGGCTTGGTGTACGCGTCGAGCATCACCTCAGGAACGCAAGACAGATGCGCAATGGTCTCCAAAGAGCAAACGAGGGCGACCGGCAGGCCCTGCTCCGGTGTCTAGAGTGGACATATGGCCGAAGAGGAAAGCGAAGATACGTGCTCTTGGAGCCATTGATGCCTGCAGAAGGACGTCAGGATATTGTTCAGTTGATGTCGAAGGATGAAGGCCCTGAGCAAGACGGTGACATTGAAAGCGAGAAGGATGGCTTTGACGGGGCGCAAGGAGAAATTGAAGCTAGTCATGAAGAGGAGCTTGCTGGCGGGATAAGTACCAACCAGGCTTTGGAAGCGGACGTCAGCACAACCGAGAAGCCTCTTCCATCGCTTACTCCTGAGCTATACGCCTTGGCCGCTTCTCAGAGGAGTCTGAATCTCCCAAGTAGCAAAAAGGCACCGAAGCAGTTGGAGCCGGTCATTCCTGAATTCAACGCTCGATTGCTACCTATGCCGAAAAAGCGCGTTAAGAACCTAACGCATCAGTGGTATGCCAAAGTGTTAGATCGGATCTTGGCACCACTTCCAGTTGGCGAATGGGAGCAGCTACGCGACTGGGCTCTGGGGATTGACATGCCAGATGTGAAAGAACGCAGGGGAAGCTCTGCAGCAACGTTGAATCGAGGTCATTTCCGTGGCCACACAGCACTGGAAGCAATCGTCGTGCAGGGACGACTAGATCCGAAATCTTTCCCAAATCAAAACGCGCACGAGATAAGTCGTCGGTTCATGCAGAGATTATGGGCGCAGGTGTTCTCAGACTGTCCTGTCATGGACTGGGACGATGACAAGAAGAAATGGAGGTAAGGCAATGGTCAATTTCTTCCAATTGATGGGAAGAGACTTCGCACGCGAGATGTCGCAGTCGCTAACCTGCAACATTGCTAGTGTACGATGGGGCATACGTGAGCTGCAATCGACGCAGAGGCAGAGGCAGGACCGCTCGCAGTTCAGAGTCTCACAACAGAGCATCTCTCCAGATGCAACTGAAGACGTGGTTGCCGTCGAAACAAAGACGTGATGCTGGACTGCACTTGCAGCCACGGAAAGGGCGGAAAGTCGCCCTCTCGCCCTCTCGCCCCCGCCCCGCACCATCCCTGCACCTCGCCAAGTTCTGCAGGAACGCCTCGACAGCACAGACGCGGCCTTCTCGAGATGGACACTGTACTCTCCAGGTAGAAACAGCTCAACCCATACTACGAAAGTAGGCAAATCCTGCGATCAACCATTTTCTGAGAGCCCGACCACAATTACATCTTATCTTGCAAAATCACTTCACAATGGCAAACGCGGAGCAAGTTTCGATCACTTATGCCACGCGAGAAGGTGGAATACCCCCGGCATACTATTCGAAGCACTCAACGCTGACCATTCTGAAGATGTCCCTGAGATCCTCGCCATGATCAAAGAGCTCGCCGACTACGAACGCGAACCAGACAAAGTCCTTGCAACGGAAGAGTCACTAGGCCGCACGCTTACATTTGCACCGTCCGCTGCGCATACGAATCCAGGCTACGCCAAGACTCTCATCCTGCGTCTTCCTACCCAGCTTTCGAAAGAGGATCAAGAGAAGGGCTTCAAGGCTGGTGCTGTGGCTGGTATGGCCCTATTCTTTCACAACTATTCCACCTGGAGATCAAAGCCGGGAATCTACCTTGAAGACCTCTTCGTTCGACCGCAGTACAGGAAGAGAGGCTATGGCAAGCTTTTGATACAGGTGCTGGCAAAAGAAGTCCTAAGAATTGATGGTGGCAGACTGGAGTGGAGCTGCCTGAAGTGGAACACACCCAGCTTGCACTTCTACAAAAGCTTGGGCGCGGTGCAGATGGACGACTGGGTACAGCTTAGAGTTGATGGAGATGCCCTGGAGAAACTTGCTTTGGGCAAGGTGTAGACATTTGATGCAGCGACGGAGCGAGACTGTCGGACAGTATCCAGGAGCGGCATCGTGCTACTTGCATCAACAGTGAGTATTTGATCAAAATCTTACCCTGACAAGAACTCAATGGCCATGACAGACACAGTTCTCGTGTTATGCATTGCTTGCAGACTCAGTGACTTCCAGCAAACTCTCCGCCATCACAGTGAAGTCAATCTCACCAGCTTCCAGGGTCGAGCAGGTGGAGAGGCCACTGTGCTCTTGACAGCCAGCCGAAATGGCAGATCCATCTCGAGACGCCATGCCTACTTCCAATTTCAACCCTTGAATGGGAACTTTTCTCGCAACCTTTGACCGATGTAGTAGAATAATACCGGCGCAGGCATCAGTATAACTGCCAAGATGCCAAACACACTCAGACCCAGCCCATAGCCAAGCTTGTCGAACATGGGACCCACGAAGAGCGGCACAATACCACCGACTATGCTTCTCAAAAACGCACCGGCAGCAACGGCGGACGCCGCGTTGCTGGGGTATGCATCGATGTAGTAGGTCTGCACGGGATTGAAAATGCTGACTTGGGCCACACCAAACAAGACCATGGCGATCAGCGGGATTGGCCAAGACGCATCTTTCTCTATCGCCCAGCCGAACCAGAATAGTGAAATCGGGAGCGATACAGATCCGAGTGTTGCTAGCGGTAGGCGATACTCGGGCCGTCCTTCTTCGTCATCGTTCAATCGTGCGATGTAGTTGTATAGTCTGTCCACGAACAGCACGAGGAAAAATCCTGCAGTAATGAAGCCCACTGCAGGCGCCAAGTATGCCAATCCGACTTGCGTTTTTGTGAATTCGTAGGGCGGTTCTTGCCAGATTGTGCTGTATTTGGCGTACAGACTGTACATGGTGCTGAACACCAAGGCCTGGTAGATTGACATGATCAGCACGATGGGCTGTGTGAACAAGATCTTGACTGCTCGTGTGCTGTTCTTTCCGACCTTGGACACGAATGAGTCGGAGTCGTTAGAAGCTCCTCCCACAAAGAATCTGGTGTGAGGATGCTTCTTTTGAAGATGCTTCTGGCGCTGCTGCAAGATGGTTACAGCTCTAGTCTCGTACAGAAAGAAGTAGCAAAGGATCGTCGTCAATGCCGCTAGCAACATATTCAACCATGAAAGCCAGCGCCAGTCCACTCGATCAACCATCAGTCCGGAGATGAAGGGACCAATAGTCGGAGCCAGAAGTGGAAAGATCATGTAGAACCCCAAAGCCTTGGCCCTCTCGTGCAAGCCCAGCATGTCTGAGATGGAGCCTCCTCCATTGCCAACGCCGACAGATGCAAAGAATCCCGAGAGCGTTCTCAGAACAATGAAACTTTCGACGTTGGGCGACAGAGCTACTGGGATCTGCAGTAGAGTGAAGATACAAAGGCTAATGAGATATACGATCCGTCTTCCAAATGTCTCAGACATCGGAGCATGGAATAAGGGACCTATGCCCAGCATGCACACGTATCCGGTCTGATGCAAGAGGAGAAGGCTGCTTGAAGTCTCAAATTCTGAAGCAATGATATCCGAAGCTGGAGCGTAGATTGATGAAGCCATGGGTAGGAAAAAGGCAATGAGCGAGACTTGTCCTACGACGGCGTATTTCCAAAATCCTGGCCATTGCTGGGGATCTTCTGGGTCCTTTTCGCCGAATTCGACTTTTTGCTCTTCGTCCTCTTCGTTTTGGGAGGGGTTTGGTTGGAGGAGTGGCTGCCTCTCGTCTGGCATCGTGCTAGTAATGTTGGTGCGTCCATGATCTTTGCAGGAGGCGATGTTTGTGAGAGTCTGGCAATCATGACGAGATCGTTATGTAATCATACTGGAAGACCAAACTTAGCATGACAGACCATCGTAACTCCTCTTCTCGCTCGTCAGGCTCGTCAGGCATGTCGTCGAGCTTCAATGTGTTATGCATCGGCTTGTTCTGCTGGTCGCACTCTTTCCATGGAGAACAACCAGGCGATTGACATCTTAATGTCAATCCTCTCGCCAACGTCACAACTGCTGGGCTTGAAGGACAGCGCAAGAGTGTGATGGTCAGCTCTGGAAGTAAGCAGCTAATGTCGCAAGGCACTGAAGTGCACCGTGAAAGCCAGATCACAGGACTTGAGAGCACCACCGATGCTGGAGCCTACGATGCGGAGTTCATGATAAGCCCTTCTGGTAAAGTCAAGGTGGTAATAGACCCGACCACTGGACAGGAGGCTGGAACGTCGAAGGGTGGTCAAGCAGATGTCTCAGCGGCAATGGCAGTGGCCATGTAGTATCTGTGCGTATCATCATATGCAATTCCGTCATCACATCACCCTGCATCTGTTGTCTTGCGTATCGGCACAGGGATGTACGTATCGGCAAGGGGTTTGTGACAAGCATGTGGTGGGTTGCTAAGACTAGCCAGGGTATGTACATATGCACCAACAGCGATATTCTACCGAGAGCTGACTTCATTGCTGAACTTCTCCTCTTCAAAACCAAACAGCTCTTCCTCATGCTTATTGTCGCATTGCCTGCGCGCGACTGGGCGCCATGGGCCAATCCGTTTCCAGCGTCATTCGTGCTGTCAATGGCGAGCCTTGCCACGAGAAGAGGCGAGAGGCAGAGGATGTCCTGAATACCTTGGTTGCTGTTGCTGAGGATAAGGCGCGCATCCATCAACGCAAAGTCGCCAGGTCTTCCGTGGATGCTGAAATTTTGCCTGTGGAGAAGATTGTTGGGAAGCTGCATATGGTGCACTGCGGTGTCAAGAAAGACCCTACGTCCATCAAGCAAGTTCTGAGGGAGTGTTTGCAGAGTCGAGTCCGAGAAGACATGGTGAGTTCGCCCTGGAGGAAAAGTGCATTGCTCTGTCGCTAACAACGAACAGATCGATGGCTTGACCGGAGTGACATCGCAATCTGTCGAACGACTAACAGACGTCACTGATGGGAGAACGAGTAGCGAGCTGATCAGCTACGCAGTGGTATTGGGCAAGTCAGGTAGCATTGGTAAGTTCTGTGTATCATGAGCACCGATGCCTTATGGCTGACTTCCACAGGCCGGCTCGACTGCTACTTTTTCTACTACCGATTTGGGTCCACCACTATTACGAGCGTTGCAGAGGACTGCCTGATCACCTCACTAGTCTTCTCGTCAGTCGACTCCTCGAGACTCCACGCCAACGATATCCGTAGACTGGTGGAATCCGCCTATTCTGCACCGCTTCCGAACGAGCAGTACGAGACCTCGAGACACCGAACGAAGATGATCGAAAGACAAATTCTCAGTGCTCTGAACAACGCACCACGACACAGATCTGCCCCCAAAGTCCTCGCTCCAAATGCCGAAGTTCTAAAATCGGCTACAGTCACTATCTCGTCGAAACCGATTGTTATGAGAGCTGTTTCGGGCGGAAGAGCGTAGAATTTGCAATGTCACGGCATATCGTCTCCAATTTTCGACAAGAGAAGCGGACGACAGCATTGCAAATCAGGGACAATCGGTGACATGCATGCATCAGCCGAAGAAAGCCGAAGCAGAGCCATTGTCTCGTGCGCAATATGGTCATGGTCTACAATGACGTAGATTGTCGGTCTCAGACACGCACACCTTGTCAAACGCTTCAGGACCCTGCAGTGTGTTTGACCAGGTATCATTGCTCGGGAATGAGGAGCACCAGGAGATCGCAGGGGATGCTGGTCGAACGCGAACAAGCCACAGTCGCGTGTCCTCGCCATCCACAGCTTTTCTCATACGTAGTAATGCCATGGCTGTATTGACACCAGAAGGCACGCCATCACCAGCAGAACGAGCGGATGATACTCCCGCGAATGACGATGTCCGACACACAACGGAGTCAGAAGCGCTCCCCGAGTCCGACCGATTGACAATCACATTTAAAGACATGCAAGGCTACGAGCTGGTATTCAAATTGAAGGGTACGACCAAGATGGGGAGAGTTATGGTGTGTGAGAAGATAAGGTGCTGATACGACTGGTACAAAGGAACTAATGTTGAATGCAGTCGGCATATTACGCACAGGTCCAGCGAGAGAAAGGCTGTCTGAGGTTTTTGGCTCATGGTGTAAGAGTCCTGAATGATATGACGCCGCAAGATGTGTGTGTGTGTTGATGATATGTGAAGACCGTGGTGATGGTTGCTGATCTTAAGTACAGTTGGCGCTTCTAGATGGAGACGAGATCGATGTTTTCGAGCAAACCCTCGGAGGTCGTAGTGACTTGGATTGAATATTGACCAGGACGACAATCGTGACTACTCTGATTGTGAGCTATCGGACTCAGAGCCCTCATAGTCACTATCACCCTCTGTAGCCATGCCAAGATATTTGTCGACTTGCTCAATCCACACCTCTTCCTCTGTCCCCTTTGAAGTCTTGAGCGTGCTTCCGTCTTCATCAATCGAAGACGTTACCACTTCCTGTACTTCCGCCCAAAGCTCGTTAACGCCAATGCGATCTTGGGGAAATTGATTCAAGCACCTCTCGACCAGCTCACACATCTTCTCCGGGAAGTGTTCCCTTGCTTTGGCAGGCTTGAGTACGGCACCATGGCTAGACTGACCAGGCGCAAACTTGAGCTGCGCAGATTCTGTCTCGAACAGCACCCCAGCCATGAGCTCATCTTCTTCCTGAAGCATTGCGTATCTCATAATGCGGCCCACAGACCACACGTCGCTCGCATTGGTAATCGGAAATTTGTATTGATCTGGATTCCAACCCTCGTGATCGTACATTTCTGATCGGACTCGAAAGTTCTTTCTGCTGTATGTATGCGATTCCTGCACGTCTCCTTCAGCAACGAACTAAACCCAGGAATGGTAATTCGAGCACTTACTGGCGCAAACCATCCAGGTGTTCCAAGCATTTGATTAGCATCTTTATGATCGAGCCATACTGAACACCCAAAATCTCCAACTCTATACTTCAAGGTTAGATGGCGGGATGCATTGGTAGAAGAAGTGACTCACTTGGCTATAGGAATGTCTGGCCAGTCTGAAGCAGTGTGAGTGCTCCGGAAGACTTAGGTCGAAAGTCAGCAGAATTTCGAAATTTCATTTGGTGTGCTTTTTTTTTGACCTACTGTTTTGTGGCTTCAAATCCTTGTGCAAGACATTGCGGTGGTCTGCAGGGCTCTTGTCTTCTGTTAACGCACCCTGACGCATAAAACATAATGCTGAAGCCAAACATTCGAAGAGTGACCACAGCGCCCGCTCTGGAATGGGACTAAGACTCGTCAGCGTTGAAGAATGAAACCCCGCAAAGAGACTTACACAAACACATGCTTTCGATTTTCCCTGCGCATGTTCCTGTTGTGTTCACGATAAAGATCCACAAGTACCTTCAGGCTGTTCAGATTGCAGTATTCGGAGTAAAGACGTACGATGCGGTATTTTGGGTATACGCCATAGGCAACAGGCTTGACAATACTGGTCGACTCCGGACTTCTGGTCAGATGTTCGGGGATCGCGTGCTCTCGGGGCATTCGCTTCGCTATGTCTCCCTCCCAATGGAAATAGTCATTCCATTGACTCTTGTCCTTGCCGAGAAGCACTTCCTTCACAGCCATTCGGTCAATCATCTTATCTTTGTCATCGAAGCGCAGCCAGACGCTTGCAAAGCCTCCTCCACCTGCTCCTAGACAAGCTCGCCATTTCCATTTACCAGGAACGTCTTTCTTCACCTTCAGCTGCATGACCGCTGGGTCTCGGCCAGATGCTGGGAGATGAGGACCATAGGGTTCGAGTCCGTAAGATACGTCTCGCCTCATTTGCAAATAGTTCTTCTCAAGGTCTTCAAGCGCTGTTTGCCATGCTTCCAAGTTCTTCTGGTTGACTGCTCGATCCTTCTTGTGCTGGATTCGTTCGGATTCGGAGTGCCAGACTTGATTGATGGGGATCATCTTGAGGTCTAGTTCAAGTTCTTCGCAGATCTCCTCGCAGGTCATTTCTGCGGGACTTTTCATAGCGAACCACCTTGGTTCATGTATATTGGGCAAATTCTCCATCAATTGGTTGTGCAACCTTCCAAATCTCGATGCCGTGTCCAGCGAAGGAGTTTTAGTATGAAACCTTTCGCTAATGACCTCCCATATAGCACGGCGCACATCTTTGGCCTCACATTCTGTCCCACGAATCTTATCTGCCACTTCAGCACCCCATTCTTGTTCTACCCTTTTCAATGCCGCTGGTATGACTCGGCTCCTGGCCACACGCCGCGAAGCTTCCCTCTCGCCCTCTTCAACAGCACCCAGCCTCTTGAGGTAAGCACGCGAGCTTTCCGATGGCGATCGTAATGGTACATCAAAGCTGCGATGATATTTGGCAAATGTTTTAAGAGCTCTTCGGTATTGCTCTAATCCGCGTAGATTCCACGGATCTTCGAATCCAACAGCTTTGAAGCTCTGTTCGACTTGTGTCCAGCGCTGGTCAAATTGAGCTCCACGGGCTTCGACATCGGCTTCGATTAAGAGACCAGGAGGTGGGTCTTGCAGGCTCGCAGAGTGGATCACTTGTATTGTGTCCGGACTGAGCGGCTCTATCTTGACTTTCACGGATCCGCTCGGTCGGACGACTTCCTCATCCTCCGAATCCCATTCCCGATCCATTTCGCCTTGTGTGGAGGGTTTTATTCGCCTTGCTACATTCTTCGAAGTATAGTCTGAAAGCCCGTCTAGATGCTAGTCCGACGAGACAACTCTTCGCTTCCTCGACTGCAATTGCTGTGTCCCAAGCGTTTTCTGCTCACATCCATCCTCCACGGTGCAGTGCTTCTTCTGCTACATTGGTTCTTTGTTTCTTCGAGTCGCCGAATCAAGGGCAGACAAAAGAATTGGATATCTCGTGCCGGATCTGTCGAGTCGCGCGGGACAATGAATCTGCACTTCAGTTTGAGAGTGCATTGTCATTAGACGTACGATGGGAAGTGCGAAGCTGGTTATGGCAGCTCATGTGCGCGGCTTCGAGAGAGCCATGGTCGAGCATAGACGTAGTACTCGTCGAAGCGAGGTGTCGGCATTAAAATAGCTTTATTGATTGCCTATAGACCAAAACACAGTATAAAAATTCTTCATACGCCAAGAAGTCATGTGACAGTCATGTGACTGAGCTGATGCGTCACACATGGGCGGTTCATTAGGGGCCCGGGAGAGATTTGTGTGTAGGCTGTGAGTGAATGCAATCAAACGCTAACTTAATCATGGCCTACTTGCAGCGCGCGAGATAGATAATAATCATGCTGTGCTGCGTCGCCGGCTCTCGCGTCTTTCTCGAGTCCTCTCATTGCACGCCATCATATGCTATTCTCAGTCATCGCCACCGCATTCACCTGTGTGGAGCCTCCGATGAGCACCAAGAACACTCGTGCAGCACCCGAGCGGCGCGCGTGCAATGCTTGTTTCCACCTCAAGGCGAAATGTGTGTTTGCGCCGGGCAATGAGGACTGCGACAGATGTCGCCGGCTCGAGAAGAGATGCTCGTCCGACCGGCCGGTGCGCGCGACTGGGCGGCCTCGCAAGGAGCGCAGCCTGCGCGCGAGGATGATGCACCACCCGTCGACGTCGACCCAGCGGGCGCTGTCGCCACGCACGACCGGTACTTCTACTTCTATTCTCGAGCTGGCGCCGCTGGGGCCGCTTGCCAAAGATTTGAACCCCAGCGAGGAATTCATGTTTCGCCACTTCCTGGACGGCACGAAATTCCACCAGCTCATGGCTGCACCACACGTGGGACGGGTATGTACCCCATCCATGACCCCATCCATGACCCCATCCATGACCTGCACCCTGGGGAAGCCCGCAGGACTTGCTGACGTCGGACGGTCGTGCGTAGGCCATGCATCGAGAGGCAGCCTTGAGTCTGCTGTACAACTATGAAGACATCAACGATGGCTATTTCTCCATGTACGGCTCGTTTGCACAAGCCATGGGGCTCGATATCCCCGGCTTCGGCCGGGAAGTCAATACTGCTCGTGGATCCAAAGCCTTGAAGAAATTTTGCGACATGAAGCTGCCCACAACTCGTCACGACTTTCTTCCGTGGATGTGGCTTGGATCAGCATTGACGATCCACACTCATTGTTTGCTCGGCACCAACGCCACGCCCATTCGAAGATACATGCTGAGCCATGTGAAGAAGATGGCAGAGCACGGACTGGAAACGCGCACGCATCCGGTGGTATTGATTACCCTGTCTCTGGACGCCGTAGACTCACTGCTGAAACGTGAGCTGCCGATCACACGATATCCTCACGACTCCGCGGATGTATTGCAGGATGAGGTGCTTGGCCTGTGTGCTCAGCTGATCGACTTCATCGGTGATATCTGCAAGGTCAGTCACGCAATGGCCACAGACGGGGAGTTAGAAGAGCACTTTGAAGCACTCGACCAGATTGAAGCAAACGTCCAGAGCTGTAAACCCCAATTGACCTCGGGCATGACTCAGACCATGACTGCGCTCGAGATGGCACACGCTTACGCTCAGGTGCGTTCGCATAGAGATACTCTTATGCTTCTCATCCATCGCCTGCGCTATCCTTTTGGGGTGAAAGACGAAACGGGAAAGATGATTGGCCAAAACATCATGACTGATCTTGCCATGGCGACCAGCATTAGCGGTGCGCCTCCAATTTGGGTCACGCTGCCATTCCTCGTCGCCTGTATCGAGATGACGGATGCGCAGGAACGTCGAACGGCCCTCGATACCGTGGATTTATATATCGATGGCCTCCATCCGGCTGCACGAAGTAGCGCTCGTGATTGGCTCAAAGCTGTGTGGTCAAAGAGGGACAATGGTCCCGGCTTCAAGTGGTTGGATGTGATTGATCAGCTTCCTAATATCTCCCTGAATCATGTGGGCACTGTACGAGCCATACCTGAAGGGGGGTATGAAAGTATGCAAAATCTGTCAACTGTGGGAGGGAGACAGACTTGAATGTAACTGATCTATGAAGAAGAGGGACGATCGACGAGAAGTTCGGAAGAAGGAATGCGGCAGTTACGGCCAAAGGTGTCATGCATGTGATGGACCCATATACCACACACTCCAAGTGAAAGCTCCCGATCTTGGCAAATTTCGACGAGCCGAACTACGACATTAGTTGGAACTCCGAAGAGGCAATACGTGAAATGGACGAAGATTATCGAAGGGTGACGCTCTCGGCTGAATCGCAAATCTTCGACGTCTTGCCCAACTTTAATGCGCGTCTACTGATGCTGGCTTGATGGGGTGCATTGAACCGGACGTTTTACGTGGTCCAAGCGTGAGCAGTGGAAAGCCTCCCGTCTGAAGGATTCGAATGCTCCGGTCGAGGGCCACATAATAATAGTTGATCGCACCACCACACAGAATGCGACAAGCCTTGAGTTTTCTTGATCAAGTCTTTGAATCCGCGACACAACCTGCCTACCATCCATGGAATACAATCAGGAACTCATGAGCAAAAGGTACGCCGATCTCGGACATATCAGCTTTCAATTGCACTTTGACTGACACTGTCCATAGACTTACCGAAGCAGAAAGGCCAAATCACTTATCGCATAGCACCAAATCAGCATGGGTCTCTCCTACACTTCTGGACGGGATCTCTCTGGGATGTGGTGATGAGGAGAACCAGAGACCAAATCTAATATGTTACGCCGCCTTTCGTGCTGGCTTATCTTGCCATGGACTGGGCCAACAAGGGATAGACCTGCTTTGATTTCCAAAGCTGTTTCCATCCATAATGACATTCTCTATCAGGAACCAGCACCTCAATTCAACAGCCGGTAGGGCGGAGTTTGGCGAAGATGGATAGTCTTTCACAGCACGCCATGTTTTCAATTCAGTGGATTGCAAGTACATCTTTGCTCCTTTGTGTCAAGATGTTGTACTTCAGAAATGCCAATCAAGTCTGCAAGCTCCCGTAGAGGACTTCGCGGGGGAACAATGACCGCATTGTAAGGATACCGTTTGTCGCGCGTTATTGCTGGTTCTGCTGATAACTAGAAGTCGTCCTTTCATATGGTTTGCTCCAGTGCGACTATTGAAGGCCATATATCAATGACAACCTCTCTCGTTCTCATCTCACAGTATCCCGCACTTGCAAACATGAATAGAGCCGACATATCCGCAGAGGCTGTACAGGCACCTGTTCCTGAGGTAATGGTCAGAATGAGAGTCGATTGGCAAAATGTGGACCGTGACCACTACAGCGGCAATATGACTGCGAAGATTCCTCTGGACGCGTCTACGCAAGAACTGTTGATCGCGGTTCAGAATGAGTGCAGGAGCTACAGGCAAAGACACTCCGATGAGCCATGGAGCGAGTTGGTGATGGAAGCGACTGTCGAACTTGGAGATGATCGAGACACCTACATAAATTACAGGACGGACACAGGCAAGCTTCGCTTCGAGAATATGCGAGACTTGTTTCCAGATGACGGCGTCACGACTCTTGACGTGGAAATCGCAATCAAACCTCAGCGGGAAGCTCACCAAAACCTTCTGACGGCCGAAGGAGAGTTGCCCATCTGCAAGCACCACAGAATCGCCACAGAACCCCGATTTCCAGCGTCCGCCATAAGTCAGCATTCGCAGATGGTCGAAACATACCTCATAGCCTTTCCGAGATCAGCTCTGTACCCCAACGAATACAGTATGCGTCTCATATCCTATCGAGAAATCAACGGCATCCTAATCGGGTCCTGCGAAGCCGACCGGAGTGTTCGTGAGGCTCTTGGAGACCTCTTCGACCCCAACACCCGTCAATTATGGCTCGACACTGAGTCTTTCAAGGAGCCTTACAGGACTTCGTTCACGACAGGCGTGCCTAAAAATCTTGATGATCGACTCAAAGAATACATCGCTACAGCACGACACGAACCGGGAGAGGAGGACGACATCCCTGTTCTGCCAAGCATGACATTCCAGCACTTCACTCCGAAAACAAAACTTGGAAATCTCCAGATCGAGAAAATCCATCTCGCAGTCCGTTTCGTCAGTAGATTTGAGGCGCCAGAACTCGAGGCAATTGTGCTGCCGTCGGATGTCCTGGCCAATATTCCCCTTGAGCTCGACTCGGGGAAATCAGTGAGAGGAATCCTTGTGGAAGTGCTTGTGGTTAAGACAAGAGAAACCAGGCTGGCCTATCCCAAAGCGGTCTTGTTTGATGATGTTCCGGAGAGCTGGCATTTGGATTTGTGGGTGATGCCGCAGAGTAGGCGGTTGGAGAAGCTCTACCCGTTTCGTAGAGATGACCAGCTCAGGAGATTTTTGGATCCTGAGATGGTTGGGGAAGGAAATCGGAAGGTTTATGTTGAAGCGCATTTTGTTGAGGAGTGGTGATATGTGCGACAGGACATTCATATTGCAGAAGTGACCTTCGGTTCTGATGCTGCATTAGGTTCTGGATCACGAAAAGTCCCAGAAAAGATCGATTCGTGTCGTGATGGCTTTCCAAATCTGTGTGAGATTCCGTGGCTCCTTTCAAAAAGCTGGTGGTGCGGACATCGGAGACAATGGGCAAGATTTACATCGCTCTCGCAGCTGTAGCAGCTTCTCAATCTGACGGGTATCTTGCAGTGGGAAGGCTCGAGTGTCGATCACGTATCATTTGAAGCAGGTGACTCTGACCGCTCTTGACCAAGTGGCTTGCTTCTCAACCTCCTGTGAAGTACGTAGCTGTGCTTCTTGAAACTCAGGCCTTGAATCCAACTCGCGTCTTTGCTACAACTATCTTCATATCGCTACAACCACCATGTCTACATCCATGAATACCTCACAGACCGCTCCTGGAATAGTGATTCGAATTGGATTCTTTTGGTGCCGACATCCTGATCGCAATCGGTCGCGAACCAAGACTATTTCATTCAATACGACCACGGAAGATCTTTTAATGGCGATCAAAGCCTGCTGCAAACAACATCGCGAAGACCATCCCGAGTGTCCTTGGCATGAACAAGCAATGGACGTCCGATTCAGATTTCCCAGCATTCTTCAAGAGGATGAGAGAGACATCTATGTCAACTACAGGGACGCTTTCGGGCTATTTCGTTTCGAGCTAGTGCGCGATATGTTGCGTAAGACTCCGAATGGCCATTTCATCGACATCTTGGTCGACATTCTCATTGTGCCCGAGAATGCAGCACCACAGGCGCGCAAGGAAGGAGCTTTCACTGCAGACGGTGAAACTCGGGATTGCAAACACAGGATCGCTGTCGAGAAAAGAGAGACCGGAAATGGAGAATCGCAACATAAGCCGATGGTCCGTTCGCTCATAGCCGTCAGCAGTCTCGTCGTCGACCTCGAGTCACTCGAACTGATCAGATTCTGCGAGATCTATCAGCGTGATAATGTCAACAACGATCTGGTCGGCTCTTGTGATGGCGAGAACGAGTATACCATCGACGAGATCCTCGATAATCAGAAGAGACCAGAATGGCTGAAGGTCACGAACTTCGAGCGGAAATACCAGTTTGCTTACCACAAGAGGGATCGGAAAGCCCTAATTTGTCAGATCCTACTGGACATGGTGCTGAAACGTCAATTGTTCAATGAATGCGACGATGTTCCGGACGTACCATTCATGACCTTCCAGCCATTCAAGCCAAAACCCGGCGTAGAGAGCCTGGAAGTCAGTGATATCCACATCGCCGTTCGTTTCGTAAACAAGCTCTCGTTACTCGAACTGGATTCCCTGAAGCTACCAATGGACGTATTGGCCATTATTCCCGCGAAAGATGACTCTGCGCAAGCAGTTTGTGATCTTCTTCTGAGCAAACTAGAGGAGACTGCGCTTACCCGTCCGCTGTTTCTGCCCAAAGTTCGAGTGGCATGGTGCTTGGAGCTATGGGTTCTGCCGCAGGGTGCGAGTCCGTTTCCGCCTTTCGAAAAGCTACACCGCTTCCGAGATGAGCAGGAGAGCGAGGGGGGTCAGATGAATAGGAAGAAGGGAAAGAAGTCGCCGAAACACGGCCTGAAGATGTATCTGGACCCGGACAAGGCTCGGAAAGGTGACAGGAGACTTTTTGTTGAGGCTCACTTCGTTTGCCGAGATTCGGAAGGGGATTCGATGACGGCATGACTGCTTGTCTAGGTGAGACTTCGAGGGCAAAAAATGATAGAACTAGCACAAACAAGAGCTGAGGTTCAAGTATACCGATGTTTGCCAAGTCTTGCCTCAGGCTGAAAAGGTCCCATCCTCTAGTTCTACGATATGCTCCTGCACGCCTTCTGTCCACCCTCTCCCTTTGCACCCCTTTGAGCTCGCACACACGTCGAATGTTCAAAATTTGATCTCATCATCTCGACCGTAATTGACGCATCTTACTCAGCGCCACAGAGTGATAGCTACCGTTGATCCGGAATCTCACCAGTCTTGAGCTTGCACAGCGTTGGAGTTGCTGGTTCTAGATCTCAGGAGAGGACTTTACCCGGAAAAGGGAGCGAAGAGAGATGGGCTGACGCCTCGGGAGAACATCGCTATGGAGAGGGACAGAATGAAGTAAGAAGTGGTCATATCTATCAGGATCAGGAAGAAGAGCCGTGCGTGGAGGCAGATGAGGATCAGCAGGGCAAGGAGCATGTCATGTGCAGACGCAAGTGAAGATTGATGAAGCGTGGCTAGAAGAGCAGAAGATCCCGGAATGGGTTTTGGAGGGCTTGAGGTTGCATTGGAGTCTCTTCCTGTTCGAGACTTGATTGAGGCCAAATTCGATATGATGGGTGGGAGCTATCGCAGATGGCAGCGCTTGCGCCTTGTCCTGCGCACACCTGGCTTCACCATCACTTTCTCAAGCCTCGAAGAAACTGCGCTGCCCTGTGGGCTCGCATCAGTGCTGTTGAGTTCGTTGAGGCCTCCAAGAGACATGTCGACAGAAGATGGACGAGGGCCTCTTCTCAACTTCGCTTCCGATGAGCTGGGACGGCGTAATGTACCTCATGATGCCTATACTATTCACATTACTCGACCGTGGGCGCTGGTCGGTGTTTCGTCGGAGCGTTGCAATTACAGGAATCTTGCTCTCCACCATCGCATTCCTGCTATCCTCATTCAGTACCCAACTCTGGCATCTGATTATCCTACAAGGAGTTCTTGCGGCACTAGGTAACACGATGCTATATTCGCCCACGACATTGTACCTCGACGAACACTTCAAGGCTGGACGAGCGACAGCGTATGGAGCTATTCTCAGCAGCAAGAATATCGTCGGAACAGCATGCCCGCTACTCTTCTCTACTCTACTGAACAGAGTCGGCTTCCGCTGGAGTCTTCGGATTTGGTCCTTGATCGTGCTCACAACTGGTATCATCGGGATCGGCGTCATGCCCAGACAAAGCTCTACTTCAGCAGTCCGTCGATCGCCCCAGAAAGTGCCCTGGAGCTTCCTCAAGCACAAGACCTTCTACATCTACAGCATCGCCAATGTAACTTTCAGTGCAGGCTACGGCACCCCGCAGACTTACCTCTCATCTTATGCACGAGACACATTGCATTTGAGCCGCATCTCATCAGCTCTTATGATAACACTCTTCAACATCCCAGGCATAATTTCCTGCGTTGGCTTCGGGCTTCTGAGCGATAGAGCCGGAATCTCGGCTACTGTGAATACCCTCATATCCGCTGCCGGCACATCTCTGACCGCACTACTTCTTTGGGGCCTAGCATCGAATCGAATTGAAGCGGTCCTCGTCCTCTTCGCCTTATGCTGTGGCTTCTTTGCTGGTGGCTACTCAAGTACATGGGGAGGCTGGATCAAGGAATTTGAGAAAGAAGCTGCAGAGCACAACGAGGCTCTGAATACTGGCATGCTCTATGGAATGCTCAATGGAGCTCGCGGCGTTGGCTACGTCGTCAGTGGACTTGCAGATGTTGAGCTGCTCAGAGCTGGGCCTGTGCAGGATTCTAGACGTTGGGGCTACGGGACCGAGTATGGATCGTTGATCGTATTCACAGGGCTGAGCGCTATTGTGGGAGGATGGAGTGTTGTGTTCCGGGGGTGGAGTAAGGCAAAGCGGTGCTGGATGACATTGCACTGAACATAGCAAGGCCAACGACATAGTGTACCCCGGACGCCAACGATCTAGTGAGTGCGCTGGAAAAGGGAAGCATGCATACGCGAGGAAATCAAGCAGTACCGTCTGCAAAGGGAAGTGAGCCCATGCTGCAAATGAGATTTCAATTTCATTCGCGCTAGTGTATGTACAGCCGTAGTGCATGTACAGCCGTAGTGTATGTAGAGCTTCGTGCTCTGGAATGCCAAGGCTTTCAGCTGATGCAGCTCCAAGCTTGCTTCCCCATCATGCAGTAAGACTTGCCAACGCCCAGAGACTCATAGCCATCTGTAGGCTCAACGTGAGCGGCTTGTTCAATCCATCTTCTGCGACCATGTTCAGGTCTTGTCGTCAATTTCGCTGAAACCATCCATCCTCTTCTTGTGGTCAAGTAACCTTTCCTCGCCGAATGTTAACAGTTGACGAATCCAAAGAAAAATCGGCGCTACGCTCCGTCACATCGCAATCATTTCCATGATGGAATTAATGCCATCGCAAAAAGATGCAGAGCTTCAAGCCGATACTCCACGTCCTCCCAATCGAGTTTCCGGCGCATTGCAGTATTGGTGATAGCCCAGGCAGCGGCAGCGATCTTCCAAGAATCTGGTGCGTCAGCTGGAAGTTGCACATTATCCGCGTTCCAGCCTCCTCGTTTTTTTTTTCAAAAGCAAGCTTCATGCTTCGCACGAGATTGGACCAGCTCGCAGACGGGGTTCGAACGAATTATGTTACCGCGAAGGAGAGGCCCGAGCTGCCGATTGAATGGTGTGGGCTTGGCGTAGCGCATGAAGAAAAATGGCCATCGGATTTCTAGCGTTTGGTCGCAGTCGAAGACTTTGAAGCGAAAGTGGTTTTGGTTGTAGTACATGGCTTGCGCCTCGGAGCGGATTTGACGACAGGTGGCGAGCAGTCCTGGTGGTTTGGTGTGTGATCTCATCTTGACGACCTCGGAGTCGGCGATGAGGGCATGCTCATAGATCCGATTTCGAAGCTCGGGGGCAAGTTTTAGTAGACATGAAGTTGTGCGTGCTTGTACGCTGGTATATGCTGCGCCAGGTGTTGTGCTTTTGCCGCGATCTCTTGGGACCTCCTCTTCACCACTCTTCTTGGGCGCTTGCGACTTGGGCGCCTGTCCGTTTCCTTGAGCCATCTCTGTTGTGTTTCGTTTCTGTGCCAGTCAGCTAAGAATCGAGGCTTGAACGTAAGTCTTAGACTCACGTCAACTTCCGTCCCGAAATTCTTGGGCGCTGTACTACCTCGTGTCTCGACCATGATTGCCGGCTGCAGCTTGCAGCTTGTCGAGTCGATGCTCTCGAGCATCCACCAGGTACCAGAAAAACGCATTAGGTGGGTGCGATGGCCCTTCCCGCCGTTTTCTCAATGCTTGTATCCAAAATTTGCATTGATTGATCATGTATCTTTCAGCCGTCCCCACTCGGCCTTCACGTCTACGTGGTCTCCATCGACTACTTTGCCACGATCCCATTCCCTACCCTCCCCTTTCTTGCTCCATCTTACATCACTGATATCCTTCTCGGAAGGATCGAGCTTGACACGAGATGCACCACTTCCTTCCCACCTGCTCACCTCCTCTTCCGTGAAGCCAGCAGCGCGTAATCTTTCAGCGCCCGTCTTCTTCCACTTCGCCCGGTCTTTCAGCGCCGCAAGCGCCATATCCCAGTCGTCGCCTTCCTCATCCAAGTCTCTTCCAACGTCAGTGTTTGGATCGTATTCAGGGTCGAAGCGGGCGTCCATGGTAGAGTTGGACTGTGCTCCTCGGCCACGAGCTTTGATTTTAGGTGCAGGTTGAGGCCCAATGACCGTTTCGAGCGGGTTTGAATCGGAGGACGATCTAGGTCGAAGGGCCTCATCGTATTTCTCGAACTCATCGACGCGCGCTTGGGGCTTGCCGACAGGTGAGTCGTAATGCGATGCACTGGATGTCCACCTTCGCTTGGATTTTCTGTGCGGAGATCTGGTTCGTGAGGGAGACCTGGACCTTCGCCGGCTGCGCTTTTCTTTATGTGATCGATCATCCAGTCGTCGTTCCTCCCGTATCGACTTGCTACTCCGGCCTAGATGCGACAACAGCTGGTCTGCCTGTCGTCTTCCTCGGCTATCATCCCTATCTCGAATTCGTCGCATGTCCTTCCATCGCCTTCGCGACTCCTTCTCCTCCTTTGCCTTGAGTGCTGCATTATGACTGTCGGCCTCCTTCACCAAGTGCTTCAGAAAGCGTGTGTTGGGTTTTGGCGCATCGCTCCTGGGCCTGCTTCTCCCTCCGAGTAATGATCCGAGTCCGGTGGAAAGATATCGATTTTGGCCTTTCTTTTCCGCATCATGCTGCATTACACTGGCTACATAGTCGTCCGACAAGTCCCCCTGGCCAGACATGGTGAGGCAATGCTACCGTAACAATAGCATTCGAGGGGAGAATAGATTTATAAATTATGGATATAATTGGATTGAAGTCAAAGTGCATCAGGCACGGGAGTTCTTGCTGCCTTAGGCATGAGCCGGAGCTTCCGGCCCGGCACCCGCGCCCGCGCCCGCAGTTTTGCAGGCTCCAGGCTTGTCTGTTTTGACAAGTAAACAAAGATTCGCGATTCGAGCTTCGTCGGCGTAGAAAGGCCGTCGAGCGATAAGTTACCATCAGAGTAGCGATGGATGCAACGACAGCGCTTGAACAATTGCAGCAACCGCAGACTCTCTCCATCGTCAACCTCTCGGAAGCCATTCTCAACGCAGCACTTACAGCACAATCGCAAAAGACAGACTCACAACGGTCTTCCACTTCCTTCGCAGACCCGAAAGCGCAGACGCCCTCTACCCTCGCAGCAGATCTCACACATTACCAAGAATTGTTCTCGAAATTGCGCTTCAGCTATGTCGAACAAGTCACCAAAGAGCGTTTCTTACGTGCTGTCGTGGCAGACCAGCCGGAGTTTGTGACGGCAGCAGAGAATGCAGAACTTGAAGAGGCATTGAAGGGCGACAAGGAAGCGCTGAAGCAAAAGAAGGCTGAAGTCAGGGACATGATAGGCGAGCTGGAAGAGCAGGGACGCATGCTTGCGAGAAGTGAGTACCATCTTTGACCCAATCGTAGCATACAACTGACGGTGATTTCAGGATACGAGCAGATCAGTTTGCAGACCGCGCAACTCGAGACATTGCCCGTTGAGATTGAGAACCTACAGGCGACTGTCGAGCAGCTGCGCCAAAAGCAGGCACCGCGATCTGCGAATCCAGAAATGGCCATGCCACTACGGCCGACACTAGATCTTTTGCAGGAGCGCGAACAAGAACTGCAAAGCATAGATCTCGAGATTGAGCGACTTCAAGCGGCACTTCCTGCCAAGAAAGCCGAAGTGCTGCGTCTGCAAGACGAGCTGGCACCAATCCAGATGCGAAAGATTAAAGCCGTCGAAGAGGCGAAGGAGGCACGGCGAAGACGCGAAAATGGCGGTATGGCTGACGAGTTGGAAGAAAAGGGTCGTTGGCTACGGGGCGTCGAAACAACCATGAAGGCTATGCTGGAGATATGATTAGCACGACGCATCAGAGCTCTGTCTTGAGCATTTCTAAGACTCCAGGCAGCGACCACACTGGATTGATAATTTGATGATACCCATGCAGCAATTGACGAACATTTCAACGCCGATCACACTCACAGAGCGGCATTCACCCTGGTCTAGCCTCCATCGGACTACTGTGCAGTCCTACCGCGCAGATCCGAATCGCAAACAGCTCGCGCTCTCAACGTCACTCCTTCCAGAGTGCGCTGCTCTCTTACACAGCATACTACGGTGGTACCTTTGGTACGATGTCGTCGTCGACAACGCGAATGCGGCGTTGATGCATGCTTTTGCTTACCATTTCGCGGTGTCGTTTTGAGCTTACTCCGCAGTTCTCCCCAGTCGACAGCTCCAGAGCTCCACAATCATCGGCATCATCTGGGCTCAATGCCGACATCATGAATCCGAAAAAGGACAAACATCTATTAACCTTGTAGAGCACATGGGTCCGAGCGTGAAAATATCTTGATCCCATCACCCAGACTTCCATCCCTCACTCCCCAACTTGGCTCGTAACACACTGCTTTCCGAGATGGCCCAATACGCAACCTATCCGTCCCTCAAGAACAAACGCGTCGTCGTGACCGGCGGCGCAGAAGGAATCGGCGGCTCAGCAGTCGAAGCATTCGCCCATCAAGGCTCGCAAGTCATAATTTTGGACATCTCAGAAAGCTCCGCCAACAAACTCATCTCCAACCTGAAAGAGGCAGGCGTCCAGAAACTCCCAGCATTCTACCAATGCGACGTCACAGACTTGGACCGCCTGAAAGCCATCGCGGACGATATCCTCTCCAAATTCGGCGGCGTAGACTGCCTCATCAACAACGCAGCCTCATGCGCAGGAAAAGCCCGAGCCCCAACCGAAGACGTGACGCCCGAGATCTGGCAATTCAACATCGACGTCAACCTCCGTCATATCTTTTTCTTGACGCAATACTTCGCCCCGTCAATGAAGGAAGCCGGATCCGGTTCCATCATCAATATGGGCTCCATCTCATGGCGTATTCCTGCTACGGGTTTGCCGGTGTATACGCTTATCAAAGCCGCGATTCTGGGGCTGACCCGCACTCATGCTAGGGAGTTGGGACCTTTTGGTGTGAGGGTCAATAGTGTTATGCCTGGCAGTATTGCTACTGAGAGACAGATTCAGGAGGTGCTGACGGAGAAGTATAAGCAGGAGACGCTGGATGCGCAGGCGTTGAAGAGGGTTTTGAAGCCGGAGGAGGTGGCGAGGGTGATTTTGTTCTTGTCGAGTGATGATGCTAGTGCTATTACGGGAAGTAGTTATGTTGTCGATGGGGGTTGGGTTAGTGATCCTTGAATGAAAGTCGATGGAGAATGGATTGGAATATAGATAAAAATTTTCTGTTGATATGTATGGAGACATTCGATGGAAGTGGTATCGTTGGACTTTAAAGAAGCTTCAAGTGCTCCAATGTTCTTGCCCGTGAAACCGATCTTGTGAGCTTGCGGTCAGTGTATGGAGGTCTTCATATTCACACCCCGCAATATTGCCCAGTACTGCTGTCTCGGGATGCTGGATCTTCTCTATCCTCACGCGAATGTGTCTCCCGCGATGGGTCCGAGGGGTCCAGTCGCTGACTCTCCACATCCGAAGAAGGATCGTATTTGATCTTTTGTAGAGTCACATCACTGTGTCACCATGTTGGGCCTTTTCCGAACAGTCGTGCTAATAATGGCCGGAGTCGCCGGCAATCGATGTTGATGCTGTTTATTAGGCCACCGGTTTCAAGGCAAGCGGGCATATCTGATAAAAGATGATTTGGACTTGCACGTCAGCAGCAATGCCATGATTGTAGGCAGCATCCACGGATTCAACACAGAACGTCGCAATGCCTTTTCGTCTCAGAAATGACAGCGACCTGAGCAGCGCGAGCTCGAGTGATCCAAAGAGCCCAGGTGGCGCTCTTTTTTTTTACGAGCATGGACACTCTCTGAGAAGTGAATGCTTCCCGACTGCTGCCTCGCATGCTGTACGCACAGACCCCTCCGAGTCTTCGCGAAAGCCGTGTCATTTCCCAAACAGCCACTTGTTTGCTCGGAATGAAAGAGGGTCAATTGTGGACAGAACAATCGAGATGAACTTGCCTGCATTTCGCAGTTTAAAGCTGTAAACACCACTTTGAGCAACTCCAGAGAATACAGAAGTAGTATGGCAGCCGACCAAGAACTTGTGAATCGACAGTTGGAGCAGATGACATCAAGTCCTGGTCCAAAGGAGGAACGCAACTTCTCCATATTGGCGAATAGGACCGAGACATGCGAATACTGGACCCGAGGAGCATGCACCAAGTCAGACTGCACACGAGCGCACCACTTGTTTCCAGAAGTGGTATATCGAGCTCACCGCAGGTGCCAGAAGCTTCAGCAGTGCAAGCACAGCAAGAATGGGAACTGTCAATGGGGTCCCGAGGTCTGTGGTTTCGCTCATGTTGAGGTGGATGCTAGAGCGAAAAATAAAAGAGCGGACGTTGATTCGGTACTGAGCCGCGAAAATTGGCGGGCTGTTTTGGGGTATGAATGCGTTGTTTGCGACTTTGAGACTCAGAGTCTTGATGAGATTGTGGTGCATAGCGAAGAGGTACACAGATCGGCTGGCCACACCGAAGCGGAGAAGACAAGCGGAGAAGCTGGATTGCTCGAAGCACAGAGTCGCAGCGGCCCGGTGGGATATGATGGGCATTCATCAAGCGGAGTTCCGAAGGCTGAGAAGCAAGCTCAGATGCTGGGCAACTGGAGGTCAAGCAAGTAGCAGAGGCAACTTGGAATGCCAGTGCAGCCTTCGGATGAATCACAGCTAGGAAGGACTCCGGCGGCTTTCGAAACGCGGACCATAGACAGAATCGATCTGGCATGCTAGGATAGACTGAGATGCCGATGTTTGACGTGTCGGTGGACAGTTTCGTTTCAAGAGATCAACGGCACCTAACATTCGACCTGGTTTTGCCTCTTCGGAAGACTCAGCGCAACTTTTTCTGCGAATTGGAGCACCTTTTTGGTCCACCTCGCAATAAGTGGATGCGCAGCCGCCACATCGCTAACGTCGATATCGTCCTCCGTCTGCCCCTCCTTGAGTGTAACTCCAAAAAGCGAGATCCCTTCTGTACTGAAGTACTCAGCACTGAACAGTATCTCCGTCTTCAGCTCTTTCTCGGCGTCTTCGTAGAGTTTCAATGCCTCATGCTTGACTGCCAAAGTGGCCTCACTGTTTCCAGATTGCCTAATTCCTTTGCACATTCCCTCTAGTGCGCCTAAACACCACCCAGCCTTCAACCCAATTTCTCCTCCTAGACTGTACCCCTCATCGAAACCAGCCTGAATGTACTGCTCTTTGCTGGTCGCGATGCCTTCGCGATATCCATTCGTGACGTGCAATGATCTTAGGCGCGCAACATCTGAAGGATGTTCCAGTGCGCGCCTCCCGACATCATCTTCACCGCCTTCTCGCCGAGCATCAAGACTAGGCGAATTCGGCGCAGAGCCAAAGATATCGTCGTTCAGGGCATTGTAATGGACGTATTCTTCGTTGTTTTGGACTGGCGCGTTCATAAGCAGTTCTGTCTCGTTCTCTGAGACGCGCCGACCGGGAATGTCGCGGAGCATGCTATTTGGTTGCAGAAAATATGCATGTCGAATGTTTGCCAGGAATTGGTGCAAGTGTCAACAGCGGAAGTGGAGTTGCTTGTGGGAGATGTCCGGCTTGTCATATTTCTTGGCGTCTGAGAGAGACCCAATTTTCTTTGCACGACCTTCGGTATGCACTTACATTCCATTCTTCTACATTGAAACATTCGCTTCGACCAAGGCTGGTCTAAATCCGACAATCTCGTTCTACATGCTGCCGATCCTATCTGCAGGACCTCTAGCCGTTCTGAGCATCTGCACCCTTGCGGCTGGGCTCCTTGGGTTCTGTTGGATAGCGATAGCGATCGAAGCTGGAGTGGCTGTGGCCGGACTCGTAATCTGGAGCATCTGATATGGAGCATTATTCTCAGGAGCATTTGTCAGTCGTCAACCCAGCACTGTGGGTAGTATCACAGATGACATGGGCATTGTTGGAGGCAGGTTGGGCATGAATACATTCTGTGCTGCTCTGGGTCTTCTGATCGGAACCCCAATTGCTGGCCTGCAGGTGTTCTGTGGCGCTACTTTGCTGCTCGCAGGTGGTCTGGTTGTGGTGACAAGGTGGGAAAGAGTCGGGTGGACGGTGGCTGAGAAAGCATAAGGCTGTCTCGAATCAGGAAAGCTTTTTGCACCATGGTTTTGGTTTGGTGCTAATAACGAACGATACGCAAACTGTACATTGATCCGGTCTTCATTTAGAGACATCAGCTGCTGGGGTAAGTGCAACATATACGCTAGGAATGTTAGAATATGGCACACTCTTAGCCGAAGGATCGATTCCGCAGGCAGCGACCTTTGACCCCACGATGCCAGCACGTATTCTATCTTCCCTGCCTACTTCACTTCATCAAGCAACACAAACCGCGCTGACCTCGTACTTTACCATGCAAGTCACAAGGGCTGCTATTGCAATTGCTTTGGCATTGGCCTCGAGTGCACTCTCGACGAAGCCTTTGCTTGACCAGTCTTTTGATAGCCAAGCAGAAGAACTCTTGAGACTGCTAAATGTGCCAGGTCTAAGCGTTGCAATCGTTCGCGGCAACGATTTTGAGTCGAAAGGATATGGCTATGCTCGTATACCGTCCGCACCTGCGACAGGCGACACTTTGTACTATACTGGCAGCACGACCAAGGCTTTCGTAGCTACGTTGGCCGCAATGATGGTGGAAAACAATACTCATTTCAAAGACCTAAAGTGGTCGACACCCCTGGCAAGTCTCTTGGAAGGTGATTTTGCACTGTCGGAAGAATATCAAAGCCTGCATACTACGTTGGAAGATGCACTATCCCATCGCTCTGGGCTCCCTCGGCACGATGCATCATATGGCTGGGGCAACGCTTCGATGTTCGAGAATATTCGCCGAATGCGTCATCTTCCACTCACTGCAGAGCCGTGAACTAGATGGCAGTACTGTAACACCATGTTCGGTGCTGTGGGCGGAATGATTGAACGACATGCACGCGCTAGTCTGGAATCTGTGGCTCGGAAATGGATTTGGGAACCTTTGGGAATGAGTTCAACAGGCTTCACAAACATTGATGCCGACATAGTCGCTAGAGGCTACTTCTGGCAAGGAGAGCATTATGTTCCAGAAAAGTTTACCGATCTCAGCGGCATTGCAGGAGCCGGAGCCACGATCTCTTCCGTCAACGACTACGCGCTGTGGATGAGAGCACTTCTCGATGCTTACAGGGGCAAGAAAAACGAGTCGTCGCCAATCACAAACAGTCTCTGGTCAGAAACCACGAGGTCGAGAGCGATTATCAATCCCGAAGACCTTGAACCTCTTACTTATGCTCTCGGCTGGATGATCGGTCGACTTGGCAAGTATACTGTCGTGACACATAGCGGTGGCGTCAACGGATACGGCACGAATCTGTTTCTCATACCAGAGTTAGACTTTGGATTCGTGTCGATGGGAAACACGCAAAGCACAGCTGCGATAGCAGGCGCTGCACTCTTCTCTACACTTTTGAGAAAGCTTTCGCCGTATGATCAGCATGATATCGATGAAGCTAGGATCACGGGACTGCACGAGTTTTTGACTTTGACGAATTCTTTCACGGGATCGAGACGGAGTGATAACCACGCTGATGATGTCTCTTTATCGCTTCCTGGTAGTTTGCGGGAGTACGTTGGTCTCTACGAGCACGCTGCTTACGGGCTGTTTAACATCAGTATTCTGTCCCAAGATCAATACACAAAAGCAGAGATGGGAAACCAGCAGCCACTTTCCGGAACAAACCAGATCCAATTCAGCGTCAGGCCATCCGCTCGATCTTGGGCAACCGCCGGCACGCTCAAACATAAAAGCCACACTTCATTCGATTTTGAGATTTTCACCGTGTCTGGTCCTATTGCAGAGAAGGAGGTTGCCAAAGAGTGCGGGAGCGTGGAAGAGACGGGTCGTGTGCTGACGTGTAAAAACGAAGAGGCTCGTGAGATGCTCTCAAGGACTCGCGCAGTTTTTGACTACGAGATTTATGGAAGGCGGGTTGCTAAGCTGGGGCTTCAATTCGAGCCGGAACAGATTAGATATGCGGCAGAAGTTGGTGGAGAGGAGAATTGGAGGGAAGGGATGATTTGGTTTATTAAGATGTGATTTTGATGAGGACGTGAGGTGAGGCTTGCTACTCAGACACCACCTGCATCGATCTCGTGATAACATCTTGTTATATTGCATATCACAGTAGCGTCTGTCTCGATGTTCGTTCGCCGGCTTGCGGTATATTCTGCTCTTGTACATCTGTTCTGTCCTCGACAATCCGACTGCGATCTTCGGGATTCCACGCCTGTATCCAACCGCAGGATGATGTTTGGTCTTGCAGGTGGATGATATCGACGCAGATCAATATCAATATCATTTGTAATCATCATGAAAGCCAAGATGCAAGATGATGCCGAGTTCCGCAAGTACACCATCGACTCCTCGGCCTGCACTATTCAATTTAGGCGGGCCACGTTGTGTGCTTTAGGTAAGTGAAACAGCTTCCTCTTTCTCTGCCCGCTATTTCTCCAATCCCGCTTTTTCGCCTACTCCGCTCTACCTCCATTCTACAGTTCTGGGGAAGATGTTATTGCGGGAAACAGAATTGTCGTTCTTTCTGGTATAAGTAGAAGCTGGAGCACACTTCTGCTATTGTCATGGACAAAAAGAAGACTGCATTGTCCTCGGCTAGGGATGAGGAGAAAGAGCTTTCGGTAGACATGGAGAAAGACGACGCACCACAGGACGAAAAGCCACCTCCGGCTGCACTGATTACGACAGTCATCTCTCCGCCAACACCAGACGCCTTGCAAGATGGCGGAACCAGAGCGTGGCTGCAAGTCATGGGCTCGTTCATTGTCTTCGGCAATCTCTGGGGCATGTCGTTCGCATTTGGCTCATTCCAGAGCTATTACGAAGTCAGCTACATTCCTGATGAGTCCGCAAGCTCCATCTCATGGATCGGAACAGTCACCATCTTCCTTCTCATTTTGATCGGCGTCATCAGTGGACCTCTTTTCGATCTCGGATACTTTCGGACCATGCTCATCGTCGGTGCTCTGGGCGAGACCCTCGGCGTCTTTCTCATGAGTGTCAGTACCACATACTGGCAGCTCATGCTTACCCAAGGTGTTCTGATGGGCCTCTCCAATGGCCTGCTGTACCTGCCCGGTTTAGCTTTGGTGGGAAGATCCTTCAAGAAACACAGAGCTGTCGCTATGGGAGTTACGACGTGTGGAGCGCCGGTCGGTGGCATCATATACACTCTCATCTTCCAGCAGTTGATTGGAAAGCTGAGCTTCGGCTGGACCGTGCGCGTCATCGCGTTTGTCATGTTGGCAACATACTCATTGATCTCATTTCCACTTTTGCTTTGGGGTGCAGCGAATCTGGGAGATATTGCATCCGGATCGAAGCGAAAGTTGTTCGATCGCGGTGCTTTGACTGACCTCCCATTTTGGCTATACAGTAGCAGTAACTTTGTGGGTAACACGCATGGCCGTGCTTGGTCCGGAGTGCTGACGATATCCAGCTTATATTCTGCGGCTACATGGTACCCTTCATCTTCATTCCGTCTTATGGCGAACTCATTCTAGGCATCTCGCGCAGCATGTCCCTTTACGTGTCCATGATCTCTCAAGCCAGCAGTATTCTCGGACGTCTTGTCGCGGGCTACTCGGCATCAAGAGTCGGCGTCATGGTCAATTGGATCACCTGCGTACTCGTATCTGGTATTGTCGCAATCGCCTGGCACGGCGTCAACTCTTTGGGTGGCTTTATCACCATTGCAGCGCTCTATGGCTGTTTCAGTGGAGCTTTGATTCCACTGCCGCCGACTGTCTTTCCCAAAGTCTGTTCGGACCCCAAGGTCTACGGAGCCCGACTTGGCATGGCACAAGGCTTTGGCTCTATTGCTAGCTTGATCGGACCTCCGATTGCTGCAGCACTTGCTTCTGCATCGAGCAAGGATGGCAAGACCGATTATCTCGGACTACAGCTCTTTGCTGGCTGCATTATGGTCGCCGGAGCTTGCAACTTGTTTGTGCTGTGGTTTACGCTTATGCGACGACGGAATGGTGGGTCAAGATGGGTGTGAGATGGCGGTCACATCTTGTGCTTGATATCCTTTATGCCGCCAAAAGTGCCCCCGCTAAGGTCTCGATCGGAGCGAGTCGAATATGAAGTTCGGGGAGGATTGGTGTCAAACGGCCCCACTGTCGCTGAACGGGAGGCTGAAGAGCCAGACCTAGAGGGCCTGTTAGCTGTATAAGCTCAACACCGCTCAGACATTTCTTCCCGAGCTTTATGGCCATGAAGCTCTGATAAAACTAGATTGGCGGACATCAGTCGTAGACGCTTGATAAAGGACTTCCTAGCAGGATATGTCCGACGCTGAACACCACGAGGCACTAGATGTCACAAGCTACTCGAGGCCGGCCAAGGTCATAGATGAGAAGAGAGCGAATGGTTTTGCTCATTTCGGCAAACCTATATGGCGTTGCTTCTTTTGCTGAAGACTGCAATGAACGTTGTATGTCAGTTACTGCCATGACTATTGAGGTAGCTTACACTTGGTTCTGATTGATCTTGCTTGGGGCATACCTTATGATTCTTCTCTTCTCTTCAGGAAATTGGAGAGACCTTCTGCTCGCTCTATGACTGACTGTGATCTACTAGTAGCAGCCTTACCTTTCTCTTCTATCGTCTTCGCACATCATGCTACATGTGAGCGCATGGTTGTTGGAAGTGGGCAAGGAGGCTGAGCGCTTGGTCGACTCTGGTCATCATCTGCTTTTGGGGGCCGGATTAAGTCGGTTACGAGCTCTGCAATGATGCCTGAGTATAAAAGCAATTTAGGATAGTTGCAATTCCAGCACTTTGTGTGTACAAGCTGACAATATCATTCAAATGCAATTACCTGTACGCCCGGCTAAGCCCTACTATACTAGTATAAGCAGAGCAGCTCAACGCGCCCAAGCTTACCAGGTAATTCAACCCAGGTTATCCTCTCATCAACAACTTTGCCGTGCAGGTGTGCAGCTTCTCGCGCGGCCCTGCTTAAAATGTTCTCCTTGTTTTCATCAGCCTCCCCAACATCGCTCCAATTCCTGTTGGCCGTCTCGACGTTGCTCGTGTCTATGCTTCGTGCGCCGTTACCAGTTCCAATACATCTACTGTGCCTTCTTTGGTTGAGCCTGAGGAGGGGCACCCCCAATGTAGTGGTTGATATCGGTCTGGTCGTGGACTGTCTTGAGCACGCCTTTGATAGTCTCCCATGCATTTCGTGCAGCGGGCGGCACGTCCTGGCGCTGGACAAGGGCGTCGCCGCGAGCGCCGAGCTGCTTGATCATGCCCTGGACGAAAGTGCTCTGGGAGATGCGAGCACGGAGGAAGATGGTATACACGACGAGGATGATCCAGCTGCCCTTCTGGAAGATAAGAGCTGAGCCAGCGATGCGGAACCAGAGCGCGAGCTCGAGGCCAGCGACAATGGACATGCTAGCATCATAGTAGTCCTTGACGAAGCGACCAATGGTGTCTGCAAGGCCGCTTGATTGTGGCTTCTGTCCAGCAGGGGTCGCTGGAGGCGGCTGGATGGTGGGGAGGAGGATTCCGCGGGTGTAGGTCAGGACGTGGAAGATGCTGTAGACGGCGTATGGGAGCATCGCGAGCGGGTACTGGCGGGAGAAAAGCCAAAGGAGGGCCATTGCTGTACAAAGGTCTTATCAGTATAGCTGTTCAGCTTGCCTGCTCGAGTGTGCCTGCTTACCCAGGTACTGCACATTCTCATCTCCAACCAAAGCCAATGGGCTGGCTGGCTGCTTGCCGCTCTTCGCACGTGCCCGGTAACCCTTGAATACGACAATACCATAGGTTGCAGCAGCGGCGATAAAGGCGGTACGGTAGCTGAACTGCGCCCAGCGGCTGTAGTACTTGAGGAAGATGTAGCTCAAAGTATAGCGGGTTGTGGTGAGCAGGAGCGTGACGTGCCCGACGAACCATGCCTAACAGTGTCAGCGTATGTCTTCCATACTCCCCAGCTCGTAGCTTTCTTACAAACTGGAGCGTTTGGGCCAGAGCCAACAATCTCTCCTGCAGAGAGGCGCCCGGTGCTGGAGGGGCCATTGCGGGCGGTCAGGCGATTTCAGCTCTGCTGGATGGCGAGTCTCAGATATGTCTGATCTGAGATGGATGCACGCGAATCGATTTCTTCACTGGGCGGTGACCGGCGTTGAAGGGTGGCAGGGAAAGACCAGCTTGAACCTCCGATGCCAAACGTGGTGTTGAGGCACACATGCCTTGGCACGCTTTCGTCATTCACAAGCCACCGACCCTTCGTCATCCTCCCTTCCTCCTTCGCTACGCGTCACTATACATATGTCGTCCTACATCTGGCGTATTTGTTTATCTCGTGGAGGTATCACGAGTAGAACAGTCGCATTGGGATACCATGCGCAAGCACCATTCATGGCCATGACTCGATGTCATCCACAGTCCCTGAAACGCCTCGTGCGCCCTTCCCTTCTCCTCTGAGAGCCATCACAGCTCGCCAATGCCGCACGCGAGTCAGCAGGACCTCATCCTTCGGGCGCTGCCACAGATTCATCGTGGCACATGAAAATAAGTCCTGTCCATGAGAAGGACCAGGACCGAGAGCGCCGACAATGATCACCATCACACGACTTGCCCGCCAGCAAGACGCCGAGGCCGTAGTTCAATTATCGCAGCGAGTTCAAGCCGCTCTTGCGGCATCCGGGAGTTTGCAGCATCTCAGGGCTGTAAAGGTAGAGCAAATATCGGAAGAGATTGGAAGGCATGAGTGCTTCATCTTAGAAGATCAATTGACTGCACAGATTATTGGCGCTGCGAGCACGGGAGCAATACAACATGACTACTATCCAGTGGCTGTCAATTTCTCCTTGAGCAACTATTGCAAGCCCTGGATTTACCTCTACTCTGTCATGCTCGACCCTAATCACCAAGGTCGTGGTCTTGGTAGGGGTTTCATTGGGGACTATGTCAAACACCTAGAAGAAGTTTTTGGCGGGGGCACAATCATTCTCGATTGCTGGGCTGGCAACTCCAAACTGCGAGATTTCTACATCCGATCTGGTTTCACGTTTGCAGCCATTGTGCCAGAAAACGATTATGAGGTGGCAGTCTTCTATCGAGAATTGTCCAATCAGTTCTCAGGAAATCGGAATGCATCGGAAGACCGACAGCTTCTTGCGTATGATGTCCCAAGCGCTCCTATGATATCCAGGTAGCTTTCGAAACGATCAAAAGGGTCGAGTCAGGCAGCACTGACCGCCCACACTCAGAATCCCATTCGCTGCATGACAACGTGGGAATCCTTGATAAGGAGTCAGAGAACTAAGCACCACTGCAGGAACACAATGCGAACTTGGATGATTTTCTGTAGTAGGGAGAAGTGTAGTGCTAGAGTAGATGCTGAAATGAAAAAGGAATGATTTCGAGCTTCACTTCGATAACCGAACCTCCCACATGCCGGCAGTCGAAAGAGGAAGCGTCTCACGTGCTGCATCCGAATAGAGTTTGAGCTAACAGCCGTAATCAGCGGCCCGTGCTCCGAGCCGAGTTCTTTTCTTTGGACTAGGATTTCAGCGTCTTCACTATTGCGACAATGTGACCAACCAACTCACCCCCGAACGCTCTTCCCATATGGTGATGCCTCTTTGGAGGTTATCTACCCGCCAATAACCACCAACTACACCTTCTCCATACCAGCCATGAGGGGTGCTACCATCTTTTCGGGTTCGAGCTGCCCGAATCTGGTCAACGCGATTTGCCAGAGACTCGGGCAGAAGCCGGCGGAGGTCGACCTGAAGAAATTCGCCAACGGCGAGACGTCGGTTGAGATCAGTATGAATAACTTCACTTGCCCCCGAGTCGTGCGACGCGCTGCTAACCTGCCTTGAAGAAACCTCGGTTCGCGATCAAGATGTCTTTATTGTGCAGAGTGGGAGCAGCCAGTATGATGATCGAGCTCGATACTTTGCATGAAGCTCCGCTGACTGGTCAGGATCAACGACAATGTTATGGAAATGCTCATCATGATCTCTGCCTGCAAAGGTGGCTCTGCCCGCAGTATTACAGGTGAGTGAGCAAGACAGACATACAGATTCCGGCTTGGCCCGACCTTGGAGACTGAATGCTGATACTGCTTATAGCTGTTATGCCGTACTTCCCATACTCGCGTCAATCGAAGAAGAAGGCTCACCGAGGAGCTATCACAGCCCGCATGCTCGCGAACCTCGTCAAAGTCGCTGGCGTTAACCACGTCATCACCATTGACCTACATGCCACACAGATGCAGGGCTTCTTCAAATGTCCCGTTGACAACCTCTTCGCCGAAACAATCCTTAGCAAATGGATTCGCCAAAATATTCCAGATTGGTTTGACAGCGTGGTGGTGAGCAAGAATCCAGGTGGAACAAAGAGAGTGACGAGTTTGGCCGATAGGTTGGGCTTGCACTTTGGCATTGTGACCACAGACAGGAGAAAACCTAAGCATCCGCCAAGCATGATGAGCTCGGCAATATTTGAAAGGCTGGGTGGAGACGGCACGAATGATCGCGAGGCTCTGGAAGAAGACGCAGAGGAAAGTCGACTGCACTCGCCTGACAAGAACAAGACATCGCCAGATCGGACGCAGCGCGATCCTAAAGAGCGAGATTGGGCAAGTCCCAAGTCAAAATCGCCAACTCACGGGGTCCGCAGATATCCGTATCGTCCATCAGCTCCTCGTGCAACAAGCTACGCTTCTGCTGCGCAAGCAAGACTGGCGAACGGCAGTGGTCCTACACCACATCCGTTAACGAACGCACATCGACCTGATTCGATCGACGAAGTAAGCGAAGAAACGGACCAGAAGAAGGCTGAAGACAGTGCAGAGAGCGTTGGTCTTCAACGTGTGCGGACTGTGCCGACCGTAGAGCCATCACGCGATGACGACGGCTATGAAGAGTCAGAAGGCGACGATGACACAGACGAGCGGGCTAGAGATGTCATCACAGGCCGCCTCATTCATGGCCACATTGTGGACGACGATGTGCCTTCACCATGCATGTCTCATTACTCCGCGAATCGCAATCGACAGTCCAGTGAGGATGAGGATGCATCGGAGCATATGATGCAGTCCTTTGTCTCCACAACGTCTTCTCGCTGGGGCGCTGGCAACGGCCAGGGCGGTGCCCTTGGCGGTACCGGCGATGCAACACACTCCGACGAAGAGGAAGAAGAAGCTCTGCAGAATCCAGAGATCGAAACTCACGTCACACTTGTCGGTAACGTTCGTGACAGATCGGTCATCATCGTGGACGATATGATTGACAAGGCGGGGTCCTGGATTGCTGCAGCGGAGACTGTGGTCAAGCGAGGGCAGGCAACAAAAGTCTACTGCATGGCTACGCATGGTCTCTTCGGCGGCGATAGTTTGCAGCAGCTTGAAGAGTGCGACGAGATCGAGGCGGTCATCGTAACCAACGCGTTCCCTATCCCGGAGGAGACCAGACGCAAGTCCCGGAAACTCATTGTCCTGGACGTCTCTGGACTCTTGGCTGAGGCGATCCGACGGAACCATCATGGAGAGTCTATAAGTCAGCTCTACCATATCATGGACTGATTGCATTGACCTTGGCATGTTCTGGTGCGGTAAGTTGAAATTCGGACCGCTGGCGTTCTGGTAGAGGAAATGAAACGGACACTTCGGCGAAAGTGATGCGATACTTGAATTCGGCTCGTGAAAATGGGCGCTACGATACGATGTGCTTGATACGTACGGAACTTCAGCCTTGATGGCTGCTGATGTCTGGCCCACTGCCATGACATCCATTTTGGCTTGATTGAAGCCAGGCTTGTCTCAAAAGAAAGCAAAGGTTTCATCAATTTCTACCAATTCTCATTTCCTTTCTCTCCCCCTTACCCAGCGATGCAGGTGTCTTAGCACTTGCCCGGGTCTTCTCCTCATATGAGAAGTGCCTGGAACGGAGCGTTGGTATATCAATCTTAGCACCGGGAATAGAAGGCCTGCTTCTCATGTCCCTCTTAATTGAGGGTGGGAGGAATGGGCAAGAGAACCTCTTGGACAATCATCACAATCATCACAGTCATGATATCTACAGGTGTTATGGCAATTGTAGTGCTAGTCACGACGGTAAAGAACAGCTTCCTTCCGATGTTGACCAAGTAACAGAAAAACGACACAAGGACAAAAAAAGGCTCAGGGCGCTTCCCAGGGTTGAACTGGGGGCCACCTACAGAAGCGATAGATTGAATCTATCAGGTTGAAAAACCCGAAGCAGGTATCATACCACTAGACCAAAGCGCCTTGTGTCTGGACGAGCACATTGTCTCTGAGCGAATGTATATGCTGGTTTGCGCGTTTATCTGAGTCTATCAACACAAGCCAGACAGGCGAGCAAGAGCGCGGTGTCCGAATGGGGACGTAAGGGCCTTGACAATGATGATACTGGAGAGTCAATCCTTGGCAACGGGAGACGACCGTCGTGTATCTCGAGACTGCAATTTCGATGGGTCCTGGCGTTCCAAGTTGAGTTCAAGATGCAAAAGCAATTTTCCTTCTGACTTGCCGTGTTCAAAGAATGGTGGATTGGCTGATATGTGTTGCAAGCCTTGGCATTGTGTAAGGCTCCGCTGCTCCTAAGTACACTGTCTGCAATTCCTTCTCGTCCGCAGCCTGTTGTTGCTGGAAGAACCTTAGAAGTAGCATCGACTCATCTTTGAACCACAGAAGGTGCAGTCAAGATTGACGAAGCTCCAATGGCACCTGCATGAAAGCTGCAGCTACCTACTACAGCTCCGCCGAAAAGCTTGGCCGCCGGCCGATGTATACACCGAGCACCAGCACTTCCCTTTCGTTATCGATTTCCGTTTTCCAACAACATTTTCTCAGCCATGTTCAAACCAACCATTGCAATTGCCGGCCTAGGCTGTGAAAACTCGACATTCTCTCCAGCCCGCACTAACGCAGCAGCCTTCCACCCCAAGCGCGGCGACGAGATCTTGGAACAATACCAATCCATCCTGCCACCATCCGCGACGTTTATCGGAACACTCACTGGCCACTCCTTACCTGGCGGAATCGTCACACGAGAGGCATTTGAACAACTCTCCTCGGAAATCACAACAAGATTGCAAAAGACCCTCGACGAAGGACCGCAACTCGATGGACTTTGGTTCGATATCCATGGCGCCATGCATGTCGAAGGCTTTGAAGACGCTGAGGCAGAATTACTTTCAAGAATTCGAAACGTCGTCGGGCGAGATGTAGTGGTATCTGCGTCCATGGACTTGCATGGCAATGTCTCGCATTCGCTCATTTCTCAATTGGATCTCGTGACGTGTTATCGTACAGCACCACATATCGATGTCATGGAGACGAAAGAACGCGCGCTCCGAAATCTTATTGAAGTTTTGAAGATGAGGTCAGAAGGTAGGAAGGATTACTTACCTATCAAAGCCTGGATACCAGTTCCCATACTCTTAACAGGAGAAATGACATCAACTCGAGATGCGCCTGCAGATCGAATCTATGCCGCAGTTCCAGAGATCGAAGCGCTCCCAAGTGTCTTGGACGCTGCAATTTGGGTCGGATATGCTTGGGGCGATGATGCCAGGAATTGCGCTGTAGTAGTCGTGACAGGTGGGGATGAGAAGGTCGTATGTGATGGAGCAGAGAAGTTGGCCAGACTGTTTTGGGATGCGAGGAAAGAGTTCAAATTCGTGGCACCGACGGGTAGTCTCGAGGAATGTTTGGATCAAGCTGTGAAGGTGGATGCGAAGAGGCCTTACTATATCTCGGACTCTGGTGACAATCCAACTGCTGGGGGGAGTGGTGATGTGACATGGAGTTTGGACAAGATCTTGAGAAGGGAAGAATTCAAAGGAGATGATGGGATGAGGGTGATCTATGCGAGCTTACCTGGACCTCAGGCTGTGGAGAAGTGTTTCGAAGCTGGAGTCGGGGAGACCGTGACTGTTACTGCTGGTGCAGAGGTTGACGCCATTCATCATGGTCCGATCACGATGACTGGCCGTGTTCACTCGTTGAGAAAGGGAGATAAGTGGGCTGTGAGGGAAGCCGTGTTGCAAGTCAGCAATGTCTTCATCATTCTCACCGAGTTTCGAAAGCCATTCCACAAGGAAGTCGATTTCAAGAATCTGGATCTGGACGCAAGGCACGGTGCCGATGTGGTAATTGTGAAGATCGGGTACCTGGAGCCAGATCTTTACGACATGAGTGCGGATTGGATGCTTGCGCTTACGCCTGGCGGTGTGGATCAAGATTTGAAGAGGCTGGGCCACAAGAACATTGCGAGACCAATGTGGCCCTTCGACGAGGAGTTTGAGCGAGAGCCGGATCTGAGTGCAAGAATTGTTGGACGATCGAATCATGATCCAATCTAATCAGTTTCAGCTCTGCGTTGCTGAGATGAGGGTGTCTTAGGTTGCCAAGCAGTGCATCCAGGAATATTCTGGGATTACATCAATGCATGCTGCTCAGATGGCTATGCATCTCAGATTCAACAGCTACAAGTTCCGGCTGCTTCGCAGATCCCGTGTCAGGCACGTTTACTGCAGCGACAGTGGCCCGGTTTGAGCCAAGATGTCGTCAAACAGAATGGTCGGAGACCACATTGCCACGACTCGAAGGGCGGAGGAGACCGGGCTAGCGATCGACCTCAAGAGTCCGACGCCGGGTTCGGAAAGAGTCAAGGCGGCCTTGCAGGAGGCATTGAGCAATACGGCATACCGCTCTAGGGCTGTGGAAAAGCCAAAGGCATTTGCGAAGCCCGATGCCACTGCGGAAGCCGAACAGGCAATTCTGGAGCGGGTGGAGAAGGTCTATCCGCGGCAGGATGAAATGTCTCGCATCTACGATACGTACGTTCGCCTGGGTTGTATAGACTGCAGCTCTTTTGCCCATGTACAAGTGTGCCTCTCGTGTCAACGTCTGAGCCCAGCCCCTTTTGAGCCTGGAAGCCTCTTTTCCCGTATGCATTGACAGTGACCTCTTATCTTCTGGGACTTCCGCGTCCTGTGTGATGTCGTTGGTATCTGTGGCGGCATGATAGCGTCGTCGAGAAACGATTGTCGTCCGATTGTCAATAGGGCTCGGCGCTCCAGGAAGGTGGATGATCATCGGGTGTAACTAGCTGCACTTGACGTAGGCGCTACAGAAAACATTCCATTGTGTCAGCATCATCATCGCCCTGATCAAACAGGATGGACCATACCGAATGTTCCCGCTTGGAATGCCCTGCCTGACATACGCACGGCGAGATGATGGTTCGAACATTCCGAGCAGTTCTGGTCTTGGCACTGGCATCACGTGCAGCTGTCGCGCTTCGGCCATTCTCAGATGTCTTCGAGTGCATCGAACTCGATGAGAGCCGCTTCGAAAATGAAGCGCAGACTCTCCTGCGGCCATATCAATATGGAGATGCCTTTCCGGCCATCAACGCAAGCGAAAGTGTCAATCTATTCCCCATGGCCCCATGTCATGGCTTCAAAATCGAAGAGGCAACCATAGACCAGCTACAAGACTATATGCAACATGGCTCTCTGACCGCGCAGCAGCTGGCGGTGTGCTATGTCCAGCGTATGTGGCAGACAGACGACTACATCAACTCGGTGCTCGAGCTCAATCCGGACTTCCTCGCCATCGCAGCTCAGCTGGACCACGAGAGGCAAGCAGGCCACATTCGATCTCAACTCCACGGCATACCCTTCATGGTCAAAGACAACATCGCTTCCAAGGATCGCATGCAGACAACGGCGGGTAGCTGGGCTTTGCAAGGCTCGGTCGTTCCTCGCGATGCACACGTTGTAGCCAAGCTTCGTAAGGCCGGCGCCTTGCTACTTGGTAAAGCCACACTGAGCGAATGGGCCGACATGCGAAGCAACAACTATTCCGAGGGCTATTCTGCTCGTGGTGGACAATGTCGATCTGCATACAATTTGACCGTCAATCCTGGTGGAAGCAGCAGCGGTTCAGCTGTTGGCGTGGCCGCGAATGTCTTCCCTTTCGCGCTTGGGACAGAGACCGATGGAAGCGTCATCAATCCAGCCGAGCGAAATGCTATCGTTGGTCTAAAGCCGACCGTTGGCCTTACATCGAGAGCCGGAGTGGTCCCAGAATCTCTGCATCAGGATTCCGTAGGAGTATTTGCAAAGACCGTGAGAGAGGCTGCCATTGTGCTTGACATGATTTATGGCGCAGATCCGCGTGATGACTACACTTTGGCTCAAGTTGGTCACACTCCAGAAGATGGCTATGCGCAATTTCTTGCAGAGAAAGATGAACTTCGTGGTGCCGCTTTTGGCTTACCTTGGAACAGTTTCTGGGTTCATGCTGACCCGAAGCAGCAAGCTGTCCTCCTTGCAATGATTGATCTGATCCGAAAAGCAGGGGCGACGGTCGTGAACCATACGGAGCTGTTGGATTATGACAAAATTGTCTCTCCAGATGGCTGGAACTGGGACTACGGCAGTGCTCGGGGCTATCCAAACGAGAGCGAGTAAGTGTATCGAATATGGCGAGACAATCGCGCCGTGCTGACTTACTCACGCATCCAGATACACAGTCGTCAAAGTCGATTTCTATAACAATATCAAGGCATATCTTGCAGAGCTCAACAACACTAACATTCGATCTCTTGAAGATATCGTCGAGTACAACTATGCAAATGACGGTAGCGAAGGCGGCAACCCATGGCCGCTTGGTATTCCAGCTTTCTACTCCGGGCAAGATAGCTTCCTTGCAAGTTTGGCAACTAAAGGTGTCCAGAACGAAACGTACTGGCAAGCACTTGAGTTCTGCCAGAAGAGCAGCAGAGAGCGCGGCATAGACCATGCTTTGTCGCAAGGGCCGAATGGCACAAAGCTGGATGCACTATTGGTGCCGCCTGATGTCGGGCAATCGTATCAGATTGCCGCTCAAGCTGGCTATCCGGTCATCACCATTCCTGCTGGAGTATCCTCTTCGACCGGCATGCCGTACGGCTTTGCTTTGATGCAGAGTGCTTGGCGTGAGGATGCGCTTGTCAAGTACGCATCGGCTATTGAGAACCTGATGTCGGATACCCCGTACAAGAGAACATTCCCGAAGTGGCATGGATATCTGGAACGCAACATACCGATCATCAATGCATAGGAGACTCTAGCCTCTCGAGCTGGAGAAAGAGCTTTGTTTGCTATCAGGGATTGCGATGGTCTGGCATCCTTTGAATTCCGCTTATTTGCTATAGGGTCAAAAGTACCAGCTGCTCGCGCCAGACTTGCTCACTGAAATGCTCTTCGCCAAATAAGTTACGAGTCATTCATCGCTTGCGCATAGATGCGGCTTCACTCTCACAAGTCCTGCCGTCACATGTAAGCTTGATCTCACATGTAAGCTTAATCTCACATGCAAGCTTGATCTCACATGTTCGAGCACCTATATCAAGGCGTCATTTGTCTTGTCTAATCTTAGCTACAACATCCCCCTTTTTCGACACCACCTCAGCCTAAGCACGCACCCTTCACACCTTAGCACCTTCCAGCATAGCTTCATCGATCCATCCGACCTATCCAAGAACCATATAAGCACGACAATCAATCCTTTCGAACGCACGCTGGAATACACTGCAACTACAGCGCCAGAGTAGCGTCGCGCGCGATAGAGGAAGGTTAGCTTCACTTCAGATCGATTGCTGTCACATGCAAATCAGCACTCACATGCAACTCACTACTCACATGCATATGCAGGGTCCAAGCTCGCTTGAGTCTTAAGGCAACTTCGACATCGTTTCGAACCTCATCCAACATCAGCATACAACTTCGACATTGCTTCGAACCTCATCCGGAATTAGCATACATCACTCACAGCCTCCACCATCCACCTCAGAAGATACTCGCCAACACACAAAACAATCAAATCAACACTTCGACATCCTTCGGCAGCGATCATGACTAGTCGCAGCCTCATTGCGCTTCTCGCGTTCGGTGCCAGCTGCCTTTCGGTTCGCGCAGCACCGCAGTGGGAAGGCGCTGTTACTATGGTTCGAGATGTGGCAGTCACCTCGACTCTGCCTCCCGGTGAAGGAGGCTGTCCGGAGACCGCTGTGAATGGCTGTATTGTCACAACCGCTACGCAGCAGTCGGTCACCACTGTGACCAACACATTCCCGGTCTCGGCTCCGAGCAACCTCACTACTTCCAGTTCGCATACATCAGCGTTGACGACCTCAGAATCATCGCTTCCCAGCAGCATCCCGATCCAGACTACTTCGGCCTCTGCTTCTATCTCTGCTCCTGTCGCGCCCAGCATACCGCCATTGTCGACTGGCGCCACCACGCAGCATACATCTAATGCGCCACTCGTTCCGTCGATCGTCCCGCCACCATTCCCAAACAGCACTTCTTCGTCTTGGACAATTCCAAATCTGCCGACTTCATCTGGCCTGCTTCCTACCACCAGTAGCAGTCACTCTTTGTGGCCAACTTCTGCTGTGTCATCTGCTCCGCTTACAACCTTGACTACGCGAAGCACTTCCGAGGTCGTCACATCTGAGATTCCGTTCGCCACTTCCAGTGTTCCCGAGCCCGAAGACACCTCCAGGAGCGTGATCATGTCGACTCATTTTGAAACTGAGATATTGACCACGAAGACGACTACGACTGATACGGAGTACCCGCCTGCCACCTCAGTCATCAACATCACTACAGGAGTCACTCGGACGGACACCATCACGACCACAACCACAGACAGTCAGATTCTTTCTCTGCCATCTTGTGGCACTGGCGGGTTTGGGCCTGATGGTGAGTAACTTCCGCTATAACCACGTGTCATATGCTCATTTTTCTGCAGGTCAATACTACGGCGGTGCATGCCCTTCGACTTTCGAAACGATCACTACTTCGTCTTCGTCAATCTCAGCAAGCGTGGACCCGATCAACACCTCCACGACTTGCACGGATGAGATTTCGAAGGCCGGGCCAACTCAGCCAGTTACGACCAAGCCATCGATGAGTGCTGTCCCAGTAGTCGCCACCAATTCTTCGACATCGCTATCCATCTTGTCTTTCAGCTCCTCGGAGCCGTAGACGACTGCGGTTCCAGTACCTACCTTTAGCGATTATCCCATTCTTTGGACTACCGACCCTAGCTTCTGAGCTAGTGCATCCAGCGCGACAAGATATGACGGTATGTCTAAGGGGTTCAAAATGGAAATCATAGGGAAGGAAGGAAGCGCGGAGTACGAGGATTGGGCTTGAAGCGATGATCGATGGATCTCTTTTGTCAACTGAGCTGTCATATTGCTGAGGTTCGGTCTGAGGCTGAGGCTTCAGAGAGGCTTCCAAAAGCCCAGACCGTGATCTCACTACTATCATCATCACCGAGAGCCAACGCAAAGCAGTGTGCTACTCTGCATGCGACGCGCTCATATACCAAAGTCTTCCTTCAAATGAAAATTCGTACCCCTACATATCGACATCTGAGCCGCAGTGACAAGCCTATTTTTCTCTTCTCCCATGAAAGCCCCAAGCACTAACATTCCTCCTCTCACCTTGCTCTCGACTGTCTTCTACATTCGGCTTTACAGTACTTTTCCAAAGTCGTTTTCTGCCCCAGTTCTGAGCAGGATCATGCTCTTCCTTAAAGCTTTGAATAACCCCAACAGTAAACTTCAACTCCGACGACGAGTGCTCGAAAATGCGGCGTCTTCCTTTCCGCCACGACTTCTTGTCCAGAACCTTGTTGTCCGTCCCACAGTCGAGCTGGACACTGATCGACCAGCTCGAAACCGCGTCTTGGATACCATCGGTCTCATTGCCTAGCTGCGAGAGAGTATGATTAATCTGCTCGGTTAACAAATTTTCGATCTCAGATCTCAAGTCTCCGAAACTCGTGTTCGGAGCGATAGTAGTAGTAACGAATGTGGTTAAAGTGTGGTGGTCCTCGAGTATTTGGCCCTACGAACGGTGTTCTGATAATGGTCTTCCTGAGCACTTGAACTCGAACTGGATCGGTACCTGCATGTCTCGACATGTTGTAGGATTGAGAGGTTTAGAGCTGCGGGTAAATTGTAGGATACTTGAATTATTGATTGTGTACAATAGTCAAAGTGGCATGCGAGCAGGGCTTTGAGTAGCATTCACTGTCATTTTTTTTTGCCGCATTTATGTTTTCGAGGATGGCGATCTTCCGAGGACGATAAAGCTCTCAAACTTGTGTCGATTGATTAATCTATTGAAGTCGTCCATTCATCGTGAATCCCGATGCTGTATTCATCTCACCTCACACGAACATCTTCCGTGCTATTCAGATGCCATCGAAGCTGAGATAGCCAAGGGGCGACAGTCTACAGACGGGGGTTCGATCTCGTCGAACCAAGAACAGTCTTCAATCGGCCGCGAGAAGGACCATTTCTATCTGCATTGCGAAGCCACGTTCTAGAGGAAGTCGCCAACCTAGGAAAGTTTCGGGCAGATGCCGGCTTGTAGCGATGGAGGTGAAGCAGACGGCAGAAGAATGCAGCCCAGGGGGTATTGTATTGATACGGCACTTACTGGGGAGTTTTGGATCGATAAGTAATATTTCTGCTAGAATTTCCGTCACGCGAAGCCAACCGAGACACTACCAAACATTGATGAACCTCCGGCACAGGATATGCTTCGCACTGAAAGCGACCCATCTCAAGGCCAGGAATACGAGCGACGATAACGTGTGGGAGCCACGCCTGAGTCTAGTAGTCAATGCCCCACGTGTTTATTTAGGTCTGCTGCCAACGGTCCCGTTGCTGAAATGGCATTACTTTCATGGATAGAACTCCTGGGGTTTGAGCTCATTGGCGTCTTCAGAGTCCCAGTGCCCAAAGGCCGCTTTGAATCAGCCTCTCTCGAAGCTTGTATTGATGGGTATTTGTACATGTCTGCGCTGACGTTCTGTTGACTTTTGGTGTAGTGTTCCAAGCCTATCCCGTCTGAACGCCTCGCTATGCTGGAAACTACAGCTCCCGGGACCCATCTAGAACCAATCTTGCTCTCTCTGGCCATCGCGGCCTTCTCCATAGCCGCTTTTGATAATTGTTCCGAATCGCTCGAAAACGAGACCTCGTGTGCGCTCGCTACGCGCCGCCCACAAGGATGTTGTTGACGGGAATGTGAACTGCGCGAAGCATTAGAGTTGTTCAAATAGACCATCATGCCGGCTCGTTTAACGGCGAGGAGCACATGTGCTCGCAAGGGATACGTACTCAGCTTCACAATATAACCGATAACACCCATGATCAGGAAACCCATACCCACTGCTTGCGAAATGCGTAGGAATTCCCTCTTGTCCGCTGTTTCCATAGTCAGCTCCAGCTCGCTCGACTGCGCCATCTCATGTGCCCGCCATATAGCGCTATCGACGTACGCTTGCTGCATCGTGTCAAGAATTGTCGGCCATCCTTGACGAACTCTCGAGGCATCTCAAGGAGCTCCTTTGCTTGATCCATCTTGCTTGGTTGCGTCGCGCGTGTTCAAAGATTGGTAGCTCTGTTCGCGAAGTCGAGCGGTCGGTATATGCGAGGTCGCGGGCGTTGTTGGCGAAGTTGTCGAGGGATGAAAGATCGTCGTCTTGGTCCTCGAATTGTGGAGGAAGCCGCAAGCTGTCCTGTCTCCCCAGTCAATGCGGCTCGGCGGCGAGATCGCGCTTGCGGGAACTCTGTTTTTTTGCACGTGATCGTGACTTGCATCCACATCGGACGATCCCTTCAAGACATCTCCAGCTTGCCAGAATGGCTGAAACAAATGGCACTTCGACACCGGCAAAGAAGCTAAGACTACTGATGCTGCATGGCTACACCCAATCTGGGCATCTTTTCGAGATCAAGACCAAAGCGCTCAAGAAAAGTTTAGAAAAGCATTTTCCTCCCTCACCCAAACCAGGCCACCTGAAGCAGTATCCTGGCGGCATCGAACTTGTATATCCTACTGCACCAATAAAGCTTCAGCCCACAGAAGTTCCTGGAGCCGAACTAGATGGCGACAAAGATCTTGACGCATATGGCTGGTGGCGACGAAAAGGCGATTCCGAACCTTACACCTACGAAGGAATGGAAATCGGTCTAGCAGCAATATCAAAAGTCCTGCAAGAAGCCGTTGAGCAAGGCAAGCCATTTGATGGCGCACTAGGTTTCAGTCAAGGCGGTGCTGCTGCAGGCATGGTCGCAGCCTTGCTCGAGGATGGGCGACGAGAGGCATTCGAGAAACTGCAAGCGAAAGGCGGAATGAGATATCCGGACGAGTTCACGAAAGACACCGGATATATGGAAGAAGTGGTCCATCCGCCTTTGAGATTTGCTGTCAGCTATTCTGGTTTCGGAGCGAGTACGCACGAGCTTTACAAGGCATTCTACGAGCCAAAGATCAAGACTCCGATGTGTCATTTCTTAGGATCTGTTGATACAGTCGTGTCGGAGGATCGATCATTACGACTTGTAGAAGCATGCGTCGACGGCAAGCGGAAAGAAGGTGGTGTCGACAGAGTGATATATCATCCTGGTGGACACTTTTTGCCGAGCAGTCAGAAACAGTACGTGGCTGCTTTGGTTGCGTTTATACGAGAAGTGTTAGATGAACCGATAGAACAGCCCGGGGCCAAGAAGGAGGAGCGTATTGAAGATATGGACTTACCGTTTTGAGAAGAATGAAGTGCATATTTCATGATTCAGACGACGGCATGCAAGTCAGCTTATATAGAGACTAGATATAGATGATACGCACGAGAACTCTCCGATCTTGCTCCTTCTCGGAGCACTCAGATCCAAAACGATTTATGGGCTCAAAACAGTGTGAAATCTCCGGGTCTGAGCGCTCTAACATTGAGCTAAGATGCCAAAGAATATCTGGTGCCGATGTCTTGCCTGATGTAATAGTGGATTGATAACGGTGAGTACATCAGGATAGGCACTGCGGTGAGGCGTTATGTATTGTGGGCGCGTTCTATCACCAAGGTACAGCTGAAGCGCCCACTTCAGTCGAATCAGTAACCAACCTCCTATCCCTCGCTTCATCTCCCGCCCTCTCTCTCGCAGCATTCCCAACATCTCCTCCACCAGCCTTCCATCGATCATGCGCTCTCCTCGCAATGAACTTTCCAACTCCCCAGACACTTGCAGCCACAACACTGCCAGCAATCCCTGTCGGCGCAAGCACAAAACCAGCACCACTGACCAACGTTCCTCCCACTGTCGCGACTGCAAAAGCTACAGCAGCATACTTTGCCCAGCGAACTAGTCTCCAGATTACGAATTGGCTGATGTAGCGGAGAGTGCGTAAGAGAGCTCTGGTACGCAAGCGGGCTGGTTGGTCTGATGTGCCTGGATTTATGAGGTAGTTGAAGTTTCGCCGAGCGTTTTGGTAGGCTGATGATGATTGCTGAGCAACGGCTGTCTCATCCGGAGATGTCTCTGATGGTATTGCTGATCGCGAGGGCGCCATAGATAGGTGTTCAATGCCAGGATGAATTGCGGGAGGACTGCTTGTCCGGCTGAGGAGTCGAGCGAGAGGAACGCGAGGTTGACGCAAAGAAGCAGTATGGCTATGATAGGACTGCTGCACCTACCTGACGGCTCTGATATGAGACTTTCACAGATGTGGATGTGGTCTCGCAGGAGATCAAGGCCAAAACCCATCGCCGAACGGAAGCCGAGGTTTGCCGAGATTGGAGTGCACCACGCGTTGTACACCTGCAACTTCACCTCTACAGTATTCACCGGGACTTTTCTAGCGCTGAACACTTGAAGGCAACGAAATCGCTGATTGACGCCTAGAAACTTGAGGGCGTAGGGAACTTGCACGCAAGCTGATAATGGCTATGGTGCGTAGGGATCGACATGCAAAACCTTATATACAATGTAAGGCAGGGGTTACGTATGTAAGCTTATAAAACCATGTAAAATGGTATGTAAGGATGTAAGACGGGTGATTTAAGCTATACTAATATATGCTAAGGTATACCTCGCGGATAGTCGCTTAGATATCTTCTAAAGGCCTTATTAGCTACTTCCGAGTAGTCTTGCCCTATAAGACTCCTTCTAAGACAATAATACTATTGCTATCTAGATCTTATAGTCCCCTACCTAGAAACCTTCTAGAAGGCTTAGTAGTTAAAATAGTCTAGATAGACTTCTATAGCTATAGACCTATTAGGATAGTATCTAGGTACCTAAAAATCCGCCTAGACTACCTTAGTAAGACCTCTTTAATCTATCCTCCTAGGTCTAGGATATATACAAGCTGTCTAAGCCTGAATAATGGTCTAATATACAAGATATAGGGCTATCCCCTTAGTTAACTCGTCGCCTCGGAGCGTTCGTTAGCTAAATAGGCATTTCCCCCTATAGTATCTATATAGTTAGCTTTTAGAATAGCACCTTGTATATAAATACTAGGGCTTCTATTAGACTCGTTTAGTATATAACTATACCGCTTTCAGTGCCGCCGCACTCGGAGACTAAAAACTAACTCTTAAAGGTTCAAACCGTAAAATTAAACTAGCTAATTTAGTAGTACTAAATAGACCGCTTCTAAGCTACTATAGTCGATACGGCGGAAGCCGATAAAGAAGACAACGACTAAGGGTAGTTACAACAGGTAGATAAGGCTTATAGTAACCCTATTAAGTACAATAAGTACGTATACTTATATACTAAGGGTCCGGTCTTTAAGAGGGCTATAAATGCGGTGCCTCGTAGATTAGAACAGGAGCTATATAGTGCTAGAAATAAGGACGATACAATTAAGGCTGTTAGTAGCGACAATAGAGCCGGAGGCCTTTGTTATTCGATAGAAGACGACCTAAAGGAAGACCAATTTAAGCTATTAGTAGCGACTAAGCACTAGCGGAAGGTTAACTTGCCTATCTACCTGCAAGGTAACCTCTCGGAGGTTAAGGACGTATAGTACGAGTTCTTTAACCTCCTATAGACTAATAAGGTTATAGACAGGTTAGTAAAGTATACTAACGAGTATATAGAGACCTAAGAGGAGTTTAAAATAGACAAAGCTAGAAACCCCCGAATTAGCCGTAATAGGAGGCCTAAGATTGTTATATCTAGACACCCTTAGAAACTAGTAGGGCGTAAAGATATAATAATCTTCGTAGCCCTTATTATCTATATATCCGCGATCTAAATAGCCGATAAGTCCGATTACTAGAGGGACGACAAATACTAGCTAGTCTACGTAATCGCTAAATATATAAGTAAGTAGCGCTTCTAATAGATTAAGGCCGCTCTGTAGTATAGAAGTCCTATTCTAAGAGGCTCTAGATTGCCCGCATAGGCGTAGATATTACTATTAGCCGACCTATTACGAGACAGGTTTAAGACTATCGTTATGCCTAGAACTAATATATCGCTTAATAAGTCTATAATCCGGTTTATAGGGCGGTCTAGTTATATTATAATAATGCGAGGCAAGCCGACGCCTATCGGATACTATGTCCTTTGCCTATATAAAGGTAGATACCTATATTCCTTCTTATTCTTAAGCCCTCGAAAGTAATACTCTTAGGAAGCCGAAACAGACGAATTCGTAACTAGGGTCCTCGAGCGGCCGGTTATCGTTCGTAAGCAGCTTACTAGCGCTAAAATAGTCGACCGCGCGAAGGAGAGTAATAAGAGGCGTCGAGACAGGCTTAATAGCCTTACTAGGGGTAGTAGTTGTAATAGAATAAGTAGTATCTACGAGGTTAATAAAATAAAAGTCGACTTCTACTTAAGAGGCGCTAACTAGTCGGAAAGCATAGAAAGCTCGGAAAGCGCCGTAAGCGAGCCTAGTAGTATATAACCGACTAACTACGCCTACGGACTTAATCTTAGCGCAAGGCTAAGCCCGCTAAGAATCGCTATCCTTCGACTATTGCTATAACTTCTATTCTAAATATACTACTTCTACGTCTTTATAGACAATCTATTTAATAACGTTGTCCTATTCGCTATTCTAAAGCATCTCGGAATTGCTGCGACTAGTACTATGCGATCCGGCTCCTTATCGTAGCCTTAGAGAGGCGCTAAATTCGAGAAGTTAGGTTAGCTTCTAAAAAATAGAAAGCGGAAGAAATTAACGTTTCTACTACTAAATCGTAAGACGACTCGTTTCCTATTCGATACCCTGTTATATAAGGTAATTTATAGTATAGCGGCGGTTATCTAGTAGGATAGAAATCTCGTTTAGTTCCTTACAAACGCTATTAATCCTCGAAGCCGAGAAAATCGCCTTAGGGTACGCCTACGAGCCTATAATAACGCCTTTATCGATAACTACGTACGACCTTACTAGAAAGAAGAGCGAGAACTTAAGCTATTGCTAAGCATCGCCGCTCGCTATAATAATAGTATAGGTAGTATAGATATCTATAACTAGCTCTAGTTCTACTATTCCTCTTAGTATAAGTTACGGAAGGGTTAGTATCTACTCTTCTACTTCCTACTTAATACCGCTATTATTAATATATATATACTTCTTCGAGGCGACAAGACAAATAAAGACTTTACTTTCTAACGCGAGTTTAGAGTTAAATTAGCGTAGCAAATAGTCTATAAGGTATAGAGCGAGAAGAACGCTTAAGAGGCTATAGAAGCCTCGGTAAGAGCGCTTCGTATACTAACTCTACTACCTCCTCGAAGCGCTAGTCAATTTATCTCCGGACATATCTATAATCGCAGCGGTAGAAGATCTAAGCGCTATTAGATTAGGAAAGGCGATAGCTTACCTATAGTTAAAGAGAAACGGCGTATAGAGCGTAGTAGACAAGCAGTCTACCTAATAAAGCCTATGCTTCTACGACAGCGTTACTATCTCTATAAGCACGTAAGAACAGCTCTTAGCTTTAAGTAGTAGCCTCTTAGCGGCAAGCAAGAACACTAGACAACTATAGCCTATAACTACTATAGTCCTATTGCTATCTATAGTAGTTGCGAGCCTATATAGTATAGCTAACCGGACTTAGTAGCCTTCTTTACTGCTATTAGACCGCAACCTTCTACGTTAGAAGCCTTAACGCCGGCTCGAAGACCTTTACCTGTGCCTATAATAGGCTCTTTAGTACCGCCTTTAACTTAATAACCTTATTCTTTAGCTTATCTACTTCTAGCTATAGCTAATTAAACTCCGCTATACTAACAACCTCTACCTCGCTTTAAGGGCCTTCTACGTCGGATAGTAACTCTTCCTTTACCTTACCTGCCGTACGCGCCGACTCCGCCTGTTACTAGTTTACTAGGTTTAGGTCTACCCTTAAGTCCTTTACTAACAACTCGAGCTTCGAGATACGCTTAATAAGTGCCTTATAGCGCTTATTCTTAGTAGACAAACGCAGCTTTAATAGACTAGCTAGCGGCACTAATTTATAGACCTCTTCTACGGTTAATTCTATACTATTCGAACGCAGTCTATAGCGCTATCTTAACTCTTCTATTAAGCGGAAGCGGATAGGGCCCTATTATATATTAGTCTATATTTATCTATAGAAACAGTCTATAAACCTTTCTACTTAGTATACTAGGCGGCATTGTATTCCTTTACTTGCTAAGGTTTAATAGCTATAGAGCCTTTAGCTATAAAGGACGACTCGTATAAGAAGGGTTATATTAGCAGGTAGATAGGGTGGTGGTGGGTACAAGTAGTATTCGATAAGGAGCTAGGAGGAGAGGGAGGAAGGTAGGAGAGTTGGCCTAACGCTAAGCGCTAAGCCCTGCCTAAGGCATCAAGACCCTAGCTTTACTCGGCCTAGTTACATGCCAATTACGTGTAGCCTCTTTAGCCCTAATACACGCTTCCCTTCTAAAGGCCGCGCCCTCGTAGCCGGTCTTTGTCCTAGTCTCAACCTCTATTGCTACTAACTTAGTAGGTCTAATAAGCTACTTAGCCCGCGCTGAATTGAACACTCAACTACCTAATTATATAACTATGTTAAACCTTACCTCTAACAACACAATATACAACTCTAACTGCGCTATCTCTATATACAATAAACTATAAAGTAATATGTATCTACAAGAATTAAAGGCCTTCGACTAATTACAATACGAGCGCGTCTTCCCTACTGCAATAGGTAGACGTACGAGGTATTGTAGCACTGCCTCCGTTCTAAGTGATGTCGTATCGAGTTCTTTGCGTCTACTCTTAAAAGACCTAGTAATGTCCGCTCCGAGGGTTTGTCCGTTCCGAGGGTTGTTCTTGTTGTTACGAGGGCTATTACTGTTCGTAGTTTCGCTAGCCCTAATTAGTTAGGTTTGGCAGCCTTCAAGTGTTAACTAATTACATCTTTTCAAAAAACTCAGTTCTTCTAGTTTCTATAGGTAAAGGCTATTATAAGTGCAGTAGTAGAGGTTCGCCTCGCTTAAAGGGTTAGATAGATCGAGGAGTAACCTATTGTCCGCAAGATCGACCCTAGCTAGCTTAGCTCTATAGTTTTGCCCTTAGTTAGTCTATTAGTCGCTCAATCTTTTGTCTTAGTCAAAGTTTTGACTTAGCCTCAAAGTTTTAATCAAACCTTTAATAGGCTCAAGGCTTTAATCAAAGTTTTGATTAAGGGTGCCTTAGGCTCGTAGTGTAGGTAAGGTTGTGTCTATAGGCGCAGCGACAATAGCAAGTAATGTTAACAATAGCAGCGCTAGTCGTCTTAGCGCTAACTTTACCTTGCTTTCGATTTCCTTCTTCGAACAATAACACACTCCGCAACACCGTTACCAACATGGCCGCGCTAGCCATCTTCTAATACACCGCTATTCGCACGCGCGCGCGCGCATTCTCGTCGATTGCCTAGGCCTCGAGGCCTCGGTAGGATAAAGGAATAAGAGGTAGAGTCTTTAAAAGAGCAGTAACTAATTG